CTCCTGGGAGACACCACTATTTGTTTAAAAGCATCGGAATACCAAGCATGGGGATGCGGGTGGCACTGTGGTCTAAACCACTGAGCCTAGGGCTTGCCGATCGGAAGGTCAGCGGTTCGAATCCCCACGACGGGGTGAGCTCCCATTTCTCGGTCCCTGCTCCTGCTAACCTAGCAGTTCGAAAGCACATCAAAGTGCAAGCAGATAAATAGGGACCGCTCCAGAGGGAAGGTAAACGGCGTTTCTGTGTGCTGCTCTGGTTTCGCCAGAAACAGCTTAGTCATGCTGGCCACATGACCCAAAAAAACTGTCAGCAGACAAACGTCAGCTCCCTCGGCCAGTAAAGCGAGATGAGCGCCGCAACCCCAGAGTCGTTCATGACTGGACGTAACTGTCAGGGGTCCTTTACCTTTTCCTTTTACAAAGCATACAAACCCTAAGTTATTGAGACAAAAATACAGTAGTAACAGGGCCCAGTCCTACACTGAATACCTTATACCAGGCTGTTTTATACCAGATCTGACTATTTTCATATATATATTCAGCAAATGCTATCACCGAGCAGCACAATTTGTTATCCCCGCAAGATGCTAAAACAATACAGTTGCCTTTTCTGTGCTACCTTTGACCAGTAAAGGATATGTCTGTATATTCCAAAACCTGCCCTGAACTGTTTGCTTCCAGTATAGCAAAACCAGCTGGTCTGGGGCTGGTCCGCCTCTAAGGTAGGATGAGGTAGCTGCCTTGGGTGGAGGAAGCCCCACAGGCAGTGCACCTGTGGATGCCCCCCCCATTGCCACTGCCCCTGGAGAAGCAGCGCCAGCTTGCAATATCTGGTGAGATTTCACTGAAATCGCTTGAGATGTTGCAGAGGGCACAACAGGGCTGCAGTGTGGCACGGTTCCCTTTTTGCCTTAGGCAGGAAAACTGGGACATGCCAGCCCTGCTCTGCTCGGCTGTGTTGCTGCCACTTACCATGGGGCAAAGGAGAGGTGGTGGTGAGGTACCAGAAATGCCCCGCTGGTACATTTGCCTCACACGGACCCACTGCTACCTCACTCCTTTCCTTCTTCCTCCTGGTAACCAGCAGCAACCAATCAGTGGTCAGGTGAGTGTTGCCTCCCCACTACTGGAGGAAAGCAAACATGCCATTATACCCTTCGGTCTCGGGCCCACCGGTTCCAATTTGTCTCCACCGTTTCGTCAATTACAGCATGGATTCGATTAACCCGACAGAGTCATCTGATTAAAGCCCGCCTGCAGCCTGCTTAGGTAATGCAGGCGGGCTTTAATAGGGGCTGCTGGATGGTGAGGATGGCTGGCCTCGGTTTTGTAAGACCTTCGGGCCAAATGGCACGTGACAGCAAATACCTTGCAGCCATTTCTCCACAACAGAAGGAACTGCTTACCGTGAAGAAGACTTTTCAATTCTTCTCTTCCATTCACAGTGAGGGGGAAATGCCTTGTGCCAAGATAAGGAGGTCAAGGTCAGAGGAAGAGGTCCAGCAAAACTGGAGGTGTGGGTGGTATAGGAGAGGTGGGGAGCCTCAGGCACTGGGGCCAAATGTGGCCCTCAATTTTTCTCTGTCTGGCCCTCCTAACTCTCCTCAGGCCACTGGCTGCTGCCATTCAGTGTAAACAGTGCTGAGCTTGATGGAGCAATGGTCTGACTCAAAATAAGGCAACTTCCTATGGGATGTGGGCACATTGGTCTTTGGTACATCAATGTAAGGGAGGCTACAGACAAGCCACTAGTCCCACTGAGGCAGGGGATCATGCCCAGAAAAGGCTCATCTACCTCCATCTGATAGGGCACCCACACTGGAGAGAGACAATTAGTTCTGTTAAATGATAACCCATTGCAGGTCCACTACAGGATCCAAAAACCAAACCCCACACTTCCAGCTAGTGCTGGACTGGAAGTTCTCAACTGTATTTCTGCAGGCTAAGTCATGATCAGGGCTGGCCCAAGACATTCTGGCATCTGAGGTGAGCCACAAAATGGTGGACCACCAGGAAAGAAGAGTTGAGTGAAGATCTACATCAGGAACAAGGTGTGTATGAAGATTTACATTGGGAACAAGGGGGGGAGGGGAGGAGACTAGCAGCTCCCCCTAGTTGCCAAGGGGCCATTGTGGAGGCAGCATATGGGGGGGATGCCGAGCAGATGACACACCACAGTTGTCACCACTGCTGCAGTAGCAACAGCATTTCTTGAAGGCCATATCTTCTGCCCCTGTGGATCCTGCCACCTGAAGCAGTTGCCTCCTGTTGCCTCATGGGTGGGCCGGCCCAAACACAACATAGTTTCATTCCAAGGGACATTCTGCTGGGAAATGATGGCCTGTGCTGATGGCATTCTCTCTCCCTCTCCCACACGCAACACCCCATGGAAAGATAATTTGTCACGATGAGACATCATTCCAGGCATTCTCGGGAATTCAAAACAGCAGCCATCAGCTCAGGGGGGTATTTAGCGTCACCAGTGAGTCGCATTCCACCCACCCACAATAGCTTCCTCATTGATTTATTTGGAAGATTGATGCCCTGATTTTCAGTCAACTGTATTGCAAGGGGGCTGGTGAGCAACAGGTAATATACCACCTCCCAAAAAATAACCCATGCACACAACCCAAGCTTCCTTTAGTCATCCAGTGGAATCAGTTTGGTGATTATTATTATTAATATTATTTGGCATCTGGGCTAGTCTAGACTCCTAGTAAACTTAACGTCCACCCTGCAAACAAAGCGCCATGTTGACAGCTGATGCTGGAATTCCCCTCAAGGGTGATTCAAGTGCTTAAAGGAGAAAGGGAACTTGTCTCTGTCTCACCCCCCCACACGTGTGGGAGCTTTCTGTGTTCTTTGCTGGACTCCTGCTCTCTCTTAGGAGGTAAATGTCGTGTCCGGAGGCTTAGTTGCTAGATATTTTTAAATGTCTCATCTTCCAGACTTCGCTAATAACTGGGGCAACGCATGTACCCTATTTCATCTTTCTCGGCAATGTCAAAGTGCACTCGGTATTTTGAGTTCTTTTTATAATTCAGCCCTTTTGAGGGAGAGAGGCACTCTTCCATGTCTCATTTGCAGACTTTTGTCAGTCATTTTAGTGCCTTGGACTTAGCGATGGCAGCGACTCAGCTCACAATTTAAGGTGTCTCTCGCAAATCTTCAATTTCCAAAAGGATACGCAAACCAAGACATAGCTCTCCTTTGAAATTTGCACTTCTCTGAATTTAGGAATGAAGCTCTACAGCTAAGTAATGTGTACAAACAAACAAACAAACAAACAAATAAATCTGGGGCAAAGTGTGCACAGGGATGCATATATAAGTGAGATTGTGTATCAGAAAATGTCATATATAGGGGAAATTGCTTTGCAAAAATGTGTATCTTATGCAAAATTGCATACAGAAATTTGCACTAAAATGCTAGTGCATTTCCATGAGAACACTTTGCAAACTGATGTGGAAATATGAACCTCAGGGTGGAAAAAATGAGAAACTGAGACACTGGCGGGGGAAGAGGAGTGTGAGCGGAGCACACCACCCCCGGCAGCACGATCCCGGTGGGGGGCCATTGCAGCTGTCCCCCCTGCTGGGCGCCCCTGCGGGCGGCGCGCCACGACCCCAGGATGCACGCCAGCCCCGCCCCCACCTGCTCTCCGCTCCCCGGTGCCGGAGCATGAAGCTCCGCCACTGAACTGAGAGAAACTGAAAGTCCATATAGTGTACCAAATTTCAGCTTTCTAGATAGTGAGGCTGTCAGGGATTTAAGCACACAGGGGCCTAACCCTGATGCTGAATAGTACAGAGTGTTCAGGAAAAATCTTTGTCGTGCAGTCCTCTGTATCAGCCTTGGGCCTTGGGCCAAATATTTGGCAGCAACGGTGCGCTGCGTACCTGTGACGTCACGCAAACGCTGCATGATGTGGCCACCTTGTATATTTTTTCTGGTACTAAGGAATGCTGCCCGTTGCTATTAGACAGCAATGGTCTCTCTCTCTTTCTCTCTGCAATAAATATTGTGTGATCTCCACAATCAGGGCCAGCAGGACCTAGCTGCTGTGGTAAGCATCAGGTTGTTGGAGATGGCTGTCTCTCTAATTTTGTTTCATGACATCCCATACCATTAGGTAGCTATTTTGGGACTGGTGCCCCCCTCTCAAAATTCAAAATGTGCCTACTGGCCAAATTTGTGTTGCATAAAATAGATAAAAGGCACTGGCCAAATGCCTTCAAGTTCATCTTAATTCTTAATGTGAAGATGCCAGAAGATGGTCCATATGGTACCCCATAGATTCAGGGTGGTTTTAGGGATTGAAAGGTCATAGAATCATAGAACTGTAGGGTTGGAAGGGATCACGAGGGTCATCTAGTCCAACCCCCTGCAATGCCCCTGCAATGTCCAACCCCCTCTTTTGCCCAACATGGGGCTCAAACCCACGACCCTGATATTAAGAGTGATGTGCTGTACTGACTAAGCTGAGTTTGATCTGGAGAACTGGTAGTAATAACTCACCAACTCTGGAACTTCCAAGCTCCCAATCATCTAGTGTCATTGTGATGTCAGGTGATAGATTGACAGGTGGGTGGTCTCACCCACCCATCAAATTCGGCCTATGAAAGTTGACCTGATAAGGATCTGGCCTGCTGAGCCAAAAAAGATTATCCACTCCTGCCCTAAAAGATGGAAACAAAGAAATAAAAACCTCATCTCTGTAGCAGAGGCCTCCAGGTTGAAGCCCTGGGATCTTTAGTGAAAGGTCTCATGCAGCAAGGCAGAAGATCCTGCAGATTCACCCTGAGTAGAGATAGTCTGACATAGCCTAAATTCTTGTGTTTTTGTGAAATCTGATAAAAGCAAGCTGGTCTGGCAGGAAAGAGAAAATCCAGGCTATTCCTGACCTCTGCTCTAAATATTTTAAAGTCCTGGATAGCTCTTTCAGGGGGTTTTTAGACAATGATTTTTCACAAACAATCAATCAGTGCCTACACATTTTGTCTCACAGCTCAGTTGATGGAGCATGAGACTCCGAATCTCAAGGTTGTGGGTTTAAGCCCCACGTTGGGCAAATGATTCCTGCGTTGCAGGTCGTTGGACTAGATGACCCGGGTGGTTCCTTCCAAATCTACAATTCCACGATTCTATGATATCTCAGGTTCTACCAATGCAAGAAACCTATCGCTTCCTGCCCCAAACGGAACCTGGGAACCTGGGAATTACAGTTCACCCAGGAAGGGCAATCACTTGCCCTGCTCATACGCATGCCTATGGCACTAAACAAGTTATACCACAAATATCTGAAAGTCACTCTCCATTTCTAGGACCTTCTCAAGTGTTAAGATCGCCAAAGGGGCCTCTCTTGGCCATTCTACCACCCACAAAATGTCTCATGAAAGGGTTTTCTCTGTGGCAGCCCCTAAAGTGTGGAATTCCCTCCTGCACTGAGATGCATCCGGTACCTTCATTCCATAGCTTCTGCCTATGCTGAAGACACACCACTTTACCCTGGCTTTTGACAGTTTCATAGAATCAAAGAAGCGTAGAGCTGGAAGGGACCACGAGGGTCATGTAGTCCAACCCCCTGCAATGCAGGTATACTTTTGCCCAGTGTGAGGCTTGAACCCATGGATGACCCTGAGATTAAGAGTCTCATGCTCTACTGACTGAGCTATAGTTTAAGCTATGTTCTTTTGTGAGACCCCGCCCCCCCGCCTCTATTGCTGAGTTTATTTTCTTCTGTTCCATTTGGAATGATTTTGCTTTTTATTCTTGTATGCTTCTCTGTTGTTATTTTTTTAAAAATGATTTAAATCATTCTAAAATTCTTTGCATTTTAAGAGAAAGAGCTTTTTGACAGTGGAACGAACTCCATCAAAAGGTGGTGGACTCTTCTTCACTGAAGGTTTTTAAACAGAGGTTGGATGCTCATCTTTCAGGAATTCTTTAGCCATGATTCCCACATTTTGGGGGGCTGGACTAGATGACCCCTGGGGTCCCTTCCAACTCCACATTTCTATGATTTATAAACTGCTTTGTATTTTTTAAATCAAAAACTTCTACAATTTATAAACTGCTTAATAGTTCAAAAAAATAAAAATAAAACCCTCTGTATATTGTTGCATCATTTCATATTATGTTTTCTCACTGTAGATTATATTCTTGCAACCCAAAGCAAACGGCGGGTAAGAAATCTTATCACTGAAACGTCTCTCCTTCCTTGGGGACCAGAGGCCTTGTGTTCTTCTCTTCCTTCCTCGCTTGGACGATCAGAGCAGCAGATTCCCAACCAGAGTCTGGAGATGGTTAGGGAGAGCCTTGGTTGCACTTTCCCTTTTCCCCGAGGCGTTGGCCAATCCTAAACCCCTTTTTGATGAAGGTTCTCTCGCCTGGATTGACACAGTGACCCGACACTGGGTGGACAAGAGCGAGAGCGCGCGAACCCAGGGGAGAGAGGAGGAACGGCAGCCGTCGGTGCCAAGATTTTGCTGAGCTCAGGCGCGCTGCCGCCGTAGCCAGCCGAGCAGAGGCTGTTGACATTTCCGGTTGCAATCCCGCAGCCAATTGGCGATCGCCGGAGCAGCGAGACACGGAATATGATAATTTCGTCCTGCTGAAAGAAAAAAAGAGAGAGAGAGAGACGGGCAAGTAGGGAGGGAGGGAGGGAGGAGGGAAGCAAGAAGAGAGAGGACACCCAGGGCTCAACTCCTATGAAGAGGGCCTTGGGAAAAACGCTCCCCGCGGCTGTATAATGCATTCTGCACATGCCCGGAAGCTACCTCGAATTTGAAAACAGATTCTGAACAGGTCTCCAAGTTCTCTATGGAGCTCCCGCCCACCTGCTGCGGTCAACGGGCTCAGCAGACGCCCACCAACCCCAATTAGATGTGGTCACTCTCCAGGGCTGAGTTTTGGTGCTATTGGAAAACTGTCTCCAAACCACCGCTTAGTGCTCCTCGAGGGCTCCGAGAAAGCTTTGGCGTGGCCGATGCACTCTGCACGCGCTCCGGGGGCCCATCCCCTCCCTGTCTTCTGGGGCTGAGTTTTGGGCTCGAAACTAGGTCCGAAGCCTAAGGATTGCTGGGGAGGCCTGGGATTGAGGGATACACTCACCCAGCTACCCAGAAAGATTGGGCGTTTGTGGGATGAGTCCAGTCCGGTGGTGGCTCGGCCGCTCGACGTGTGGCGCCGGAAGAGAAAGATGGAGCGGCCCTAGGGAGGCGTCGGAGCACGTGCCCAGAGAGCAGCTCAGGTCTTCGTCCAAGTTCCTTAAGGCGCCTCGGGCGGCACAGGGGCTTCGTGGCTTCTTCCCGGGACGTCGTTAGGGTTGCTGAACAGTACAGAGGCGGAGATCCGAGCGCAAAGCGCGCGCTGCTCCACTAACCATCCTAACAATAAAAAGTGGACGGAGCTGGCGCATCGGTTTGGATCGCGACGGGTGGCGTGGCGGCTGATGTTGGTTCTGGTGGCCAAATTTGGAGAAGCGGGGGAAAGAGAAAGGGGGAAATCCCCTCAAAAAGCACCTCAGCCTCCTTTTGACAGGGTAAGTTGTCCTTGAGTAGGATGGTTGGTTTGCATCAAGAAATGAACCTAAACCAAGTGGGTGGGTGGGTGGGGAGACTGCAGCGGTCATTTTAATTGTCCCCCACACAATGAAAATGGGTGTGTGGACACGACGGAAGTAATCCTGTGTGTTGGTTTTGACTGCGTACACACCACATACTTAAAGAAGGATATTGGGAACTGTAGTTTGTTAATGGTGCCCGAAGTGTAGTTCTCTAAACTAGGCATTAAATGTGCGGTGGGTATAGTTCTTTTCGTGTGAGTGCCGATTAATGCTGCAATTTTACGCACACTTAGCAGAGAGCAAGTTCCATTAAAGGCATTAGGATTTACTTCTGCGTGGACATGTATAGGCTCTTGTTACACATACAGGATTGTGTGGTAGGGCCGCATACCAATAGGAGGCGACTGATGATAACACCAGCAGCTGGGTGATACAGTTCTTAAACAGCGCAAGCCTAGCCATGCCTACTCAGACAAAGTCCTATTGAATTCACTCAGGAGTAAAACGGCAATCCGATGTCCGGTTACTTTGGAGTAAGCCCGGTTGAACTCTGCTGCAAGACAACTCAATTGCGAAGCAATCCTCTGCGTGATTACTCGGATCGTAAACCCCACCGCACTCCACGGAACTTAACTACCAGGTAAATGTGCATAGGATTTCAGCCTTGTAGTGCAAGGCTATGTATATTTACTCGCAAGCAAGCTCCACTGTGTTCAGGAAAACTTACCCCCTAGTTAAGCGTAATACGTGTAAAAGCATGAAAAAATTCTGTGGCCAAGCCAAAAGAGATACAAGCGCAATTCTATGCGCGCTTACGCAGAAGCAAATCCCCACTAGTTTGCTCAGTGGACATTATTCTTCAGTCAGTGCGCAGCCTGGCTGCGCCATGAAGTTGGATTGGACCCTTTGAATACAGCGGGGCTTCCTTCCGAGACATCAGGCGTAGGGATCGGCCTTTTGGCTTTGTTTTGTAAATGGACACGCTGAGGGATCGTAGCCTGAGCCTTGCACTGGAGGAAATGCGCTACCACCAGGGCAATCCTGTGCATGCCTTACTTTGGAACCAAGCCCCATTGAGTTGAGCGGGGTTTGCTCCCAAGTAAGCGGATGTGAAGGATTGTCGCCTCCTCCTGCTTTGAATACAGTATACTTCCATTGATAAATATCCAGAGGGCTCGACTGCTGAGGGTTTGGTGTTTTGTTTTCAATAATAATAAGGAAGTTGCATCAAATGCAGAGGGAGCTTACTTCCAAGTAGGACATGAGTGGAAAGTCTTCGAGACGGCTGCAAAAGAAGGAGAAAGTAACGCATTCGCTTCCCCGGCTCCTCCCCTCGCCACCCACGGTGCCCGCTTCTGGCGCTCAATGGCGTGGCACTAGCTTGGGTATTTTAGGCCAGCCAGCCAGCCAGGCCCCCTCCCTCTCCACTAAAAGACCCGATACCCTCCAGCTCCACCGGCCTCCCTTAAAAGGCTAATCGGTGTACTGTATCTTTAAAAGGTTCAAACCTCTTTCCAAAAGGCCTAGAGATAGCCGGGGGGTGGGGGAAGGAGAAAAAAAATGAAAAAGCCACCGCCGCGGAGATAGACGGAGAAGCTCGGCTGTTTTGCCTCTTAGAAGCAGAGGAGGCAAAGGAAAGCAAGCAGCAATTCCGATTGTGATGCGGCTTCTCCGGGCGGAATTTATTCCTCGCTGTCCAGAGGCGGCAGGAAGAAGCTTCCGCGTGGGCTTCTTCTCCTTCTTCTCCAGCGTGGATTATTTTTATTCCGAAGAATAACAGAGGAGGATTGGTTCCGGCTGGAGCATGCTCACAAACTGCACAATCTCCCATGATTAAGCTTGCCTAGGGTGTTGTGGTTCCCCCCCTTCTTCTTTTTCTCCTCTCCCCCCCTCCCCTCCTCTCTCTTTCCCACATTGATTTTGTTTTGAAGCTGAGCTACAAACCATCAGGGCAGGGTTGGGGGGGGGGACGACCTGCCTTCCCCCTTCCTCCCTCGGAGAAGGAAAACATCGCGCGCCTTCTTCTCCCAGCAATATGACATAATAATCCCCATCCCCGATCCTCCCTCCCTCCCTCCCTCCCTCCCTCTCCCCACACCGCCACCTCTTTTCAAAACAGGTGTTATTAAAAAGAATAGGAAATAAGCTACCCGGCAGCTCAGCGGAACGCTTCCTCCAGGAGGGGAGAGCGAGGCTGCAGAGCCTCTCAGGAAATTGCCAGCATCGTGAGAATCGCAAAAGTGGAGGGGATCGGGCTCTGCTTGCAGCCAGACAGCCAAGGTAAGGCGATGGTGTTTCGCCCATTTATCTCGCTGCCCCCTCGTGCCGTTGTGTGTGTTTTGACTATTGCTGTTGCTGCCGCAGCCGCTGTTCCTCGCTGGTGGAGGGAGGCAGCAGCAGCAGCAGCAGATTCCATTTTGCCTGGGCTTCTGAAGAGGTGTCAGGTTGCTTTTCTTCCTTTATATTTATTTATTTTAACAGGACGCTCCTCGCTGCCTTTCGGGACTGTTGTCAAGTGTGTGTTTGTGTGTGTGTGTGTCTCCCCTGGGTGGGTTTGAGCCTGCGAGGTGGCTCCTCTTGCAAGGCTGATGCCTGGGTGCCTGAAGTAACCTCTTGCGGTGTCAATCGGCGGCTGTTAACCCTCTCCGCGCCTTGCGCCCAGGAAGGCCTGCGCAAAGGTGGTGTTGATGTCGGTGGTCCATAGGGGGCTGGAGCGTGCGCCGGGGAGGGCAGCGGTGTGTGTGTGTTGAGGGAATGTTTGAGGAGGCCTGCTGGCCACAGGAGGGCCAAAAACAAGTCTCAGGTGGGCGAATGATCTTGCAAAAAAAAAAAAAAAAAAAAAGGGAGGGGGGGAGGGGAGAGAGAAGGAGGCAGAGAAGTGAGGCACACCAAGTTGCAAAGTGACCAGGCCTCCCTATGCAGCTTCACTTGCAAATATGTGCAGTTTTCCCCTTGCATACCGCTTGTGTGCGGAGAGGCTGGCGGTGCCTTTCACCCTGTGCTTGTTGGGGAAATGTTGCCAGGAGCCTGCTGCCCTCCGCTGCTGCAGTGATCTATCTGATCAAGGAGCCTTGTTGGGGATGCGCTGCTCCTCTGCTTGGTGTAGCCAGGCTTCGTTTATTTTGCTGGTGGGTCCGAAGGAGGTCTCTGAGTTATGTGGTTGTGTCTCTTGGTGTCAGGAAGGGTGGGCAGCTGCTAGTCTGGCAGGGGAAGGCTAAGGCTTACCTGGGAGCAAACCCCACTGAATGAATGCATTGGGGCTTACTACTGATGGGTAGGATTGCGCTGTAAGCTCCTCTCCCTGCAGCCCCCCATGAGTTGAGTGCAAATGACTGACCACAGAGGAAGTGTTTCCCTCCTGCTGGTTGTATTTGGGTTGCTGAGCACAGATGTGCGGCCTTGGCTTCAGTGTATTGCACCGGTGGTGGCTTCTGACTCTTGTGCTTCATGCCCTACCTCTGTCTGGGCACCCCTGTGTCTCGTCCCCCCCCCCATTGGCCCACCACCAAAGCTGCTGGATATGATTTTATCCAAGACACATCTAAGCAACATTCAGACATTCGGGCTTTGCATTCACCGGGGACCGATTTGCAGGATCTTGTCTCCTAAAAGCCCTGCAGAAGGAGATGGCAACCTTTATCCACCAGTCTCATGCAGTACCTGCTTGACTGCCTATCTTTACCCATGCATGAGATTCCACCCCCCTCCCCACCTTCCTTTTTCCCTGCTGGGTTTCAAGGGAACTGCAAAGCTGTGATTGCAGCAGTGACTGCAGAGGGCTGTTCTCAGTTGGAGGTAAAAAAAAAAAAAAGGGCACCCGAGTGCACAATCTGGCAAGTCGATTGTTGGGTGGTAATTGGCCCAGTTATTACATAACAACAGAGAGGCAGATGCAATGTAAGCAAAGTGCTACCTTATACTGTACTGGATTAATGAGAACTCCATATAAGAGGAAAAAGGGGCTTGCTTTTTTCTGATCAGTTAACCATTTCCTGTTGGGGTTTACCATTCACATGACTGTGAACGACAGGGGATATACAGTGGTACCTTGGGTTACATACACTTCAGGTTACATACGCTTCAGGTTACAGACTCCGCTAACCCAGAAATAGTGCTTCAGGTTAAGAACTTTGCTTCAGGATGAGAACAGAAATCATGCTCTGGCGGTGCGGCGGCAGCAGGAGGCCCCATTAGCTAAAGTGGTGCTTCAGGTTAAGAACAGTTTCAGGTTAAGAACGGACCTCCGGAACGAATTAAGTACTAAACCTGAGGTACCACTGTATTCTGCTGGCAAAACGAATGTCCCCAAAGGTGCTTTTAACAAAACAAATATAGGCTTATTGTCGTCCTAACCTGCGTCTTCATAGAAAAGTCACCTGAGCCTATTGTCTCTGCCAAGGTGTTCATTACGCTTGGTAAACAAGGAGTAGGCCAGGGATGTGGATCATGTGACCCTCCAGGTTTTGGACTGTGAGTCGTGCCACCCCTTGCCATTGGCCATTCTGGCTGAGCCTGATGGGAGCTTTGGCCTTGCAGGTGTTGTTAGACACCAAGTTCCCCCATCCCTAATCTAGGCAAATTTATCACATGCTTAGTAACAGAGTGTAAAACCACATTTCGTAGAAGGTCACAGTCTGGCTGCCAGCATTTGGGTCTTCAGCAGGGGAAACATTTGATATTGGTTAGCACCAGAGTCATTAAAGACGCCTTTAAAAAAAGTTTGTATTGCATAGTTTAAATGATTGAATTGTTCCTTTTGTTGAGTATAAACCCTCACAAGGAGTTGGATCCAGCAAGAAACCCATTGGGTCTTCTTGTAATGCAACCTGCCTCTACAGTTACAGTGGTACCTCGGGTTACATACGCTTCAGGTTACAGATGCTTCAGGTTACAGACTTCACTAACCCAGAAATAGTGCTTCAGGTTAAGAACTTTGCTTCAGGATGAGAACAAAAATTGTGCTCCGGTGGCGCAGCAGCGGCAGGAGGCCCCATTAGCTAAAGTGGTGCTTCAGGTTAAGAACAGTTTCAGGTTAAGTACGGACCTCCGGAACGAATTAAGTACTTAATCTGAGGTACCACCGTATTGGTATTTGTAGATTTTCTGATCCATTGTGATGATGTGTGTGCCGGGTGCTGCAGACCTCTGGCCAGGGACATTTACATGAGCAAATATCCACCCATTTATCTGTTTTATTTTTGTGTCGATTTTCTACCCCCCGCCAAAAAAAAAATCCTTGCTCAAAGCGGCTTGCAACAAAGAAACAGGGATGTATTTCAAATAAACACAACAAAGTCAATTTCATAACAACATAGCAAAACAATAGCATCCTAACAGTTTCATAATAGCATAGCAAAACAACAACAACATCGCAATGGTTACTAGCCACGGTGATAGCAACTACCGTATTTTTCTGTGTATAAGACTAGTTTCCCCCCCTAAAAAATAATATCAAAAGTTAGGGGGCATCTTATACACAGGGCCATCTCCCCCCATTTTCTTAAATCTGAGTCCCCCAAAATAGGGGGTGTCTTATAGACAGAAAAATACGGTATATGCATATTATGAAGCATAAGTGGAGGACTCCTGCATCCAGGATGAGCTGCCCCCTTGCATTTTTTGTAGCCAATAGTTGTGTAATTGGCGCTGCTGTCATTCCATGAGCTGAAGGGCAAGTTGCTAACCATTCAGGTCATGAGGTAATAAGGTCCATGAAATTGTTCTGATGTCAGTTGTTTTCAGTGAGTTCTATGCCTGAATTCTGAACTGCAACTGTACTTCTTCAGGGGAACGTTATCATTTTAAAATAACTTCTTAGTTTCGCCAAAAGGAACTGAATATAGTGGTACCTCAGGTTAAGTACTTAATTCGTTTCGGAGGTCCGTACTTAACCTGAAACTGTTCTTAACCTGAAGCACCACTTTAGCTAATGGGGCCTCCTGCTGCCGCCGCGCCTCCAGAGCACGATTTTTGTTCTCATCCTGAAGCAAAGTTCTTAACCTGAAGTACTATTTCTGGGTTAGCAGAGTCTGTAACCTGAAGCATATGTAACCTGAAGCATATGTAACCCGAGGTACCACTGTATGTCCCCATTCTTAAGATGGGACAATTAATTGCTCTACACACATTAATAGGTTTGAGTCACAGCTTTGTGTTTCTAAGTTTCGGGCCCTAGATAGGTGGGGGTTGAGTAACCCATTTCTCCTCCCCCCCTCTCTCATTCTCTCACTCTCTCTCCATCCATCCACAACATACGCTTAAAAGAGTCATGGCTTCCCACACAGAATCCTGGGAACTGTAATTTGTTAAGGGTGCTAAAAGTAGTCAGCCCTTATTCCCCTCACAGAGCTACAGTTTCCAGAGCTCCCCAGGAAAGAGGACTGGTTGTTAAACCATTCTGAGAACTGTAGCTCTGTGAGAGAAATTGGGAATCTCCTAACAACTCTAGGAACCTTTAACTAACTACAGTTTCCAGGATTCTTTGGGGGAAGCTGTGGCTGTTAAAGATATATAATAGTGCTTTAGGTGTATTGTATCATATGAGCTCTGTGCTGCAGAGCCCACCAGGAGCCATATTGAAGTTGTCTTCCATCTTGGCTTGCCTGCCTTTAAATACCTGCAGGCGAGCCTTGCACCCTCCCACTTCCTGTCCTCCTCTCCAGTTTCCTGTAGGAACATGGCTGGCATTGCCATGGTAACATGGCTGTGCTGTTCCTTCTGCTGGCTTGGCTGAGGCCCATCATTGCCATGGCAATGGAAGACATGGTGGCTGTTTTGCCTTTGGCCTAGTGTTCCAGGAGACTCTCTTGGTCCACCAGGAGAGGATGGAATTGGGGACAGTACACTTTTTTTTGCTATACTTGGTGCCACAAAGTTTCAGTTATCTGCAAAAGGTAACTGCACCGTGCTCTTGTATGCATGGGTGTTATTTTATCACTGCTATGCCCCGGGGGTTCTGTACAATACCCTCCAACATTTTGAAGCCCAAATATGGGAGACCATCTTCCCATTCTTTTAACTGTGAGAGCATGGCTGCCATTTTGGTTGCTGTGATCTCGCGTGATTTCCACTTTTTTTGGGGAAAATTCTGCTGCAGAATCCCAGCAACCACAATGGCTGCCATTCTCTCACAATAAAAAACAGAACGTCTTGTTTTTTTCTGGGACACTTGCGCATAGCTGTCAACTTTCAGATTTGAAAATAAGGGATCAGCAGCCTCGGAAATAAGGGATCAGCAGCATAAGTGTTAATTTTCGGATTTGAAAATAAGGGATCAGCAGCCTCACCTGTCCCGGGGACAGTCTACAGGATATCTAACAATCCGGGATAGCAGTGGGAAGCAGTGGGGAATGGCGCTGGAATAAGGGAATTTCCCACAAAAAAAGGGAAAGTTAACAGCTATGCACTTGCGGGGTATATGCTGCTAATGCAAATTGTAGTCCAAAATATTTGGAGGGCAGCAGTTTGCAGAAGGCTGGAGTAGTAGTGCTGAGAGTGTCTGATGAGGGCCTGGGACCAGAGAGACCCAAGTTCAAATACCAAGTCAGCAATTAAGTGGGTGGCCTTGGGTCAGTTGTCCTCCTCCCTTGCTGAACCCACCTCACAGAATTTGTTGTAAGGATGTAAAATGTAATCCATACTAAAGCAAATAAATTCCTCCACATATGGTGAACCTAACTCAACATCCTTAAGGGCCAGAAACTGGAAGCAAACAAAAATAACAACAATAATGAAAACTTCACAGGATGCTGTGTTTTGCTGTTTATAACACTGTGACTATGTAGCATGATGGAAGAATCTGTGCAACCTTGAGTGAGTAGCCACTCCTTGTTTCTTTATTGTTTCCATTATTTCTCTAAACAGCTGGCGACCTGAGTTTGGGAAACCCTGGTCTAACCGATCAAAGTGGAGGTTTGCTTGTGGTTCAGTGTACTGTGATTACACTGAATCACAGGTGAAACGGCACATTGTGCATTCCAGCTAAGGGAGGTTTGCCTGTTATTCAGTGTAATTGCTGAATATTTATTCTCAAATATATTGTAGGCTTAGGAACATAGAAATATAGGAAGCTGCCTTATGCCAAGTCAGACCATCTAGTTCAGTATTGTCAACACAGACTGGCAGCAGCTCTCCAGCATTCCAGACATGGAATCTTTTCCAGTCCTACCTGGTGATGCCAGGGATTAAAGCGGGAATCTTCTGCATGTGCTCTACCACAGAGCTAAGTTCTATCCAAAGTCTCTGCGTTCTGTCTAGCACCGAACAACGGTGGTTTTGCAATTGATTTCAGCTGGCAGTAGATTGGGCCCCAGTTTCTTCTTCTTTTTCCCTCATAGAATAACAGTGACTTTGCTTGATGATGCTCCTTAGGCATCCATGTTCCCTAAAGTATTAGGAAAACATTAACTTGGAACATGGTTGTGCAATTTTGCTTTCTGACTCTTTGACGAAGTGACAAGCTGCCTTTTGTGTGGCTTCGAGTTTGGCAAAACAACCGTCATCTTCTGGCAACGGCGCTGCTGGGTCAGAAAGTCTGCAAGTGTCTTATTGCTCCACAAAACCTGAGAGCCTTAACTGGAAGCCTTGCATGCCAAGTGTCACATCCTTTAGCCAGAAGAGACCGCGTGATGTCAAATGGCTCATGACTGCCTAAGTTCTGGTCCATCAAAAGGCTTCAGAAAACTGCTCTGGGTTCATAGCAGAGGCAATCAGAAAGAGGGCCACTAACTGACTGCTGATTCAAGACTTTAAATTGTGCTCTTATATCAAATTTCCTTTTCTGCGTATACTGTAATGTTTTACTGTTGCTATGGCCATTGGCTAATGTGAATAAAGTTTTATCTATCTAAACTGCTCCGGGTGGTTAGAATTAAAAGTTCATCCCTGATCCTGGATGCTGCTCCAGCAGACACTTCTGTTTCCTCACTCTGCTGAATGGTAGGGCCAGCTCCTTTAGACAACTGATGGGCTCTCCTTTCTCCTCACACTAGATCACACCTCAAGCAGCCTCCTCTGTTTCTGTATGGGTCAGGTATACAATGGCCCTATCAACAGTTAGGTCCTGCTCATTTCCTAGGAGAAAGGAGGATAATATGGTGAGAGGAACAGTTTTCTAACTCTATTGCAGGAGACAATATGCCTCTGAATTGCTGGGTAAAGCAAGTGTGAACAGCGCTGTTCCACTCACATCACATTCCCCATGGGCATCTGGTTGGCTCTTAACTTTATGTATTTCTCCTTGGGCTTCTTGGAGGAAGGTAGAATATGTGTAATTAATAATCCGATTATAATCCTGAGCAGCTCCCCACCCCTATTTCAAATGGATGCTCCATTGTCAGTGTCGCCCATAATCTTTTTCTTCTGAGGGTGGTAGGGGTGCATTAGGACAAACGTGTAAAACAGAAAAAGTTATGGATGGTGCTGCAATTCAGGAACCTCCCGGAAAGTCAGTTTTTATAGGGGACACTGTGGGGGGAAAAAAAACTAAATTCCAACTCATTCTGTTGGAATGCAGCTCGCTCTTAAAAGTGAAAGCATGCCCTGACAATGCCGAGTGGAAGTGCTAGCTGTGATTTTGTACATCTTGGCTATTTATTACCGTGTTACATAACAGAAGCGTGATGGGAAGGAAACACTTTTTTAATTCCGAAGTCTGAATATCTTCCTGGGTTCTGTAGACGCTGGTAGCCTACTAAAGTCCCAGATTTTGAAACTGATATTAACTCTGCAAAGAGCAGATAATATGAATCTAATATCTAATCCTAATGGTCTAATAGGAAAGCTGGTAATACAGGGTTGGATCTTAAGAACTGTTTGCAGAAGGAAGGTGGGAGAAGTAGAAGCCCTGTTAAGAACACCTTCTCAACCATTAAGAGGAAACAAAACTCCCTTGAAAATCATTGTGGGGGGGATAAATTTCTCTAATTCTTTTTTGTGTGTGGTGGGGCTGTTGGTGGGGGGCTAATGTGAGGTAGGGACGCGGGTGGCGCTGTGGGTTAAACCACAGAGCCTAGGACTTGCTGATCGAAAAGTCGGCGGTTCGAATCCCTGCGGCGGGGTGAGCTCCCGTCGTTCGGTCCCAGCTCCTGCCCACCTAGCAGTTCGAAAGCACCCCTAAGTGCAAGTAGATAAATAGGGACCGCTTTCTAGCAGGAAGGTAAATGGCGTTTCCGTGTGCGGCGCTGGTCTTGGCTAGCCAGATGCAGCTTCGTCACGCTGGCCACATGACCCAGAATTGTCTTCGGACAACGCCGGCTCCCGGCCTCTTGAGCGAGATGAGCACGCAACCCTAGAGTCGGTCACAACTGGCCCTGACTGGCAGGGGTACCTTTACCTTTACCTTTAATATGAGGTAGCCAAGAGTTTCCCATTTTTTTCTGACCCCCTGCTGCTTTGAGCAGTGGAAGGCAATCTCTGCCCTGCTGGCCATTGGAATGCACTGGGAATCTCTTCGCAGCTGAAATGCATTGGAAACCACACTACATTACCTTGTGTTCTCAAGACAGTCCAGGAAGTGTGGTTGGTGGGAAGGAGCACAAGGTTCTCTCTGCAGTTTCCCACCATCCACGCTTACTGGTGAGACCCAATGAGATAAGTGGCGACCTCCTTTGGAAGACTGGATAAATTCCAAGCAAAACAGCAGAAAATTGGTTGCCGATTTCCCAGGGGGTAATATTGTCAGAAAACAGGAGGGAGTGGGAAATGTTAGTCTCCTGGATGGGTTCTTCTCTTTCCCTCTGCATTTCAAGAAGCCTCTCCTAAGGGGCTGAAGACAAAGTTGACTGTGTGGCATCTAGAAGAGGGAATGTTTGTAAGCGCTGAGTTCACCTTGACTGTCCATGATGTGGACTTTTCTTTGCCCATCACTAGAGAAACAGCATAGAACTGCTCACCACCACTGTCTGTGGTCAGCAGAAGCTGCAGAGACGCCATCAACCAACTTGTCCACAACCCTTGAAAATGTATGTTGGGTAAAGGTAAAGGGACCCCTGACCATTAGGTACAGTCGTGACCGACTCTGGGGTTGTGGTGCTCATCTCGCTTTATTGGCCAAGGGAGCCGGCACACAGCTTCTGGGTCATGTGGCCAGCATGACTAAGCTGCTTCTGGTGAACCAGAGTAGCTCACGGAAATGCCGTTTACCTTCCTGCCAGAGCAGTACCTATTTATCTACTTGCACTTTGATGTGCTTTCAAACTGCTAGGTTGGCAGGAGCAGGGACCGAGTTACGGGAGCTCGCCCCGTCGCGGGGGTTCGATCTGCCGACCTTCTGATCGGCAAGTCCTAGGCTCTGTGGTTTAACCCACAGCACCACCCGCGTCCTATATGTTGGGAGACAAGTCTTATTTTATAAACATTTGAAAAAGGCAAATATGGTTAGACCTCCAGTGATTTTTAAAGGCAACATGACCTATGGACACTATAGGGGGTGGAAAAGAGATCAGTGGCAGATCTGCACATGATTTGCTGGTTGAGAGTCATATGTTCAAACTCTAGTATTTCCAATTTTGAGAAAGGCTCTGGTAGCCAGTGACGAGACAGAGAAAGACCTCTGCCTCAGACCTTGGAGAGCTACCATCTGTCAAAGTGGGCTAGGCTAGATGGATAAATAGTCTGACCTGGTATATGGCAGCTTCTTACTTCAGTCCTTGGGTTCTTCCATGCTGCTTTCGTTGGATGCTTAGGGATTTTGTTGGTGTACTTGTCACTAGGTATGGGCAAATCTGTCAGTTTTAGCTTCTGTGCCTCTCTTTATTCTCCCCCCCCCCCACAACACAATCTTAAATTCAGTTTGGTACATACCCATATAAGTTTGGAATATATTTTCTTAAAAGAAGTCATACAAATTCAGCAGCACTTTTTACTATGCAATCCCCCTAATACAGTGGTACCTTGGGTTAAGAACTTAATTCATTCTGGAGGTCCGTTCTTAACCTGAAACTGTTCTTAACCTGAGGTACCACTTTAGCTAATGGGGCCTCCCCCTGCTGCCGCCGCACAATTTCTGTTCTCATCCTGAAGCAAAGTTCTTAACCCGAGGTACTATTTCTGGGTTAGCAGAGTCTGTAACCTGAAGCATCTGTAACCCGAGGTACCACTGTATAATGCAATTCTGTATGTTGTTTCCCCTAATGTAATGCAGTTCTTTGTGCTATTTTCTCCAATATATGCACTTTTATGCACACATATCTGCATTTTTATACACTTGGAGAACTGCATTGTGGAATTCTGAAAGGTGTGAATTTAGAAGGTAGCAGTATGCATATTTTTCCTAAATCAAATTTCTCTTGTCATAGCTGCATGCCCATCATGTTTTCTCTCTGAGTTGCTTGCAAAGGTTATATCGATGTTTGTTTTAGCTGCATTGATACCCCACCTTTCTGCCAGGTGCTCCAAGTGGTGTATTTTGGTATCCAGGTGCTTTCTGATACTCTCACTTGCTTAGCTTCAACCAGGTGGTTCCATTCTGTGCAATCTTCAGACTTCTCCTTCCAGGGGCCAGTGAGGTTGCATGGCCTCATGGCCTATTTTATTTAGCAGTAAGGAAGAGAGAGGGCAGGGCAGCAGCTGTCTGCATCCTACGCTATGACTGTACTTGGAACAGTAAGGGCATTGATACTTGTGAGTTGACAGAGTTCACTCCTAGGCTTACAAATTGCCACTCCTCTGGTTGCCTGGGCAAGTGAGGTTTGCCCCCAGGTGCCCAAAGATTGGGGACACTTTAGGATTAGAGATTGAGGCTTTATTTTTTAAAGAGCACTATTGGTGTAGATTTGTGTTGGGCTAGTAGCATGCATGGCGAGACACTCTCTCTTCAAAGAAAAGTCACCACAAAAATATCCTATCCTTCCTCCATCATTCTTAGGTATTGATATACTTCTTTTGGTACCTGAAATGAAAATTTGAACTCCCGCTGCTCTGCACTTTGTTAATGATAAGAGTTGGAGTTAGAAAATATCATGCCCTCTGTAATAAGCTATCTATAGCAATTGCTTCAGGTTAAAGGCTGCTGGTGGTGGGTGGCGCTGTGGTCTAAACCACAGAGCCTAAGGCTTGTCGATCAGAAGGTCGGCAGTTCGAATCCCCGCGACGGGGTGAGCTCCCGTTGCTCGGTCCCTGCTCCTGCCCACCTAGCAGTTCAAAAGCATGTCAAAGTGCAAGTAGATAAATAGGTACCCCTCCAGCGGGAAGGTAAACAGCGTTTCCATGCGCTGCTCTGGTTTTGCCAGAAGTGGCTTAGTCATGCTGGCCACATGACCCAGAAGCTGTACGTCGGCTCCATCGGCCAGTAAAGCGAGATGAGTGCCGCAACCCCAGAGTCATCCGCAACTGGACCTAATGGTCAGGGGTCCCTTTACCTTTACTAAAGGCTGCTTGGCTTCTTCAATCCCCCCCCCAGCATGCATATTTGTGGCGGACTTTTGCCTTCTTCTGTCTCCAGCCTGAGACATGGATCGATCTAGAGATGCTTTGCTAAACTTGTTTTGCCTTCAATTATTGAGTGTTGGATTCCTTGCTCCTTGTTGCTTGGGTGTGATTATTTCTTGGACTACTCGCCGCTATTGCAAGAGCCACTAGGAGTGATAAAAAGCTACAGTGGTGGGGCATGGTAGGAATGTGACAAGTGCCAGCCAGAAGTGTGCAGTCACTGCAAGATTTGATTTGCCTCTGTAGCCTTTGGAAGCAGCCCGATCTGTTTTGGATCCACTTGGTGTCGTTCCAGTTCAATTCTTTACTTCGGTCCTCATCTGGTCTGCTAAATCCAAGCTCTGTTTCATGTCCACTATGAGTATAATGTGGAATCTAAGTGTGGATATAGCTTGCTTTCCTTTTCCCATTTGAAACTTGTAGGCAAGGCAGCACAAGGGAAACCCCACATAGAGCACATTTTTTCATTCAAACTTGACCACTGCTTTGATAAGCTTGTGACAAGCACTATATAAATACTGCAAAAAAGCAACGAACAGGAAGAAAGAAACCCATTTTGTTGCCAGGGTTGCAATATCCAAATGATGGCGTTAACCCACAAAGTGAAAAAAAACAACCCCAGAAAACAACCTTGGCAAATCTGCTGTCTTTGTGCCTGAATTCTGCTGCTGGATGCGGCCACCACATTTGATCACCACAGAAGATCCATCCATGCACCTTCTAAAACTGTATGGGAAAAAATGACATACCTGCCCTTCAGAGGAGCACACCTGAAAAATGATCCTAAAAGCTTGAAAATAATAATTGTGCAGTCAAAGTCCCTTACTGCCCTACACAAGCTTGTAATTTTGCACAGGGTGCCACATTTGCCATCTTGGGGTAAGGAGAGATGCCCTTTCCAGGATACTCCATTTCTGTTTCCCCTCCCTGCAGTGGACACATGGTGTTAGTCACAAGCTGTTTTTAGGATCTCCCCACCCCCTGTTTTGTTTTTAATTTCTTTTGGAGGGGTTACTTTTGCAAATCTTGGGATTCGTTCAGATCTTCTGACACTCCCCTCTTGTGCCATTTTTGGCTACAGAAGGGTCAGTGTTTGGAGACTTGAGTTTGCTATTGGGACCTATGCATTAAGGACGCTGTAGCCCTCATACAATGGCAACCACTTCCGGAGGGTCCCACGACCACATTTTAGCATTTTAAAATCACGACTAAGCGCTGAAGCTGTTTTAAGCCGCTTAAGCCAACCTTAAACCCCCAGATCAGCTAAACAGCTTGTACCAATAAAATGGCTTAGAGTTTCCTAAGCACCTTAAACAGATCTAAAGCTTTAGTATAAGACTGTGACCAAACTAGAGCATGGTGTTTAGTTTCTCAGTGACACCAGAGGGCCTTACCCAGCTAAGCCAACTAATTACAGAACTGAGACCCTCTCCACTGGGTTTTTAAAGGCCAGATGCTTAATCAACCAAAGGGATGCAAATACACATTGCAAGTCTATATACGTGCTTAACCCAGCCCCATATTTAACTGCAGAAGTAGCTGAATGTTGCATAGGGTTACAAATTCTCTAGGAGCGCACTGTTGGCCACTGTGAGAACTAGATTCGGTGACTAGATAGGCCTTTGGTCTGATTCAGCAGTGCTCTTCTTATGTCATGTTCTTAATAGTCCCTGGCAAAGACTTGGGCTCTGAAGCTCAAGCTTTCTGCTTCCAACAGCAGCCAGTCAAGTGCCTATGGGAATTCACAATGCAGACTTTGAGCCAATGCCTACTTCCTGGCCTTTGTCCTTTTCACCTGGTATTTGGAGATAGACTCCCTGTGAATATGGAGGCTCTATATAAACTCTTGAGGCGGATAGTCTTTTTGAGAGACCTGTCCTCCACGAATCTGTCCGGTCCTTTAAAAAAGCCATCTAACGTAATGCCATCGCTGTAAGTTAATTATTCACTGTCTGAAGTAGTGCTCTTTTGTCAATCCTGAATGTGTTGTCAATTAACTTAATTGAGTGACTGAGAGCTGTGGTGTGATGAGAGAGGGAGGAAAATTTCTCTATGTGCTGTCTGAGGGCTAGCCATAGCCTTAAAAACCTACATAATACCTCAGTTTTGTTTTCCTCCCTGTTGTATCTGTACATTATTGTTATGATTAATTATTATTTGGCGTTGTTTGGCCAAAAGGACCCCAAAGCTGTGAAAATATATATTAAATTACACGCAGCAGTTCTCAACCTGTGGGTCTCCAGATGTTGTTGGACTACAACTCCCATCATCGCTGAGCTCTGGCCTTGCTAGCTAGGGGTGATGGGAGTTGTAGTTCAACAACATCTGGGGACCCACAGGTTGAGAAAGGTTGAATTGCAGTAAAAGCATGATATTATAAATATATCTATGCATTACATTTATATTCCCCCTTTTCCTTCAAGTTGGGGAGTTTCTCCCCCTTTCCATTTTAACCTTACAACAACCCTGTGAGGTAGATGGCGACTGGCCCAAGGTCACCCAGTGAGTGTTTATAGCTGAGTGGGGATTTGAACTGTTGTCTGCTAGGTCCTAGTCCAGCACTCTTAACTATCAAACTACCCTGACTCTTTCTTTCACTTTAAACAGTAATAATGCAGTAGATCAACCATTAATCAAACACACGAATGTAAGGTGACACTATCAGGAGATAAGAATAAAATACACTCCCCCGATGCATCAGAAAGTGAGGAGGGACTAAAAAACTCCCCCACACCATAGCCTTTGCAGTGTCATCAGATATGTATCTACTTAGTCCCATTGAGTTCATTGCAGGAGGGCTGCAGGTTAGTGGTAGATCACATGTTTTGCATGCAAAAGGTCTCAAGACTCAAACCCTGGAGTAGGGGATTCCCGGGAATATCCCCTGCCCAAAATCTTGAGGAGTTGCTGTCGATCATTGTCAACAATATTGACGACTGGGGATGGGGGGCGGGAAGAGACATTTGATTCTGTTCATGCTGAAAGGCAAATATATCAAAGCTGCACTTTTCAAAACAGTAGGAGAACTGAAACACAGCTGTCCTTCAAAATTTGCACTGTTACGAATTTTGCGATGCAGCTCTGGAGCCGAACAGTCCTTACAGAAATGCATCTGCTAGGTAAAAGGTAGGGGGGGAAATGAAAGTTTAGTGAAAATGGCTTACAGAAATGCAGGGTATTAGGGGAAATTGCTTGTAAAAATGTATGCACACACAAAAAGGGGTTATTAGAAAAAAATTGTGCTAAAATACCGAAGAAACTTCATTAGGGTTTTCTTTGGGGGGAGCGAAAATCACAAATTGCTGCAGAAATGTGGAGAATGGAATTTAAGATGGGGGGTGGAAATAGAAATTGAGAGAACCAGAATTCACAGAGCCTTACACTCCTACTGAAGATTAGATTGACCAGTGGTTTGACTTGGTATCCGGCACCTTCATATACAATGAACGCTTGGGTTTGCGAACATGATCTGTGCGAGAGGCACGTTCACAACCCGCAGCGTCTGCAACCCACAGTAACGCGTCTGCGCATGCGTGGGTTGCGATTCAGTGCTTCTGTGCATGCGCGAGCGCCAAAACCTGGAAGTAACCCGTTGTGGTACTCCCGGGTTTTGGCGTGCCTGTAACTCAAAAACACGCAACCTGAAGCGTCTGTAACCCGAGGTATGACTGTATTCTAGTAAGCCCAAATCCCAGAAAAGTATGTGTGGGATTGTGACCAGAGTTGGCCCTGGGTGAAATAGCGCTCTGGACTGGGAGTGCCTTTGGCACTCATCACCCCCCACCTCACCCCGGTCACTTTTGCAGTATTCCCAAGTTGTGTGACTTCTGCAGATTGCGAAACCTAGCAGTGTGAAAGAGAGGCCCTACTGGTCTCACGAGATGCCCTGCAATACATAGATGATGCCAATTTGGAAAGACGCTGTTCATCTGGGCAGCACTACGAACTCTCCTGACATTTCCAGATACAGTTGTCAGTGGTGAGGGTGCTTCCTCAAACTTGAAGCTCATCAAAATGTACTGGTTATCTGTTATGGCGGGCGAGAGGCTCGCATCACAAGATAGCCAATCCATTCTGACTGACAGCTCCTGAAACCTGTTTTTCTCAGCCACTCAGCTGCAGTTTGCACACACCAAAGCCTTACAAGTTCACTTTCTGCATGGGGTTATTGCACTAGGGCAGTGGTGGGGGAAAGCTTTGGCATGCTAGATGCTGCTGAACTAAAACTCCCATCGGCCCCGGCAAGCATGGTCAATGTTCAGGGATGACTGGAGTTGTAGTTTATCAACATCTGGAGGGTCAAAGGGTCTCCACATCTGCACTAAGCAAGACGATGGAACGATTGCAGGTTTTACTTTTGCTTAGTTTTGTAGCAATCACTTTTTGGAAGCATTCTTTATTTCAGGAAATCCATCACCCAAGATAGCAACATTTTCATCTACAATTTATTTTAACGTTATCCCATGTTCATGCCTTCCCTGCTGAGTTATATGGAAGTGTTAGTTAGCTGCTGTTTATCATTTTAGACAAGGTAGATTGACAGCCTTGACAAAGTTTGTTTTTTGCAATGAAACAGTTTTATTTTTTATTAGAACTAAAGACAACATTCCCCATCACTTCAGCAGGGTATTTTGGATTTGTTACATTATTTATCTTCATAATGTGGACAAGGTGGCTGCATTTTTATCTTTGAAAATAATAAATAAATGTTATAAAGGAAATAATTTTGAAATTGGTCTCTTAGAGCTCTCTCTCTCTCTCATTATTGCTGCTTGGTCATGTCAACTCAGTCAACCCATGTTCCGCTAATTTTTAACAAAAACGAAACAGAAATGTTCTATTAAATATATACAGTGTGTGTGTGTGTGTGTGTGTGTGTGTGTGAGAGAGAGAGAGAGAGAGAGAGAGAGAGAGAGTATATACACTATATATATATAGGTCAAACTTATGGAGGGTGTCTTAGGGACTGTAGGATGCTGTGGATCTCTGGGGCAAAGAGGGAAGTCTCTTCTTGGATGCTTTTCTATATTTCTGGCAGAGAGCTCTGCCACTGTTGACCTTTGGCCATCTTTATTTCTGGGGATGTAGCAGGGGAACATTTAGAGCCATGCAGTGCAAGACAGTTACCTTTTCTGGATTTCCTCCTGCACCATTGCAGATGATCAGCCCTGCAACTGGTTTACTGATTTCCCCTTCCACTAGAACAAATGGAAGAGAGAAAATACTGCCCAAGAAAGCAGAAAAGGTTAAAAAGCCACCCCACCTCCCTCGTTGGTGATCACCTGTCCAGGATTTGGACTTTGTGGTTCTTTCCTTGTCTTGTTGAAGTTCATATTGGAGATTAGTATCCAGACAACTTGCAGATGAGGAGTGGAGATGTTGGATTATCGTCCCTGACCATCGGCTATGTTGACCAGGTGGAGGGCTACAGTTTTCCCACCCCCGCTGTAGAGGTTTTTTGTGTGTGTGTTTTGGTTTTGAATACCCTTCTTTCTTCACTCTGTCTCTTTGCAAAAAGTACACTCAACCAGCAACGAGCTCAGCTTGCCACCTCTGCCAGTTTGGTACCGAGGGTGAGCGGCCAGCCCTGATTGGCGCTTTAGAGTTGATGGATTGGAAAGTGGTCTAATCCTCTGATCATTCTTTTAAAAGTTGCTTTAATAATTTAATAATAATAATTTATTATTTATACCCTGCCCATCTGGCTGGGTTTCCCCAGCCATTCTGGGTGGCTCCCAACAGAATATTAAAAACATGATAAAAGATCTGACATAAAAAAATTCCCTAAACAGGGCTGCTTTCAGATGTCTTCTAAAAGTCAGATAGTTGTTTATTTCCTTGACATCTGATGGGAGGGCGCCACTACCAAGAAGGCCCTCTGCCTGGTTCCCTGTAACCTCACTTCTCCCTTTTGTTTACCTCCTTCAGCTATGCAATACTGTTTTTGAGATGGGGTAACCGGAACCGAACGCAGCATTCTAAATTTGGCTGGACACGAATTTATATAATGGCAACATACTTGCTGTATTTCACTGCAAGAAGAGGCAGCGTAATAAACGCTTTCTTGAAATGAGCTAAAAAGGGCATCTCTTCCATGCAAGTCACAGTGAAGAAAGGATAGTTGGATAGAAATTCATTATGCTGTATTATTGGTCAGCTATGACTGGCAGTGCTAGAAGATGCAGTATTAGTGCATGCCAATAGCAGATGTTGGGGAAAAAAGGTTCTCCCTACCTCAGGTTAAGTATTTCTCAATCTGTAAAATGAAAAGAGATGTATTGCAATCAGAATGGTTGGACACTGATGTCTGGGAAATGTACCTGAACTGATTTTTATTTTTAAAATATAGAAGAACTGAATGTGAAGCCAGGTGTTTAATAGTTGGACCTTGCATGGGGATCTCAGGGCCAATATGACGCTGTGTGTGTGTGTGTGTGTGTGTGTGTGTGTGTGTGTTTTAAACCCACCTCCTAGCATTCAAGCCATCTGTTTTCCATGTTTAAAATCCAACAGATGGAGAGTGCTGCTAGAGATGGATGGATCTGTCAATTTCAGTCCTCTCAGTTTATGATTCCCCCCCAGTCTTACATTCAGCTCTCCACATTTCCACAGCAACTTGTGATTATTATTATTTTTTAAAAATACCCCCAATCCTCTAGTGCTTTAGTGTAGATTATTCCTAAAATCACATTTTTGTATACACTTGCACATTTTCGCAACAAACAAGAAAGCATTTTGGTACGTTGTTCTTACACATATATTCATTTTTATGCACACTTTTACCTAATGTGTGCATATATGTAAAGATTTTTGGGTTTGAGAAGTGCATCACAAATTTCTGGGTATGTGCAGTTTCGAAGGCTTGCTGTTCTCATTGCATTTTGCAAAAGTGGAAATCTGATAGATTCAGTTTTAAATATAAACTGAATTGAATTTCTCTCCTATTCCCCATGCCCAGCCATACTTGCTGCTGTTCCAAATGGGCCTGTCCTCTCTTCTTAGCTCTGTAGGCATACATCCATGCCTTATATAAAACAAAATCCACCTAACAATAGCATAATGCCTAGTATTTTAGTATACAGTGGTACCTCGGTTTACGAACTTATTCCGTTCCAGAAGTCCGTTCTTAAACCGAAACTGTTCTTAAACCAAGGCACGCTTTCCCTAATGAGGCCTCCCACCGCTGGTGCCCTTCTACCATTCGGATTGCGTTCTTCTTCTTCTTGTTTAGTCGTTTAGTTGTGTCCGACTCTTTGTGACCCCATGGACCAGAGCACGCCAGGGACTCCTGTCTTCCACTGCCTCCCGCAGTTTGGTCAAACTCATGCTGGTAGCTTCGAGAACACTGTCCAACCATCTCGTCCTCTGTTGTCCCCTTCTCCTTGTGCCCTCCATCTTTCCCAACATCAGGGTCTTTTCCAGGGAGTCTTCTCTTCTCATGAGGTGGCCAAAATATTGGAGTCTCAGCTTCAGGATCTGTCCTTCCAGTGAGCCCTCAGGGCTGATTTCTTTAAGAATGGATAGGTTTGATCTTCTTGCAGTCCATGGGACTCTCAAGAGTCTCCTCCAGCACCATAATTCAAAAGCATCAATTCTTCGGCGATCAGCCTTCTTTATGGTCCAGCTCTCACTTCCATACATCACTACTGGGAAAACCATAGCTTTAACTATACGAACCTTTGTTGGCAAGGTGCTCGAGGTAAAGTTTGCAAACCGGGACAATTCTTCCGGTTTTGCGGAGTTCGTAAACCGAAACAGGACTGTTCTTAAACCGAGGTACCACTGTATAGCTGTCTTACGTTTCCATTAGCCAGCCCCGGCAGTCTACAAAATTCCCTTTGGACAGCAGTTACTACAATCCATTATAAAAGCATAGCAAATAAGGATTTTCCCATGGAAGAGGATTCCTGATGAGAACTTGTGAGACCCTGGATGCAGTCCCCACTTTGGCTACTGCCAGTTAAAGCTCTTTGACGGTCCATGCAGAAGGCTGTGATCCAGGGTTTTTTTACAGCATTTAAGCACAGTTTCATTATTCGGAAATCCGATCCCTTGATTTCAAAGCATAAAAGAAACAGAGATTCCTTAAAAAGCTGTTTACCCTGAGGGTCCATACTTTTTTGGGGGTCTGAAGAGTCCCAAGTCCATTTACAAATCTGGAGGAAGGCATGAGTCCAGCTTCCTTTGGCTCCAAGCACATGTTTCCAGTTAGGTGGTAGAAACAAAACAAGACAAAAAGCAGCAAACAAGAATGGGCCAATCCAAGATCTTTCATACCTCCAAAAAGAGATTCAGGCAGAAAAACGAAAATATAAAAATAAAAAATAGAGCCCTATACAATATCATCACCACTTACCTGTCTTTCACTCTCAGGTTCCAGGGCAGGTTACAACAGTTGAAACACAGTGTTGAAAACAGTTTAAAATAGGCTGCAGCCAAAGAAATAAGGTGGGACCTAAAACATGGGTTGCTTCTGATGCTTCATGAATAGGGCTGCTGATGGATGGGATAGCTGATGGATTAGCTGATGGAACAGATAGATAAACTGTTGAAAAACAGTTTATTTTGACTACTTAAACTTAAATAACACGCGGTTTGTTGTTATCTTTTAAGAATTCCTGTTAATACTGGTGCCTTATTTGAAGGTGACAAGCATCCACTTACAAGAGACAGTTTGTACTGTCTGTGATGGATAGAAATTGGAAGGGTTACATCTATCTATCTATCTATCTATCTATCCATCTATCATCTATGAACTGTTAATTTTTCTGATTCGGAAATTTATGTGGATTCCATTGAGTAAAAGCCACACAACTGATTGTCTACTGCTGCAATCCCATTTACAGTGGTACCTCGGGTTAAGTACTTAATTTGTTTCGGAGGTCCGTTCTTAACCTGAAACTGTTCTTAACCTGAAGCACCACTTTAGCTAATGGGGCCTCCTGCTGCCGCCGCACCGCCGGAACACAATTTCTGGTCTCATCCTGAAACAAAGTTCTTAACCTGAAGCACTATTTCTGGGTTAGCGGAGTCTGTAACCTGAAGCATATGTAACCTGAAGTGTATGTAACCTGAGGTACCACTGTACCTGGGAGGAAGCCCCACTGAATTCAACAGGGCTCACTTCTGATTAGACATCATTAGGATTGTGCTGCAAAATTTATTTTAAGCAAGTGAGCTTTGGATACCACATGGCATTTTCTTTAAAGAACTATTTTTCTTTAAAAAGTAATAATACAATAGGCAGGTATCTATCTTTCCCCCTTTCATATTTACTGGTAATTGCACAAGTATTGGGAGGGGGGAATTCCCACAGAAAACCACTGGATATTTGGGCCGTAAAACTGAAGCACATAAGTACTATTAAAAATCCCAGCTGTTGGAAGTTTCCATTTTGGCTTTCTTACCTCTGAAAGAAATTGGTCCCTCTTGTCTGTGGTACTCCAAGAAAGACTGGCAATGATTTATTACCTAGAGTTTTCCATTCCTTTTCAGTTCTGGTGTGTAATCTCTCATGCTTTAATTGTAAGCATGTTTACTTGGAATTGGGTCCTATTAACTCAGCAGAATTTTATTCCAAGTAAGATCTTGGCTGCAGATTGAGAGATTTGTGTTGACGTGCACCTCCTGTTTCCTTTGTTGCTGTCTTGTCTAGTGTGCACATTACAGTCACAATAACAAGAGTAAGAGCCTGCTGGATTGGACCAATGGCCCATCTAGTCCAGCATCCTATTCTCCCAGTTGGCCAACCAGATATGTATAGGAAGAGCTAAAGCATGATCTACATGATCTACTCATTTGTGATTCCCAGCAAATCATGACTTCGAATGAGCGTGTGGGTTCCTGGAGAGGAGATTGTCGCTGTTGCACTCCTCTGATCTTCCTGCAGCTGTGACATTGGGCTCATGGTCTTTCTCGCTCTAGACAAACCACAAGTTGTAAGTAAGCTCTTTGTTCTTGGAATTGCTACTTGTGGTTTGTCTGGAGCATCACAATTCTAGGTTTTGATGAAATGATAAACTAAACCATGGTGTGATGGCCTAGGACTTGGGCTCGGACTTGGAGCCAGAGGAGTCTCAGTCCGCACCAGATCCTCTGCCTCAGACGGCATCTGAACCTAGTCTGGGGCCTGATTCTGAAGAGCCCCAGTCTGCACAGGTTCCCCTGCAGCAAGCACCAACTGGGCCGAGTCAGGGGCCTGAGCCTGCCCTGGCTCCAGATGCGGGGATTACCTCGTTGCCCTCTGCTGCTCCACTACCAGTTGGGTCAGGAGAGGCTGAGGCGGCCTCTGGGTCTAGTAACCCACTGACATCTCCCGAGTTGCAGAGACTCAGGTCTGAGAGAAGGAGAGACCTGAGTACTCGCAGGAGGAGTGCTCGCCTTTGGGCGAGACAGGGAAGTGAGTCACTGGGGGATCAGGACTGGCCGTTATCCCAACAGAGATAAAAGGCTGCCGGACCCCGCCCCAGGTTGCGAAAGCAACATTGCTGCTTGCTGGAACCTGCCTGAAACCTTGTGCCTGACCTAGCCTTGTTTCCTGCCTTGGCCCTGTTGGACTGACTCCTCGTGGAATCCTTGGATTCGGGACCAGACCTGGACCGCGTGGCTCGGGTTAGCCCCCCGTGCCCAGGACACATGGCTTGCCTCACAGCAATGTAGCTGCAGTAGGATGAGAAGAGGAGCAAAGCAGCTGTGATCTCCTTCCTGGGAACTTGCATGTTCCTGCTAAGCCATGGGCTGTGTGGTGGGGGTGGGGGAGGGAGGACAGGGAGAAACCATCACTGCCACTAAGGTAGACACGAAGGTTGGACTAGATGAATTTTGGTGTCCCTTCCAACTCTCTGATTCTAATGCCTCCCTCCCACCTGAACTACTGAGTTGGTTTGGCCCCTCCACCTTTCCAGATGGGGAGGGAAACCAAGCAGACTCTACACCAGTGTGGTGTAGTGGTTAAGAACAGTAGACTTGTAATCTGGTGAACCGGGTTTGATTCCCTGCTCCTTCACATGCAGCTGCTGGGTGACCTTGGGCTAGTCACACTTCTCTGAAGTCTCTCAGCCTCACTCACCTCACAGAGTGTTTGTTGTGGGGGAGGAAGGGAAAGGAGAATTTTAGCCACTTTGAGACTCCTCAGGGTAGTGATAAAGCGGGATATCAAATCCAAACTCCTCCTCCTCCTCCTCCTCCTCCTCCTCTTCTTCTTCTTCTTCTTCTTCTTCTTCTTCTTCTTCTTCTTCCCCAATGCGACACCCCTTCAGTTTCCGGCTTGCAAATTAGACTGCTCAACTTGGGGATGGACAGTTTGAGACATGTCTCTTAAATAGAAACATGATTGTTCCCCGCCATCTGCGACACACTGGAGGGCACGCTAGCCTAGGAAGGGGGAAAGCAAAGAAGGACGATGCCAAAACCAATGGCAGGATCTTTCAGCCCCATCTCCTGCTTTGTAAGCTCCCTGTTATATTTATTGTGGAGGTGAGGGCGGTGCAGCCTGTTTACCCTTGTGCGCAAGCATTTAATGTCCACGCTACAGAGATTTCTGTGGTCCTCCGGTGTGAATGCAGAATTGTTTTTGTCGAGTCCTCTTCTCCTGCGTGGAGGTGGCAGATGAGGGGGGCGGCAGTGGAAGTGAACAACATGTTGCCTGAATGGCATGTGTCCTGGGGGAGCCGTCCGATGTGGTTGACTCAAGCCTAGCTTCCTTTGCATCAGACTGAAGGTCCAGACCCCTGGTTCAAAGCAAATAAATTTACCTTTCTGTTGGAAGGCTGGCTCCAAGGAGGCTTGGATTAACTTTACTAGCAGTGTCAACACGCTGCAGCTGAGTAAATCATAGCTCAACAAGAACAGCATCTTCATTTTCAAAATTAGCTCTATTACCATTTTGAGTGGGGAGAAATAATTTAGGGGGTTTGTTGGACCAGGATAAGAAGTGTGCTTTGATCCTCTTCTACAGATGTAGAGCGGCATTACAGTGTTCTGAACGAAACTGGCTTATACTGATTCACTGCCCATTTGAAAGGAGTGAATTATGGGGAGCAATTTTGGTGGGGTGTTTTTGTGTGTGTGTGATTTTCTAAAGGATTCACGAGGTGGGCAGGTTTACCATTGTTGGCAATACTGGCATGGTCTCTTTCTCTCTAATTCTAAAGCTGCAACATGATCGCAGATACTCCATGTTATGCTGCTTCATGGCGAAAGCGTTGTCTGCTTGCAGATGAAGGTGGGGTATTAAAGGAAGGAGGGCTGAACTACAGAGAGGGCAATGAAGTGTTCCAGATAGTATTTCTTATAACAACAACAACAATTTTATTATTTATATGCCGCCCATCTGCTGGTTTGCTCCAGCCAAGCACCCACAGCTTCCCAGAGATGGCGCCTATGGTTCTATTGATTTTTAAAAGATCTTATTATAGTTGGATCAAATGTGTGTCAGTGAAGGATCACTGGCATTTCCTGAAACGTATGGCCATTTCAGACTGTTTGTGTTTTGGGGTGGGATTCGATCATTTGCTGAAAATGTAGGTGGCGATCAGGTGCAACAAACCTGCTTTCCCAAAAGATAGAGTGGTTTTGCAACAAGGGAAGTGACGAGAAAATGTGCTGGAAAGTTTGGGATAATACTTACCGGTACATTGGCACAGTGTCATCTAACCTCCCTGCAAAACAAATCAGAATGAATGCATTGAGCAGCCAACGTCGTTTAATCTCCAAACAAATCAGGATGAATACTGGATTTAAATAGCTTGTGTGAAAGCACTTATAATGCTTTCCTAAAAAAAAGATCTACAGTGGCTCTCAGTACATTTCCAAGCACAAGTCACAGTATTTGTGCTGACCTTAAAAGCTTTGGCCCTGAATACCTGAAGGAGCATCTCCACCTCCATCATTCAGCCTGGACACTGAAGTCCAGCTCCAAGGGCCTTCTGGTGGTTCCCTCATTGCAAGAAGTGAGTTTACAAGGAACCAGGCAGAGGGCCTTCTCGGTGGTGGCGCCCGCCCTGTGGAATGCCCTCCCATCAGATGTCAAGGAAATAAACAACTATCTGATTTTAGAGGACATCTGAAAGCAGCCCTGTCAGGGAAGTTTTTAATGTTTGATGTCTTACTGTGTTTTAATGTGTTGGAAGTTGCCCAGAGTGGCTGGGATAACCCAGTCAGATCAGAATAATAATAATAATAATAATAATAATACAGTGGACCCTCGGGTCACATTACCTTCAGGTAACGTAACTTTTGGGTTCCGAACGCAGCAAACCCGGAAATGGTTTTGGCGCTCGCGCATGCGCAGAAGCACTCTATGGCGCTGCGTGCATGTGCAGAACAGGCACCTCCGGTTACGAAAATTTCGGGAGACTGCCGGGCCTCCAGAACAGATCCCATTCATAACTGGAGGTACCACTGTAATAATAATAATAATAATAATAATAATAATAATAGGTGTGTTTGTTTTGCTTTGCTTTCTGTCCATTGCGTAGCTGGTATGCTGTGCTGTGCTGGCCGCATTGCAAAAAGTTACTTTTCATTGCATTTCAATAAGTTCTGGTTGCTTCCCACGAGAGGCTGGTCCTCAGTGCTTTGCACAGTTCTTTGGTGCTTCTCTGCGCGAGTGTGACTCCTCTTGTCAAGCCTGTTTTTGCTGTCACTGTGGCTCGCCTGTTGCCAGGGCAGCGACGAGCTGCACAATGACTTGGGGTGGTGGAAGGTCTGCATTCGAGAACTCACTTTGATCGGCGGGCCGTGAGCCAGGAAGGGATTTAGGTGAGCCACGGGCTGGCTCCCTTGTGTTGGGGGAGCAGCGTGACCCCGCACACAGAGCAGGCATCTAGCCTGGCTGGCTGGCTGGCCGGTTCCCTGCTCTTGGCATCCTCAGCGTTACAGAGTCCTGCTCAGTGATCCCTGCGTGATACTGAGCTCTGCCCCTCTGGTTAGTGGAAGGAGTGTTGGTAACAGTAGTTGGCGGCTGGAGGGGGAGAGGCAAGTGGTGGCAGATGTTGCTAATGCCAAAAGCTTCACAAACAGGATTAGGCAAGCCGGGGCTATAACTACTCCAGCTGTGCACAGCTGTAGCTGAGCTTTCACAACAAGCTGCTCCCCCCCTTTTTTTGAATTGGGAACTAATTTGGCAAAGGGTTCTTTTCCCTGCTGTGAATTTTAAGTTGCCTGTAAGGCTGTGGAGGGAATGCCGGAAAGGCAGCCATGCCTTGTGCTTTGTGGAAGCTTGCAATCCACTTTCTTTTTTTTAAAGGCAGCGCTTTGCAAGATGGGCATTCTCTGTTTCTCCATGTTTGCTTTGGGAGGGGGAATTATTGTCTTCCTGTTTTACCCTTTTCCCTTATTTAAAGGGCAAGGCGTGAACTGCCCAGGATACTGAGCATTCCAAGTTTGTTCATGTCATTGTAGTTTTTGCTGTGTGTGCGCAAATTAACTTCTGCGTCTGCTACCTTCTCTTACTTTTATATGGTCAAAATTTTGTTTTGTAGTTGTCCAAGGACTAGAAGCAATTAAATGAGTCTGATCTGATCTCTTTTACACAGTAGGACAAAAAGGCATATATTTCTCTCTCTCTCTCTATATATATATCTATATCTATATATATACTGTTGCTTTTATTTGTATTTCATTTAAATATTTCTAGCTGACCAGCTTTTAGGGCAAAGGATCCACAAACTGACTTTTGTAAAACACAATATAGTATTTATTTATTTCGTAAGTTTTATACGCTGCTTGATTGTAAAATAAATAAACTCCTGAAGCGGTTTACCAAAAACAAAAAACAGACAAACAAACAATAAAATGACATTTGAAAAGAAATAATCTTAAACATTCATAAATTAAAACCAGCAGAACCGGAGTGGGTGGGGCAACGCAGTCAGTTGGGTGACATATTAATAATAATAATAATAATAATAATAATAATAATAATAATAGATTAAAGCACACATCAGCATTCTAGATATTGGAGTAGGCTTATCTAAACATAAATGTTTTTAGCAGACACTGAAAGAAAGTACCGTGAAGGCACCTGCTTGATTCTAATCTTCAGGGAGTTCCAAAATGTAGGTGCTCCTACACTAATATGTTGTTTCAAGAAAATGCAGCCCTTTAAGAAGCAGCTGAAAGCGATTCACAAACCAGTAGCACACCACCATATGTTTATGAAAACAATCTGAATCCAACACAGCACTATTATTCTTCCTGGGAGTTGCAGTCCAATATATCTGGTGGGTACCAGGTTGAGGAAGAATGCTTTAGCTTGTCCCCATTGTGGCCAATTTTTTCCACTTCTGCTCCATGAATTTTATCAGTTTCCCCTGCCTTTTTAGAGATGTCTAAACTGGTGACCATCATAGAATCATGGAAGTGGGAAGGGACCCCAGGGGTCATCTAGTCCAACCCCCTACAATGCAGGATTCTCAACTAAAGCATCCATGACAGATGGCCACCCAGCCTCTCCTTAAAAACATCCAGGGAGTCTGCCACCTTCTGAGGGTGTCTGTTCCACTGTCAAACAGCTCTTACTCTTGCTGTCATCACATTAAAAAGGTAAAGGTAAAGGACCCCTGACAGTTAAGTCCAGTCGTGGCCAACTCTGGGGTTGTGGCGCTCATCTCGCTTTATTGGCCGAGGGAGCCGGCGTACAGCTTCCGGGTCATGTGGCCAGCATGACTAAGCCGCTTCTGGCGAACCAGAGCAGCGCACGGAAACGCCGTTTACCTTCCCGCCGGAGCGGTACCTATTTATCTACTTGCACTTTGATGGGCTTTTGAACTGCTAGGTTGGCAGGAGCAGGGACTGAGCAACGGGAGCTCACCCCTTCATGGGGATTCGAACCGCCGACCTTCTGATCGGCAAGTCCTAGGTTCTGTGGTTTAACCCACAACGCCACCCGCATCCCACAATGCCCCTTAAAATATACAAAAACAAGGAACTGGTCCTTTCCTGCACCATGCAAAGCTCACATAGTATGTAGCCAGCTCCCACACCTCTGGACACATTTTGGCAAATTCAAAAAATTCGCCCGGACAGAAATTTAACCCCTGAAAAAGAGGACATGTCCTGGAAAAAGGGGACGCGTCCTAGCATGGAAATGCATGTGTTTGTGAAAATAACGTGCAAAAGTGTGTCGTGCTAGGGGAAATCCCTTGGAAAAATGTGTACATTGCTGCAAACTGTATACAAGTATGTGTATTCAGGTGACATTTGCACTAAAATGCTGCTGCTGGTTTTTTAAAAAAGAAAATCGTAAATTGCTTCCAGCTATATCTGGAGAAGTGAATTTAGGAGTGGGGAAATGTGAAATGGAGAGCGGCGTCCCTAGCCACCGCCGAGAACTGCATAGTCAAGTATCCATCCAACCACAGTCGTTGGCTGATGGCCTGCATCCAGGTTGGAAGCTTGCAAATTGCACGGGCTTGCTTTGCCCGTGTGCAAATATACAACAGAGGTTTGGCTTGGAGTCTGCAACTGTTGCTTTCTTCTGCTAGGTGGGTGTGACCCTTTTCTGGGGCAGACTAGCCCTGGTTAACAATGGTGCCATCAGGGCAGGACTTTGGGGAAGGAGCCAGGGCTCCACTCAGCAGAATGCCAATGCAGCTGGGCTGGCTTAGCCACATTTTAAACTAATAAACGTTGCAGGCTAAGGGGGAGGCCTCTCCACAAGACTGTTCAGCCCAGGCTGTAAATTATCTTGGGCCACTGTTCATTAGCCCTGTGGAAAGTTGTTGTTTTGTTTTTTTTAAAGGAACCCACCCCCCCTTTCTCCCTCAATTACCTTTGCTGCTACAGTGGTACCTCGGGTTACATACGCCTCAGGTTACAGACGCTTCAGGTTACAGACTCCGCTAACCCAGAAATAGTACCTCAGGTTAAGAACTTTGCTTCAGGATGAGAACAGAAATCGTGCTCTGGCAGCGTGGCGGCAGCAGGAGGCCTCATTAGCTAAAGTGGTGCTTCAGGTTAAGAACAGTTTCAGGTTAAGAACTGACCTCCGGAATGAATTAAGTGCCTAACCCAAAGTACCACTGTATTTAGCATTTATTCTGTGCTGGTAGTGTGCTGCTAATGAGCAGAAATTTGCAAGGCACTTTCTTTTGTGTCTGTTAAGAGTATATAATACTTAGAGAGGGGAGGGAACAGGGTCTTCTGTAGGCTATGCTGAGACACCAACACCTGCTACTTCACTGCTTCCTGTAGAAGCTTGAATTGTACCCGCAGGAAAATGTTATATCCCTTAAAATAAACAGTGCCCTTTTGTGAAGTGTTTGTGTGTGTGTGCATGCATGTGTGTGTGTCATGCATATATATATATATATATATATATATATGCATCTAAGAAAACAGAAGAAAGCCACAGGATAAAAATACAGCTCCCGCTAGGCAACAACCATTGAAAACAGCAAGCTTCTGAATTCCTGTCTCTGCTCAGATCTGTTTTCCAATCTGGAAGGTGTCCCCCCCCCCCTCTATTTCCCCTTTAGGAAGCTGCCTCTCTACTGAGTCAGGGATCATTAGTTCATCTGTTCCAGAATTGCCTCCATTAGCCTTCCCCAACCTGGTGTCCTCCAGATGTTTTGGAGACCATAACTCTCCTCAGTCCCAGCCAACACAGGGAACGGTCAGGGATGATGGGGGTTGTAGTCCAACATTCTCTGGAGGACCACAGGTGGTTTTTTTTAATTTTTTAAAAATAGTATATTCATTGCTGTCAATAGGAACTTCACTATATTTCCTGCTTGTAATCTTATTTGAATTGGAGTGAAGGATAAAACCATAATATCCAGATGATCTTCTGGGATACAGAGAAGCAGGGCTTTTTTTCATCGGGAACTCTCCAGAACTCAGTTCCGGCACCTCTCAGGTACAGAGCCGTAGCTAGGTCTGGTGGAACGCTCTCTCACAAGAGACCAGGGCCCTTCAAAATTTGGCATCTTTCCGCAGGGCCTGCAAGACGGAGCTGTTCCGCCAGGCCTTTGGCCAGGGTTCAGTCTGACTCATTTTCTCTTTGTATAAGAACAAGCACGAAGGAGGTTTCCCAGCCTGCTCACAGGTCCTTATAATATCAGTGGAAACAGTTGGTCCTGGCGAGTATTAACCACTTTGAATTTTAACCTGAGGATTGTCATTTGGCCAGTTTTAATTTTAATTTATCTGAATTCATTTTGGGATGCATTTTAATCTATTGATTGCTTGTTTTTATGCATATGGTATTATTTAAATGATGTTAGCCGCTTTGAGCCCGGCTCCGGCTGGGGAGGGTGGGGTACAAATAACAATTTATTATTATTATTATTATTATTATTAGGTGATCTTGCACCCCTGGCAGAACTGTTCAGATTGCGCCCCTGAGCCACAGACAAATTAGCTCTTCCCTCCGCCTCTCCTCCAACCCCACCTCTACCCATTCAATTCACCCTCTATTAAAAACCATTTCTTATGAGGCAATAATCAATATTTATATTTATGGACATTTTTTTTAATGCACAAAAACATACAAAACCATGTAAAAGGATCAAATTGAGAAACAAGGACACACAACATTTTTTTTTAAAAACTATCCCTGAACTCCTCTTTCCCCTGCTGCTTCTCCTGTTCTCAAAGTCAAGGTCTGGGAAAGGCTCTCAGGGCTGGAGGGTGGAACAAAACAGGTGGAGAAGCCATTGCCTGCAGAAAGTATCTCTCCTCTCAGTCAGGTTTCAAGGTCTCAATGTACCAGACACCATATGACTGGAGTCTGATGAACGTAAGATACAAATGTGTCTATGCTCATAGCTTTTTCTTTCTTTCTTTCTTTCTTTCTTTCTTTCTTTCTTTCTTTCTTTCTTTCTTTCTTTCTTTCTTCCCTCCCTCCCTCCCTCCCTCCCTCCCTTCCCAAGCTTGTGAAATATAGTAAGGAAAGTCTGGATGAAATGCAAAAGCCATTTGGTATCCTTGACGTTGAGCATCTTCTAAGGGGAAAGAACCGTGGCTCATTGCAAATGCAAGTCCAGTCCCTGCCATCTCTAGGTAGGACTTGGAGAGATCCTGTCTGACAGCCCAGAGGTGCGCTGCCAGTCAGTGTTGACAGTGCTGAGTTAGATTGACCCAGTGGTCTGACTAGGCGTAAGGCAGCTTGCTGTGTTCCTTTCAATCTCTAAATGGCTTGGGACCTAGGTACACAAGGGAAAGCCAATTCCTATAGCAGCATGCTTGTTTACTAAGATTGTCCTTAGAGACCTTCTCCATGTATCTTTGGTAGGAGAGGTACATTAAGTATTTGATCTGTACAGTGGTACCTCGGGTTACATACGCTTCAGGTTACAGATGCTTCAGGTTACAGACTCTGCTAACCCAGAAATAGTGCTTCAGGTTAAGAACTTTGCTTCAGGATGAGAACAGAAATCGGGCTCCGGCGGCGCAGCAGCAGCAGGAGGCCCCATTAGCTAAAGTGGTGCTTCAGGTTAAGAACAGTTTCAGGTTAAGTATGGGCCTCCGGAACAAATTAAGTACTAAAACTGAGGTACCACTGTAGTAGCACCCAGACATGTCTTGCATCAAAATAATGCAATCTTTTAATGTGTTCCTATTTGCCAAAGCATTTTTGATCCAGGGGGCAGGGTCCGATTAAGGCCACATTCACCCCTAACATTTAAAGCTTTATGTTATTACTTTAAATAGTCATGGCATTCCCCCAAAGAATTCTGGGAGCTGTAGTTGGTTAAGGCTGTTGAGAGCTATTAGGAAACCCCTGCTCCCCTGAGAGAGCTACAATTCTCAGAGGCAATCCCTCTTCAGGAGGAACTCCCCAAATCCGTTCCAGACAATATTAGATTGTATTGCATTGCATGCAATTGCACCCAATATTCTTTTGCAAAGAAATTCCCCAAGATATGATGCATCGTGTATGCTCTTTTCACTAATATATTCATTTCTATCTCCACGTTACCCTAGCAAATGCAATTTTGTACATGTTGCTTGTCCGAAGAGCTGCATTGCAAAATTCAGTGAAGTGCACATTTTGAAGACCAGCTAAGTTTCGGTCCCATATTGTTTCAGCAAGTGCGAACTAGATAACTTTGCCTTCAATTGCAAACTCAACCAAATTTCTTCCCCGTCCCTAGTAACAAACACTTTGGGTCCGCAGCTATTTTTTTTGGGATGCTTCCTAAGGCGTACTGTATCAGAAGCGAAGCAGCCCAAAGCTCATGCAATGTGAAGAAAAACAAACACAAGAGAGTGCCTATCTATGACTTGACATTTCCTCTGCTGGACAATAAAATAATTGTTTTGCTGCCTGCCTCTTTTATGCCTGGGCTTTCAACTGGGAGATGCCTTCCAGAGCCAACCAGGAAGAACGCGGAGCCTTTTCAAGGGTCTGTCATGTTGTGCTTGGGTCTTTTTTTCTTTCTGGAATCCTACTGTGCCTCTTGCTTTCTCTTCCTTCCTCCTTGGCAGAACCTTTATGCAAAGTTTTGTCTGGAATATGTCCTTGAACTTTGATAATGGCTCTGAGTTGCTTGGATGGAGCATGGAGAAGGGTGTGTGTAGAAGCTACCCTACTCTATAAAGGTCTAATTTGCCTCCATTGCTTCTGGCCCTGTCTACCACTAGCATATAACCTGTGGAGGATTTGACCAGAAAGGAATGCAGCCTTGGACAGAAGAAATGTTCTCCGCCCCTAACTTTGTGAACCACCCTTGTCTACAGCATCACACTGGTTTTAGTCACACTGGCATATTTAGAGATTTCTCTGAATCTCCAGACTTCCCACCTTCCCCTCCACGGATCCTGTTGTCCACCTTTTCAACTGCATATTATTTCATATTCCATATTTTACCGTATTTTTCGCCCTATAGGGCGCACCGGCCCATAGGGCACACCTAGTTTTTTTGGGGGGAAACAAAGACACCCCCCCCCCGTGAGAAGGGGAGAAGCCTGAGCTTCCCCTGACCCCAGCCCCCAGAACAGGCTTCTATCCGCAAGCCTAGGGAGCCTGGCGGGAACTCCCACCGGGCTCCCCAGGCTTGTGGATATCTGCCCGAAGACAGCAGCGCGCCCCAGGCTTCTGTCGGAGAACAGCGGGAAGGTGGCGCTCCACCTCCCCGCTGTCCCTCGAGCTTGTGGGGCTGGCGGTGGGGAGAAGCGCTGATTTCCCCACTGCCAGCCTCCAAACCAGGTCGGGTTTGGAGGCTGCTATCCGCAAGCCTTGGGAGCCCGGCGGCAACTCCCGCTGGGCTCCCAAGGCTTGAGGATAGCTTCCTGAAGCCTGCATTCGCCCCATAGGACGCACACACATTTCCCTTTCATTTTTGGAGGGGGAAAAGTGCGTCCTATAGGGCGAAAAATACTGTATATCTTTCCATACTGTCCATGGTATTTGCTACATCACAAGTGTTACTCCGACCTGGTGGAATGTTCCATGAGACCAGGGCCCTTCAGGATTTAACCTCCTTCCATTGGGCCTGTAAGACAGAGCTATTCCGCCTGGCCTTTAATTTGAATTCAGCCTGATCTTTTACTTCCCTTTCCTTCCTCCCCCCTCCCCTTTTATGAAGATCACCCGCTCTGCGACCCCACAGCTAATTCTTTCCTGGTCTCCGCACTGGCCCAAGTAGGACCAATTCAGCCAGTTAGCCCTGGGGATTATCTAATGCTTATTTCCCCTAAATTGATTTTTGAATTTTATTGTTATTCATGTTTTTATACTGTATTTTATGCTGCTTTTATAATTAAGTGTTTTAAATTTGTTGTTAGCCTCCCTGAGCCCGGTTTTTGAACCGGGAAGGGCAGGGTATAAATATAAATTTATTATTATTATATTATTATTACTAAAATCCTGCTAATGTTTCCATCTGCTTACAGTGGTCTCCTAAATAAATTATAATTTCCCCCCATTCTTTACTGAAGTTTTTGTCTTCCTGGTTTCCGGTCAGTTTTGCCATTTCACTGTTCTCCAACAGCTTGGTTTGGCATTCCTCTCTGGTAGGGACTTTATCTTCTTTCAATCTTTGGACTAGTAGCTTCCATGCTGCTGTTGTCGCATACATAAAAAGTCTCTTCTGCCCCTTTGGGATATCGGTACCTACAATTCCTAACAAAAAATCACAGTGGCAAATTTGATGGCTATTGAGCCCCTGCCCTGGCAGCCAACACAAGGAATAGCTTCCTGCCTGTGAAAGTGTATGTTGTCAATTATAGCATCTCAGGAGCATTACATAATAAATAGAACAGCATGAACGGTAGCAATGCATATGGATTGATGAGCCTTTCCTGCTGTTAACCCCATGAGAGCTGCATGGATCAAGCGTCTTGACGGATCCTAATGTAAGTAGGGCTGGATGATAGATTGATATATCATCCAAAACCAGTTTGAAGTCCGTATCGTGATACTGGTTTAATAATTTTGACCTGACAATATATTGTGTGTGCGCGTGCTATGCAAAAATCACAATGTGGCAAAAACTGTGAAGCTAGCCAACAGATTGTTCCATCCTTATTTCAGACATCATGATATATCAGTATATCATGATGTTTAGCTGGTGATACATCATGATGTTGAAAACCAGGTATCTCCCCACCCTAATTGCAATCCTTGCTTACTTTACAAGGAAGAGCTGTTCCATAACACGACTGTTCCTATTGTGTGTGCAGGGGAGGGGGGATGTGACAATGGAGCAATTTTCATTCATAATTTTATTTGTATGCCACTTTTCCACAAAAAAGAACCGTGCTCATAACGGCTTGCGGCAAAGGAAACAGGAATGCGTTTCAAAATCAAACAGTGCGAAATCCATTTCATGGCAGCATAAAATAGCAACACAATAGCATATTACCAAAACAATGACATTTCAGTACTATAAATACAAAAAGATTACACCTTCTGGCAGTAGCAAAATTTAACAAGGAAGCTTAATAGCTTCATCCTGGTCCTATAAACATTCCTCTTGAGACGTTGCTCACGGTCCGTCTCCTGCTGCAGTCTTATAAGACTTGCAAAGGCGGGGTGTGTGTGGTTTAGCTGAAAACACCCTTCCCCTGAAGTTAGCGCCATGATGATGCAGGTATTCTAGAACCTAACTAGAATATTCTGATAAAAAATCAGCTGGGTGCTCCTTACAAAAGTGGGCACTAGGCAAAGCGCCTGCCTCACCTAGGGGTCTAAAGGAACATTTCCGTTCTAGCCCATTTTTGTCGCATGCAGCACTGTTTCTGTTCTGCTGCAGTTTAGCTTCTGACAGCTATGTTATTCATCTCACTGTCCATGGCGGCAGAATTTTATGTACTTAAATAAGGGTCATCATTGCATTATTCCACACCATTCGTTTCAAAACAAAGACCATCATTTACATGCAAATCAAAGACCAGGGAAACGGGGGGTGGGGGTGGGGGGGTTAGAAGGGAGAAGCGATCAGTTACGTACTGTTTTGCGCGGTAAAAACAACAACGTTGAATACCGCTTGTATTCACTGGTTTGATTTCTGTTCAGGACGTGGGACGAATAAGCAAGCATTGACATTTTCTGCTTCTTTCCCCATTCATGTTGGGAGTTCTCCTCCAGCCTTATCCTACATCTGGAATAAAATCCAGGAAGATGGCAAGTGAATTTCTGTTTGTAACCTGTCAGGGCAGCTCTTGCAAGTTCCTGATGCCAAAGATAAAAGCATTAAAGAGTTGAGAAGTTCCGGCTTTGGCTCTTTATTTCCAGGGTCAGGTACGGGTGATTCCCATGTTGCAATCAAGAAACATGGAAAGATCATTTTGTAATAGATCCATGTATGTGTAAGCAAGAATGCATCACACCCATGGCCGGATTTAGGTTTGATGAGGCCCTAAGCTACTGAAGGTAATGGGGCCCTTTATATGTCCAGCTGTCCTTTGTCAACAACAAATGGTCACTTTTTGGTGTGTTGAATATATGGTATATGGTAACTTATGGACCTAAAAGGTATCTAAAGGCATTTGCACATAACAAAATATGTATTTAATCAAAGTAACTGATATAGAAATGAGCAAACCAGTGATATTTTAGGAAGCAGGCTAGCAGGCAGGGCCCATTACTTACATCATAGGAGCCTCCACAACACAAAATACTGTTGCTGTATGTAGGTTTTATTTTATTTGTTTTTTATCTTATATTTTGGAAATGTACATCCAGGTTTTTTTCCTTTAAATTTTTATGAGGCCCCCGAGAGAGTGGGGCCCTAAGCTATAGCTTGTTTAGCTTATATGTAAATCCGGTGCTGATCACACCCAAAGGTGTGCTTGTACAGTGGTACCTCGGGTTAAGAACTTAATTCGTTTTGTAGGTCCGTACTTAACCTGAAACTGTTCTTAACCTGAAGCACCACTTTAGCTAATGGGGCCTCCTGCTGCCGCCACACCGCCGGAGCCCGATTTCTGTTCTTATCCCGAAGCAAAGTTCTTAACCTGGGTTAGCGGAGTCTGTAACCTGAAGCGTATGTAACCTGAAGCGTATGTAACCCGAGGTAGCACTGTATATGTTTTCAGTTATTTGTGTTTTATCCGTGATTGTCTTAATTTTGGGATTCCCAGTTCTGGGGGGAAAGGCAAGATATAAATAAAATAATGAAGATATTTAATGTTTTAATTAAACAAATAATATTAATAGTTTTTTATTGCTATAATTGTTGTTGTTCCATCTGTTGCTTTTTACAAAAAGAAAACCTCAAAGTTTCTCTCAATAAAATGCAAAATACAGGATTCTGCCTGCAAAGTTATGGAAAAATATTTGGAAACCTAATGAGCCTGTTAGTTGTGTCCATTAATTTCAATGAATCTACTCTGAGTAGGGACTAGCATTTGCTAAAACTCATTGTACTGTAATAGGCTTATGAAATAAATACAGCCCTCCTAAAAAGAATACGATGCATTATGCATGCCTCAATTAAAATTAGAATACACATTAAAAATGTTAATCCAATTTGGTCTAGAGAGCCTGGGAGTGGAGGGGAGGGGGGTTTGCATATGTTTTTACTCTTCCTCTCCACTTTTCCTTAAAGCGATAAGGGAGCCTTTTTCATACACATGTTGCCTCAATTTTTAAGAGACCGCTGCTATTTTATTCCGAGGAATAAATTAGTCCCGAATAGTAATAAAAGCAGCTGGTTGCTTTGAATGTAGGGTGGGGAATGGGGGTGGGGGAGAGTGCCTTCCACATAACATAATTAAAAATAAAGTTTGTGGCTATTAGACATACAATAAGCGTTCTGTGCGCTGGTGTGAAAGGCTCTAAACAAACAACTCTTTGCTCATTTTGCAAGGCTGCCATAATTTTACCGCTGTCTGTTTTAATAGCAGCAGGGGATCATTGCGTGCAGCTTTACTCCATTCTTTTTTTTTCTTTTAAAAAAGAGTAGTTGTATTCCATGTTATTCTCTGATGGGATTCATGGCAGGTTTTGTAGGAAAGTTCTCAAATCCCTGATTGGTGCTTTTCAAGGGACGTTCCGTCACCCAGAGTGGTAAAGCAGAAGGTTTGCATGCAGAAGGTCTCAGAATTAAAAGCCACTGTCACAGGCCACCTCTCCAGGTCCAGGGGCTACCAGCCACCACTGCTCTGCACTATATTTTCAATTTTCAGACCCTTGTCATCAGTATGACCTGAACCCTGTGACGCTTGGGGATTTCCTTGTAGCTAAGCTTCTCAAAATTATTATGTAATCTTTTCAAGTTCGGTGAACTAATAGACAATATGGGATTGATTTTCAACCACATCGGCATTTGCTACCCAGGCTGATGGGTGCCTTTTGCAGCCTTTGATTTGCTAAGCAGAACCTCTGCGATCTCAGAAAGCGAGATCTGTCTCTGCCAAGGTGTGGTTCTGCGTTTAGAAATCCTCACTTCAGAGGAAGGTGGATATCTGCAGGCAGAAGGAATCTTCCACTCAGGAAAGGGTTGTTTTATAACTCATGCTAGGGCGTTGTGCAAAAAAAGCGCATCTCAACCCAAAATGCTTTAATTATGAATTATTCCATTTATATCCCAGCTTTCCTCCTAGGAGTTCAGGGTTGGGGATTCAGTTTCCCTCTCCCTTATTTAATCCTTACAACAACGCTGTGAGGTAGGTTAGGCTGAGAGATTGTGACAGGCATACGGTCACCCAGTGAGCTTCATGGCAGCTGTGGCTGCTGATGTTAGAAAGTACCATTTAGTGTTTTGTTGTTGTGGTGTGTGTGTTTAAAAGAAGGATTGTATCATTTTAATGGATTTTATCTTATGTTTATCTATTTGACCTTCTTTTAAACTCCCTGTGGCTTGTGCAAAGGGTGGTATATAAATAATCTCTGAATAAATAAAATAAGCAGCTAAATGGGGATTTGAACCTGCACTCTAGCCACTATACCACACTGCCTCTGGAAGAGCTCACATGAGCGCTTGCACTATTGTGAATACATAACGGGAACCTGCCAGTCACACCGAGTTTCTGACAAGCTCTGTGAACATAGGAAGCTGACTTTATACCAGGTTAGGCTATTTATTTAGCCCTTTAGCCTTCTCTGTTTAGCAGCAGCTTGGCCTGGTCTTGGACATTCACATCACCAGACTGCCTGAGTCCTTTCTCATGCAATGCATATGCTTTATTTACTGCTGAGCTTTGCTGCCTTGCCCCTGTGCTAGTGGTTATGATCCTTTTGGTCCCCGACCCATACATGGTAGCAATGGACAAGATGCATCTCTCTTGCAGATCTGAATGGCAGAAGAACAAGTTTGGGGTACGGAAAGAGAGGGTGTTTGCATATTGGATGGATGCAAGGAAAGTGACAAAGAAAAGAGGATTTAATCAGGCAGTGGCCGAGCTCTGAGAAGTGTGTATGAGCGCACGGTGCTGTTGGGCCTGACCCCAAATATCCTGGCTTTTATAAGGCCCGAGCCTTTGTCCAACTGCTCCTGCCTCTGGAATTAGGATGCTGGAGAATTCCAATGAAAACAGAAGTGGAAATTGCAGGTGTTTGCTTATTTGTGCCATGTCCAGAACAGAAATCAATTGGAGAATGCAATTGCTATTCACAGGTGTTGCTTTCAATGCATTACAGCTTTCCCTGTTTGAGTTGTATTTCATTTGCTTTGAAATGCATAATGGAATGACAATGTAATGCACGTTACGGATGTATGGGAGACAGTGAAATAGTTTTTAGTGGCAAGGATCTCCAGTAGAAAGGAGACAGTGCTGCATGGGACAAACGCAGGGTGGCGTGGAAAATGATGTCCTTTTACATCCTTACACTGGAGCTGCCTACACTCCCAAGTGGTTGCGTATACTTTTGGACATACTAAAAAGAAAGATGCATTATATATAGGTGTGGATTCTCACAGATTCAATCCCTGGCATCTCCAGATAAAGAGTGAGGCAGCAGGCAATGTGAAAGACATCTTCCAGAGACAGTAGTGAGCTGCCAAGAGTCCCAGTCAGGCAATACTGGACTAGTTGGTCAAATAATCTCACCTAATATAAAACAGCTTTCTATTTAGATTGTAATTAACTCCCAAGCTGCACTGGAGATGTAATTAATTGCTTGCTGAATTGTACTTAATGCTGCAGCCGGTGTGATCTCTGTTCCCTTGCCATGTTGAATAAAGTTTCCCTCTGTCATAGCACTAGAACTCACAGCCGTCCAATGAAGCCAAATGATGGAAGATTTGGGACAATAGAAAAGAAAGTTTTTCTTCAAGTTGCACATAGTTAAACTATGGAACTCGCTTCTGCAGGAGGCAATGATGATCACCCACTTTAAAAGAGGATTAGACAAATTAATGAAGGAGAGGGCTGTTGATGGCTTCTAGCAATCTTCTTCTTTGACAATCACTCATAGCCGAGTAAGATTGTCTTCCATAAACACGGTTTTAACAATGAGTCCGTAAGTGACTGGAGGCCAATTCTGGATCCACATGTCCTTCCACAGTGGGGACATTGGTTTCCAGGTGGGAGTTGATCACGGTGTGGATTTGCCAAGCGTGCCTTCCTCTTAGCACGTTTCTCCCTTGCGTCCTGAGTTCGAGTGTCTTCAAAGCCCATGACACCTTTGGTAAAGGCTGTTCTCCAATTGCAGATGAGTGTTTCACAATTGTTGGTGTTTATACCAATTTTTTAAAAATTTGCCCAAGACAGTTTTTAAACCTCTTTTGTTGAACACCAGCATTACGCTTTCCATTTTTAAGTTCGGAATAGAGTAGTTGCTTTGGAAGACGACCATCAGGCATCCACACAACATGACCAGTCCAACGAAGTAGATGTTGAAGAATCATTGCTTCAACACTGGTGATCTTTGCTTCTTCCAGTACACTGGTATTAGTTCTCCTGTCTTCCCAAGTGATGTGTAAAAATTTTCAGAGACACCGTTGATGGAATCTTTCGTGGAGCTGGAGATGGCGTTGATAAGTGGTTCATGTTTCACAAGCATACAGTAAGGTTGGTAGTACAATAGCTCTGTAAACAAGCATTTTGGTTTCCCTGTGAATTCTAGTAATCACGACTATGCTTTGCCTACATAGCTGGAGGCAGTTATGCTTCTGAACACTGGTTGCTGGCAACTACAGGAGGGAAGAGTGCTCTTGTGCTCAAATCCTGCTGACAGCTTTTCCCCAGGCCTCTGGTTGGCCACTGTGAGAAGAGGATGCTGGACTAGATGGGCCATTGGCCTGATCCAGCAGGCTCTTCTTATGTTCTTATGCAAATGGCAGCTTGGGCTTGCAGCAGATGTCTCAAGAGATGCCTTTGCCACAAGCAGGAGCCCAGAGTGGCCAACGCAAGCAGAGTGGTTGTGTACATTGGCCCCAAGTCATTCCTTGGATTGCAAACAGAAACCCGGTGCGGTTTGCTAAACCAGAGAAGTATTAAGAAGTCATTTGTGGCCTGCAATATTGTCACGCTCCTCTTCGGTGCTGACTCGCTATATCACCCGTTGGCATTTGGATTTTCAGTATTGGTGAGTTGTTTAAAGTGGGGGGAAACACACACCACCAAGTCTGTTTCTTCTGGCTGATATTTCCTGAGTGCCGTTCCCTTTACACGTCTGTTTTCAGTGGTGCCTTTTCAGATTATTTTTTTTAAAGGTCTCCAACCCTTTAAACACAGCATGTCTTCAGATTGTGGGTTGTTGTTGTTTTTTAATAATAATAAAAAACTTCTGGAGGATCACAGCATTTTTATTTTTCTAAGGCTCAGGATACGTTGGTGGAAAGAGGCAGCCTACTAGACCTGGAACCTTTAACAAAACTTTTCTGATTAGACATGGGCTTTACATTCAATGCTATTTCCTGGTATAACATAGGAAGCTACCTTATACTGAGTCAGATCATTTGCCCATCTAGTTCAGTCTTGCCTACACTGACTGGCAGTGGCTCCTGAGGGTTTGGAACAGGGGCTTCTCCAAACCCGACCTGGAGATGCTGGGGATTGAACCTGGGACTTTATGCATCCAAAGCAAAAGCTCTAATGCTGAGCTATGGCTCTTCCCCCAACACTGAAAGCTTGTGTAATGTACTTATTTAAATTTAAACACATCACTATTTGTACATGACTTTTATACATTACTAAGCTAGGGATGGAGAACATGTGGCCCTCCAGATATTGCCGGACTCCGGATTCCATCTGCCCCGGTGAGCGTTACAAACGGACAGGGATGATGGGAGTTGTAGTCCAACAATATCCGCAGGGCACCAGGTTTCTCACCCCTGGACTAGGCAAATACTGAAATCAAGATTAAGGTATCCTTGCTTAAGACTCATAACAGAAATGAAGGAATAACAAATATTGAAATTAGGTATTGGCATATACCCCAACTTCTTATTCCAACATATTAAATATTGGACCAATGTATTAAATATTTGCTCATAAAACCCTTGAAATCCTTTCAACTCTTAAAAACCCTTAATATGTTCTGAATTCTGTCTCTCTCCCCCTCTCTCTGTGTGGTTCTGGTATGGATTTTCAAAGGTTGTAGAGGAACCTACCTTATATCGACTCAGACCATTGGTCCATGTAGCTCAGTCGTGTTGGACTGACAGAGGCTCTCCTGGGCTTTGAGGAGTGAGTCCTTCCAATCCCTACCTGGAGATGCTGAACCTTGGACCTTCTGTATGCAAAGCAGATCATGTCCTACACTCGCCTTCGAAATTCACACTTTCTGAATTTTGCGATGCACACCCCCAACCAAAGAATGCTTATATTAATTTTAAAAATGCACAAAACGTCATTCTGTTGGATGGCTATGGCTTGTCAAAATGCACGTACTAGACAAAATTGAATACAAACATGCATGACTTAGGAGAAATACGCAAAACAGTGTGCAACTATGCATTTTTTTAAAAAACCCCTCATTGCAAATGTATGCAAAAATGGGGAGAACTAAAAACTGGAAATCAGCCCTGAGTACTCACTGGAAGGACAGATCCTGAAGCTGAGGCTTCAATACTTTGGCCACCTCATGAGAAGAGAAGACTTCCTGGAAAAGACCCTGATGTTGGGAAAGATGGAGGGCACAAGGAGAAGGGGACGACAGAGGACGAGATGGTTGGATAGTGTTCTCAAAGCTACTAACATGAGTTTGACCAAACTGAGGGAGGCAGTGGAGGACAGGAGTGTCTGGTGTGCTCTGGTCCATGGGGTCATGAAGAGTCGGACATGACTAACCAACAACAACAACAACAAACTGGAAGAATGAGAAACCAAGATGGATAGATTTGCCCATCCCTACTTCAGTGCTAATGTTTTAAATCTGGGTCCCTCAGACATGGCATCTATAATAGGGTGGAAAAGAGAGGGAGGTGAGGAAGGAGGATTTCCTTAGCAGTTAATCTGTTTCAGTTCCTGTACCTTTTGGTAAGGCTTGGTGCCTGCCCCTTCTAAGCTACGTAGACCCTACCAGGAAATCTAGAATAAGTAGTCGATTAAGTAGTTATTTAGAGTGTGTCATTATCTGATTAGCAAAATGCTGGCTGACAGATAGCAAAGGCTGTGAAGTCCCTGGGTGAACACAGAAAGCACTTCTGGGTATTTACCGGTATTTTACATTTGAACTTAGCTCTGGCGCCAGAAGTGAAGGGGTCCCAGTTAAGGTGCTCTTTGCACCCCCTCAACAAATAGTACACCCCTCAAAGAGTTTAACAGATCTACCGATGCAAACTTTGAAATTATTGCTTCTAATTTAACAAGAAAATCAGTACATATTGCTGTAGGGGGACGACTGTGGCCAGATGACCTGTCTGCTGGCTCAACCTGCTGCCCACTGTTGTTGGACAACTTCAAGGCCATTTTATCTCTAAACCAAGCTTGGACCTCACAGCCCTCCAAATAGAGAGCCAACCTCTGTAAAGTAGGACGCATGGCCACCATACAAGATGGCGTCCTTAAAATGCCATCTTGGGCTGCCTTGGCATGCTTAGCAGACATGAGCTGCTGATACTGCCCTGGCTAGCATGGCTTTCTTTGCTTTCAAGGGTTCAGCCTTGAAAGGAGGGGTACCAGACCAGTTCCTATGCTTCCAAATGAGCACAAGAAGAGCATTGCTGAATCAGACTAAAGGCCTATCTCGTCCAGCATCCTGTTCTGACAGTGGCCAACCAATGGTAAGCATGCAAGTAGGACCTTATGAGGGGTGTGTCAGGGGAGGGGTGTGGAGGGTTGTGGAGGCTCCTTTGGGCTAGATAATTTCACCCTTGGACCCTCAGTTCCCCACCATGACAAAGGTGAAGAACAAAACTTGCAACAGGCCCTATCCACTTCAAGCTGCCTTAGTCATAGATTGGCTGGATGCAGAGGAGTGGTGAAAGGAAACAGCTGGGGAACCCCCCAAGGTAACCCCCTGGGAGGGGGGAAGGCTCATTAGCATCTTAGGAACTCCACTCCAGAATTGTGTAGGATTTACTCATTAGCCCCCCTTCTCCTGAATATATCTCACAAGGCAGCAGAGGTCAGAGCTTTCTTTCTCCTAGATGGGCTCCCTTCCCAGGTTGATGAGCCAATTTGCCCAAGCCTGCCTTTGCATGCAGGGGAAGTCCCTAACACACTGAGACCCATCAGCTACCCTCACCTGGTTTAACCAGCCAGTCGAAGCCGTTTCCCAAGGTGTGGCTGCTTTTGCTTGCTGATAGCTTCTAGGAGCCACACGTGAGAGCTGAGTGCAGGCTGGGAGCCAAAGCTGGACAAACTACCCCAGAAGGATCATGGCATTTTCCCCTCCCGAGGTACTACCTCTCCCCTAACACCCCATACACAGCACTAATGGGGCAGATAATACATCAATTAAAATAATCTGTATGGTTGAATGTTATCTACATATTTCATATTGCAGTGAATTATGAAGTCTACTTTTCAATAATCTTCTTGTCCATGTTTTAAAGAAGTGGCATCAGGCTGCATCTTACTAATGGGCATCCTGGTCCTTCCTCCCAGCTGGTTTGTATTCAGGGAGGAGATCAAGTCTGCTAGCTTTGACTTTTATTAGTATTAAAAAACCCCACTTTCTTCTGAAGTTCCTTCTTGGGTGCTTCTTGGTTCACAGAGCAAACAGGGTTATCATCTGTGTTTAAAGCGATTTGTGCTATACGGTGAGTCCCCTGCTATTCTTAGTTATTTGCACAGGCTTTGAGAGTGGAGCAGCTGAGAAGCTTTGTGTGCCCTATTTAGGTCTGGGAAAGACATGTAAGCAAATAATCAAGGTAGGTTAGGCAACAATCCCTCTGCTGTTTTCTGGCAGGGGTGGGGGGTGGTTCTCTTGTGCTCCAGTGGCACCAAGAGCTTTCTTCTGAGTGGAGAGAGAGGTTTCTGCTTCTGCACTCCCTTAAGGTCAAGGAGGTGCTTCTGGTAGAAGCTCTTGCCATGCCTATGCCTTAAACCTTCTCTGCAGATAACTCTCTCGCATGCATTTTTAGAGCATTTGGTCTGGTGCATGACAGATTCCGGCGGAAATGTTTACATCCACCACTTGGATGGGGCAAGGAACATTTTTCAGGCTGAGGGCTGCATTCCCTTCTGGGCAACCTTCTGAGGGTTGCATGCTAGTGGTGGGTGGGGCCTGGAGCAAATGTGGGCGGAACAACAGATGCAAATGTTACCTTTGTGCAGCAAGCTAGGTTCTGCACTGTGCACTTGCTCTCTGTTTGTATCATCAGAGCTGGAGGACACATTCCAGCTAGGCAAACTCACTGGCAAACACACACAGGGCCAGTGAGAAGGGTATGTTTTGGGAAGAGGGGTGTGTGGCTCAGGGAGAGTTCCAAGGGCCTGGTAAAGAGTTTTGGAGGGCCACATTCAACCCCTGGACCTGAGTTAAAGGAACGTGATGAAAGAAATACGAGGGAGGACAAGCAGCCTGGTCCTGTGATTAGGGCAATGGTCCACTGCAGAGAAGTATGAAATAATGACTGGCTGGAATGAAGTCTGTTTGCATCTGCAATCCATCTGCGGCTCAGACTCGTAACCACAGCAGTAAAGAATACAGATAAGCTTTTGTGGAGATTCAAATAAAAGGAACAGCACAAGTGAGAGAAGGCTGTGTCTCTCCCTGGGTGCCTTTCGCAAGTGTAGGGCAGAAATGGGTGGAGTTTTCCCTCACTCGCAATGCACTTTGGAGAAGGGAAGAAACAGTAAGAGAGAAACTGCAGTGTCAGAGCGCCTGTTGGGGATGGCTGGAAATCCCTCCTGCTGGAGGAGCACGGGTGGTTGACCCTGGCAACCTTGGAAGCATTATTCATTAAATCATTGAACTGTAGAGTTGGAAGGGACCTCAAAGGTCGTCTAGTCCAACCCCAGCAGAATGCAGGAGTCACAGCTGAAGAATCCTTGACAGATGGCATCCAACCCCTGCTTAAAAACGTCTACTGAAGTGAAATTGTATACACCTGATCCTGACCCACTAGGTGTGTAGATGACACAGCAGTGGCTTGGATCCCGCGTTGTACAGGACAGCAGTGGAGGAAGGACATTGCGGCAAATGACCTCCCAACCCATTCCATCATCAACAGCCTCCACCTGCCTGCATCCTCATTTAGCAGCTAGTTAAGGGGGTGGTCAGGGATGTGGTTGGCGCTGTGGGTTAAACCACAGAGCCTAGGACTTGCCGATCAGAAGGTTGGTGGTTCGAATCCCCGCAACGGGGTGAGCTCCCATTGCTCAGTCCCTGCTCCTGCCAACCTAGCAGTTCGAAAGCACAAAGTGCAAGTAGATAAATAGGTACTGCTCCGGTGGGAAGGTAAACGGCGTTTCCGTGCGCTGCTCTGGTTCGCCAGAAGCGGCTTAGTCATGCTGGCCACATGACCCGGAAGCTGTACGCTGGCTCCCTCGGCCCATAAAGCGAGATGAGTGCCGCAACCCCAGAGTCGGTCACGACTGGACCTAATGGTCAGGGGTACCTTTACCTTTAAGGGGGTGGTCTTGCCAGCCAGCTTTTTCCTTCTTAGTCTCAGTTTTGAACCTTGAGGAACTCAGCAAGGACGAGGATGGGGACAAAACTGCAATTAGTCAGCCCTTCCCTTCATTGGCTCTGGCTGCACCCCCTGGTGGGCTTCTGTCCTACCTTGCCTCCTGCCCCCCTCCCCAGTTCCAATGGACACCAGCCAGTGTTGCGAGTCAGCCCAAGCTACGAATAAAGCTTCTGATGGCAACTGTAGCTGTGACAAACGCTTTTTGTAGCTGAGGTCACACTTCTTGGGAGCAACAGAGAGTAACTAAGGCTATGCAGAGATCTGGATTGCTACAAAAGAGCCTATTCAAGGTGAAAGCAAGTATCTAAAGTGGGACAGGAGACAGGTTTCTGGATGTTTACCTGGGGGCGGGGGATAAGTCTCACACCACTTGGCAAGGTTTGGGAAAGATTCAAAGTACACAAAGGGGCTAATTTTAGCCTGAGCAACTGTGTTGTGACTAGTTCAGGAATACTCTCCCCCACCCCAATAAAAAAAAAAAGCCACATCCCGAAATAACTTGTTGTTGTCATTCTAAATGTTGCGTAGTCATGGCGGGGGTGGGCATGCTGTACCCTCCAACATTTTACAGGTGGAAACGGATGTTTGTAGCATGGCTGTTCTGTCCCCAAACACAAGAATTACTGCTAGAATTCATGGGTGGGCAAACTAAGGCCCGGGGGCCAGATCTGGCCCAATTGCCTTCTAAATCTGGCCCGCGGACGGTCCAGAAATCAGCGTGTTTTTACATGAGTAGAATGTGTCCTTTTCTTTAAAATGCATCTCTGGGTTATTTGTGGGGCATAGGAATTCGTTCATATATATTTTTTCAAAATATAGGCTGCCCCCCCCCCCAAGGTCTGAGGGTCAGTGGACTGGCCCCCTGCTGAAAACGTTTGCTGACCCCTGTGCTAGATCCTTCTCTCATTGTTGTTCTCTGGCATCTAGAGATGTATGGACCTGCTGAAGTCTAGTCCACCCCATTTTTAAAACAGAACGGGGCTAGGTCTGTTTTGTTCCATTTCCGGGCAGATTTTTATCATAAGCACACATTTAAAAATCAAATCAAAAGGTACTTAAGATGGTCTACGAGTTGCCTGCTGCCCAGTGTTCGAAATTAGCCAAGTGCCAGGTGTATTTTGCACTGGACTATTAGCCATCTGCGACCAAGTGAAGATGCCTGGGTGACAGGATGACATCTGAAATCTCCCCCATCTGGAGGCGCATGCCTGGGGATCATTGGATCTGGACTATTTTCACACACTAAAACGCCATCCTGTAGAATTCTATCAGTTATATTTCATCTGCACAATTGGAATGCATTTCAGCAACAAAAAGGCTTTTTCTGTGCACCCTGGGCTTGATAGGGCTTGACGATGTTCTGTATCTCCTAGGGGGAGGGGAACACGGTTGTCCCCATTTAAGCATTGGTGCAGCTCTGATCCCACTCACCCTGGAATGTCACCAAGCCTCATCACTCCCAGGGGGCCTTGCTCTCTGTACACTGAAGCCCATGTTGGCAAGGAGCCCCTCACACCAGTTGCTATTTTAAGAAGTTTAAAGAGGGGAAATTGGAGGGGAAAGGGAACAGAGGCAGCATGCCAGCCTCATGAGAACCAATTTGGTGTAATGGTTAGGGTACTGGACTAGGTCCTGGGAGACTAGAGTTCAAATCCTCACTTGGCCATCAAGCTCACTGGGTGATCTTGGTCTAGTCACTTCTTTGCAGCATGACCTACCTTACAGGGCTGTTGTGGGGATTCAACGAGGAAGGGGACAACCATGTACACCACCTTGAGCTCCTTGGATAAAAGGTGGGATATGAGGGCAATCAATAAATAATATTGAACCTGCTGATTCTGAAGTGAATCATTGATCCAGTCTGTGCCATGATTTTCCTGGAGTGGATCAGGTTGAGTCCACTTCGAGATCTGCACAATTCAGATTTTTCCTCCATCCCTGCTGGCAACTGCCTTTCAAAGGTATAGTACCTCTGAATTGGGATGATCCACTTAGCCATCATCTCTCCTAAGACTTACCTTCCTCCGTGTATCTGCCTTTAAAGTCGCCTAACTTAGCTGCCACCACAAGGTCTCTTGGCAGAATTGGATAGGAACGCGTGGGCTATGTAGATGAAAAATAGTGTTTATTTTTCACAGTTCGTGTTAATGGCTTCACCTTCTAATGAATCAAGCTATTATTTATCTTGGCTTCTTGGATTTGTTCTGTGCTCTGGCGAAAGGTTTCAAGCTCGTACCTCTAAGTACTTTTTATGTCAAAGGAGATCAAGTTAAATCCTTTAAAATGTGTTTTTGAATGGCTGCAGTCTTTGACACTCTAGCAGGAGCGTTTGAGTGGATCAGGGAAACAGAATTCGGAGGATGAGTAAATGGAGCTCAAATCTGCTTTTGCTTTCCCTTTACTTGCAATTGAGGGTGGAGGGGGAAAATGGATTTGGTTCACGTTTAAAGGCAAACCTGCCTAATTCACGCTTTCTGAAACACCTGTCCTTTGATATTCACACTTCTCTGATTTTTGCCATGCAGTTATTCAGTCAAAGAAGGTGTGTGAAAATGCATCTGTTACTGACAACAGCATACCAGAAAGTTATTAAACCAGGCAACATTGCATGCAAAATAAGTGTATATTAGGAGAAATTGCACTAAAATGCTGATGAAGTCACACAAGGACTTCTTGTTGTTTTTGCAACCATGTGATTTGGAAATGTGTTTATGGCTGGAAAAAAGACAAAGTGGGAGAAACCAAAACTGGCAGATTTTCCTATCTCTGCTTGTATTGCAAATATGCATCCTACTCTGACTACTGTAAAGTACAAGACAGCATGAATGGTCTTCCCTTGTTTGCTCTCCCTCCATCTTCCTTCCTGTCACCCCTATTATCTCTGCTGCACCACATTTTAGAATGTAATCTCCTTGTGGTGGGGACGTACCTTCCGCCACTACTATCTGTCTGTCTATCTATCTATCTATCTATCTATCATCTCAGTTTCTTTCCTGTGTTCCATCCTTACCAAATAATTCTACAAATGTTGGGGGCTGCCTTATACTGCTATGTTCTTATTTGCCCATCAAGCCCAATGCACGTCAATCAGACTGGCAACTAGTATCTCTGTAGGTTATATTCCTGTTTGATGCCTGTCATATCTCACTTGTCATGGGCACCTGGCGAAAAGCCTCAGCATTGGATTGTATTTAACATTAGCCATATGCAGAACAAATCTATTAAAATTACGTAGGCAACTAACTTAGGTCCGTTAATTTCAGTGGGCCTACTCCAATGACTAACACGGGATATGACCAAATGACTTTGGCGTACATCAGCCGTAAGCAATGTGGTATGCTCCTGATTTTGCTGGACTTCCAGCTCAATAAGGAGGAAATTATGCCCCAGCCCAACAGGTTTGGGGAAGACTGTGATGCTGGGGTAGAGCATCTGCTTTGCAAACGGAAGGTCCCAAATTCAATTCCCGGCATCTCTAGGTAGGCTAGGAATGGCCCTTTCCTGAAACCCTGCAGCTGAGTGTAGACAACAGTGAGATAGATTGACCAATGTTGTGACTCAGTGTGAGGCAGCGTTCCTATGTTCCCATGAACACAGGTAGAAACAACAACTGCAAACCATAACATCAAAATCCCACAAAGCAGAAAAATATAAAGTAGCTCTGCGAAGCAACTTTAGATGGCAAGTAGAAACAAATGGCATAACCAGTGAATACTCATTTGAAACTGTAATAAGAGACATAGCCAATTCAGCTTATAACACACTTTGAGCTTTAACACATCTTCAGCCAGTTGTGATGCAGGTGTTGGGCTTTAATTGGCAGCCATCTTGCAAAGAAGTGTGACTGTTTTAGCATGAAGTGGGAGCCTCTTTGAAAGAATGGCCATACCCAGTGTCTGCATGATTATTTCCCTCTTTCTCTGGCTCCCTCAATGCTAATCTGTCGCGAACCAGCCTGGAAGCCTCATTATCCATTTGCCAGAGCAAGTCATGGGGCCTACTACGCTGGCACTTCAGCAGATGACCAGACAAATTAATGGAGGAGAGGGCTATTGATTGTAACTCGCCACGATGGCACTGTACCTCCAGAGTCAGAGATGCTTCTGAACACCACCTGCTGGAAGCCACAGGAAGCAGGAGTGTGCTTGTTCTCAAATCCTGCTTGCAGGTTTCCCACAGGCTGGCCACTGTGAGAATAGGATGCTGGGCTGCATGGATCATTGGCCGAATCCAGCAGGCTCATCTTACATTCTTACGATGCCATTGCTCCTGGTCTTAAAGCACAAACAAACTCCAAACCATGAGCTGTGCTGTTCTGTGTTCCCCCTATGCCACAACATAGGGAGGGAGGACTCCTTCCAAGGAAATGCTAGCCCAACCTTCCATTGGGTGTGTAGACAGGGTCTCAATATTCAGAGGAGGACAGGGGCTGCTACGCCATTAATGATTGTGTAGAAGGAAGAAGAAGAAGAAGAAGAAGAAGAGGAGGAGTTTGGATTTGATATCCCACCTTTCACTCCCTTTAAGGAGTCTCAAAGCGGCTAACATTCTCCTTTCCCTTCCTCCCCCACAACAAACACTCTGTGAGGTGAGTGGGGCTGAGAGACTTCAAAGAAGTGTGACTAGCCCAAGGTCACCCAGCAGCTGCATGTGGAGAAGCGGAGACGTGAACCCGGTTCCCCAGATTACGAGTCTACCCCTCTTAACCACTACACCACACTGGCTCTCAGTGCAGTGTAGTGCAGGCGGTTCCTCTGCACTTGGCCACCCAAAACGTTGAGCTGATTGTGCGTTTCTTTGGATCCTGTCCAGTGCTTTGCAGATGTAACCCTATGGTGATGTAGCCTTGAGGTGATGACTGAAGGATGGAACGACTCCATGGCAGGAGCTCATGACACGATTGCTGAACTGTGCCAGATGGCTGGCAGTTGTTCTTAATTCAGATCACAGCATGGCTGACCGTATTTCAAAGGCTCTTTCAGTGTTGAAGGTGGGGGAAAAACTTTTAATAAAGTTGCTGCTGTTCAAATGTGCTCCCTTCCCCTCCAACCCCACCCCTGCCTTCCAGTTATTCCTAGATGTTCAGAATGTTGTCCTTAATTGACACCCTCCTTTCCAGATTGGGGGAGTGATGTTTTATGGAATATTCATAATATGTCTGCCACTAATTATCACTCTACCAATGTGCTATTGGGCATATGCATACAGTTGTCTGGAAAAAACCACACACACATATGCTGAGCAACTGGGATTTGAATGGTGTCTCTCGTGCTGTTTCCACTCCACTGTGGTTGAGCTCATATTTTATTAGCTAAAACGGGAGAAGGCAAGGATGTTTCGGAAAGCAAATGAGCCGACTCTATTATTGGCTTGTTTTTCAGTCCTACATTCTCAGCCTAGCTTCACATTCTCACCAGTCTCTCTTTGGCAACATGTCATGAAATCATAGTATTGTTGAGTTGGAAAGGAGCCCATCTGGTCTAACCCCTGCAATGCCACCACAACCCCTCAACCCTGAGGTGCATCTTATTTATTTTTTCAAGGTTCTGTAGAACAATCTGCACCCCACAATTAGGAATACAGTTATTCAGTGGAAGAAAAGTATTAATCAAAAATACTTTTAGATGCTTTTAAGTGTTTTAAATGTGCTTTTGTTTTATTTTTTAAATGCATGGCTTTACCACTTTGTAAATAGTAGTAATAATAATAATGAGTAGTGGTTTATTTCACTGATGTCCTGCCTTTCTTCTCAACAGGGGTAACCAATGTGGGACCCTCCAGATGTTGGGTTGTACCCAACTAAGCCCTACTCAGAGTAGGCCTGTAGGCCCCATTTTGACGAGCATCCTCAGATAGCACCTCAAAAATGTTTTACCACCCTGATTGTAATTTTCACATCTGGGAAGGCTTCAGGAATGTCCTCTCAATTGTGGTAAAAACATGATGCCTAAAATGTATATTGTGACTAATACAAATTGGTTGCACCGCCCATTTCCCAAGCTTGGGAGTTCATCTTTTTGAAATGCTGAAAATTCACTTTCTGGGATCATGGGAGATATGTACTAAGTACAGTGGTACCTCTAGTTACGAACTTAATTCGTTCCAGAGGTCCGTTCTTAACCTGAAACTGTTCTTAACTAGAGGTGTGCTTTCTCTAATGGGGCCTCTTGTTGCCGCTGCGCCGCCTGCACATGATTTCCGTTCTCATCCTGGGGCAAAGTTCTCAACTCAAGGTAACTCTTCCAGGTTAGCGGAGTTTGTAACCTGAAGCGTTTGTAATCTGAGGCATTTGTAACTTGAGGTACCACTGTATTATATTCCTCTGACAAGTTGGGAGTTCAGGCCCTAGGAAAAACCCCACTTTGTATAAAATCCTTTTTACTGCATTTATGTTTTGTCTCAATTCCCATAAATGACTGCTTAGGAGAACTCAGTGTGGTGTTTTACTGTATTCCGATGTTAAGCAATTTGATCAATGTTGCTATAAAGTTCTAAAGAGCTATAAATTTGCTGCTTATTAATTTGCCTTCTGGAGAGTTTTGACGTCTGGTGCAGTTTTAGGGTCTAGAAGGTGGAGCTGCAATTTTTAAACCTGAACAGAAGTTGTTCTTGGTTTTTCCCTCCTTCCACTCTATATTTATTTTTTCTTGACGAGCAGTTGCACTTTCCAGTCTGTTCTCCCCTCTCTAGAACTCGTGAGCATCCAAGGAAGCTGAACGCTGGAAGATTAAGGGTAGATAAAAAAGAAAGTACTTCTCCACACAGTGCATAATTAAACTAGGGCACTTGCTCCCACTGGCAGCAGTGAGGGCCACCAACTTGGATGGCATTAAAATAAGTGTGGATAAATTCATGGAGGAGAAACTGATCAATGGCTACTAGCCATGACAGCTGTGCTCTGCCTCCATGCTTAGAAGCAGCAATGTTTCTGAATATCAGTTGCTGGGAACTGCAGGAAGAGTGAATGCATGGCTCTTATGCACTTATGAATGGTAATATATAAATGCCTTAAATAAATAAAATAAGGGAGGCAGCAGAAACAGCGTGGAGTTTATCATGGGGTCCTTTGGACTGAAGACATAAAAATCAAAAGCTTAAAAAAACAACCCATTTCCAACATTATTCCGGGGAAAGTAATCACATGAGGCTTACTAGATCAACATATTTATTTATGACTTCTACAACCCTTAAGACAGCATCTTAAAAAGCAGAGACATCACCTTGCCAACAAAAGTCCGTATAGTTAAAGCTATGGTTTTCCCAGTAGTGATGTATGGAAGTGAGAGCTGGACCATAAAGAAGGCTGATCGCCAAAGAATTAATGCTTTTGAATTATGGTGCTGGAGGAGACTCTTGAGAGTCCCATGGACTGCAAGAAGAACAAACCTATCCATTCTTAAGGAAATCAGCCCTGAGTGCTCACTGGAAGGACAGATCTTGAAGCTGAGGCTCCAATACTTTGGCTACCTCATGAGAAGAGAAGACTCCCTGGAAAAGACCCGGATGTTGGGAAAGATGGAGGGCACAAGGAGAAGGGGACGACAGAGGATGAGATGGTTGGATAATGTTCTCGAAGCTACCAGCATGAGTTTGACCAAACTGCGGGAGGCAGTGGAAGACAGAAGTGCCTGGCATGCTCTGGTCCATGGGGTCACGGAGAGTCGGACACGACTAAATGACTGAACAACAGCAACCCCTTATTACTTTATTATGACTTCTACAACCCTTTCCCCAGGCTTGTATGTAGGTTCATGACTTTGGAGGTACTCGGAAGAAGCAAGATGGAGTGTCATGGCTTCTGTTGCCAGGGCCAGCCTGCAAGCTAGTTTCTGTATTACTTCATTAAAAACAAAGCTAGGTTTTGGAATGCCAATATGAAATAGTAAGGCAGGAGAGCTAAGGGCCTACTATTTTAAATGTTGAGAATCCACATAATGCTGCTTGGGCAAAATGTTGCCAGAAACTGAGGACTTTGGTGGAATCAACACACACAGAAAAAACGCTGTAAAAAGGCTTTAAAAAAAAGCATTTAGATGAATACATTAAATTTTGCATAGCTCACTGTCGCCATCTAGTGCTCACATTTGTATATTGCACTTTACAACACATTTTATACATTTTATTTGCAGCTGTATAGCTGACTCCATATTCACATCTATTTAGTTGTTGGGTTATAAGTCTTTGGAGTCCTTCCTCACTACGGTATTTTTTTATCTATCGACCATGGCAGGTTGGGGGGGGGGCGGCGGAATGTCTGACGTAATACCCAAATTCTTTTGTTAGTAACTCATCTGATTCTGTCCTCCAAATCAGCACTGCTTGTTCTCCAATAAATCTGCAACAGTGGCTATTCAATACTTCCACATTGCTGCCCTTTTAAATTCCTGGCAATCTTACTACGAGTCTGCACTATAGCAATATGGGCACTGACTTGGGCACATAAGAGTTCAGTTAAGCTTTTGATCCTATCAGATCAACACCTGACATTTGCTGGGAGCTCTCCATGGTCCTACACAGCTCAAGCTTGTTCTGCTCTCGAGAAACCTGTACTCAAGGGATGCTGAGATTTTGTGGTTTTAGTGGCTTGCAGACCCACAGAAGTGATGCTTGCCTTAGAACTGATGCTTTGTAGAGCAGCTTCCCCAACCTGGTGCCCTCTAGATCTTGTTGGGACTATATAACTCAGGGGTGTTCTCAATGACCACACTTGAGATGAAACTTTTTAATATATATATTTTTTTAAAAAACCATTTATTTATTTATATTATTTTGGAAAATGTAGACATATCTACATAAAAAGTGTAAAAACGGGACAGAAGTAAAGTGTGCCTGCAGATTTGACCTCTGCGGAATTACTTAAAGCCAGTTCTGTTTGCTTGCATGTGTTAATTTTAAACAAGAAAGATGGGATAGTGCACTGCGGAGTGTTCCTGGCCAGGATTCTATCCTATCAGCCATGCCCTGTGCCTGGATACTCCATTCCATTTTCCTCTGGTTTTCCATTCCCATCCTAGAACACTCAGCCAGTACTGAATGTCCACTGAGCATGCTTAGTTCTCACTGGAATTTTTTGTGCTGGGAGGTTACTATCTCTCTCTGTGTGTGTTTATAAATATGTGTGTGTGTACTTCTTCAAACTTTGGGGCTCCCCCCAACCTACTGATACCCCCCTTTTGTACATGTGTTGCTGTTTTGACTACATCAAGGTCAACAGTTACCCCTGGACTTCAGAAGCAGAATGATTTTCTGATCGGCAGGATGCTATTTTTGCACTCATGGTCATAAAGCACCTAGGGAAATGCATTTACTATTAATATATATCAAGGGTACTCAACACAGTACCCTACAGAAGATGTTGGACAGCAACTCCCATCATCCTTGGCTATTGGCACTACTTTCTGGGGCTGATGGGAGCTGTAGTTCAACAACATCTGGAAGGCAGCATGTTCTCTCTCAGTATGCATGATGTCTGTCATTTCTGCTTGAAGCTTTTCAAGACAGCTTAAAATGTATAAATGAGACCTTGCGGGTATAGGGCGGTATATAAATTCAATAAATAAAATAAAAAGAAACTGAAAATACAACTGAAAATGGAAAGAAAGAAAGAAAGGACGAAGGAAGCAGGAAAGCTAAATCCAACATCTGGAGGGGAAGCTTAGTCCAAAAGTTAAGACAAAATAAATTCCTTCTACACTAGGGGGCTCCAAATGCCCTCCAAAACTACACAGCCTTCTCCTGTCACCAGAAGACCAACATTGCTGGTGCAAAATGAACTTCTTTTGTGGAACAAAGTTCCAGGGCGTTGGTGCCACTGTAGAAAAGGCCGGTCCTGTCCGAGATGATACTTCACCATCGTTCACACAGTGAACCCCCATGAAGAAAGGTTACAATGTTTGGGCTTTGAAAAGGTTTTTTTTGGGGGGGGGGAGGAAATGGTAGAGGTGAATAAAACGTATGATGTACAGTTGGCATCCGCCTGTCTCAAGAGGCAATGGAGTGCACCTCCAGGGGTGAAGTCAAATTGCTGTGTTAGCAGCACTGAAGTGATCGCCGGGGGGGGGGGGGGGAGACAAGCCACAGTGTGTATGGAGGGTTGCCCAGATGATAAGACCCTCCTCCTTCTTGGCCTCACTGATGTGGTTCAGAGGAAAGCAGAGCAATGCATTTGGCACCAGCTTGACTGCAGAAGTCGCCAGATGGCACAAGGTGCCATCAAACTGTCTTTGGGACTCCACTCTGAATTTGCACAGGGATTACTCCTTAGCCCTTTCTTCTCCCAAAGATCTCCCACAATGCAGCAGAGGTTTAGAATGTATGATAAATCTAGAACTCTGGGTCATCCAATCAGCTTCATTAGATGACCCAGAGTTCTAGAATTATGAGGGAGGGGGAAAATGTTTGATGTGGAGGGAGCATTTCCCCCCTCCTCCATAATTCTAGAACTCTGGGTCATCCAATGAAGCTGATTGGGTGGATATTCAGGACAGGCAAAAAGCAGTGCTTCACACGGAGTAAAACCGACCAGTTTAAGGGATTCATTGTCACAAAATATGGTGATAATCTCAAGCGTAGAAGGATTTAACAGGGGATCAGACAAATTCACGGAGGATAGAGTTATCCGGGATGGTTCATCAGGATGGCTATATGGATGGTGACAGCAGCCACGAAATTAAAAGACTCCTGCTTCTTGGGAGAAAAGCAATGACAAACCTAGACCGCATCTTAAAAAGCAGAGACGTCGCCTTGCTGACAAAGGTCCGTATAGTTAAAGCTATGGTTTTCCCAGTAGTGATGTATGGAAGTGAGAGCTGGACCATAAAGAAGGCTGATCGCCGAAGAATTGATGCTTTTTAATTATGGTGCTGGAGGAGACTCTTGAGAGTCCCACAGACTGCAAGAAGATCAAACCTATCCATTCTGAAGGAAATCAGCCCTGAGTGCTCACTGGAAGGACAGATCCTGAAGCTGAGGCTCCAATACTTTGGCCACCTCATGAGAAGAGAAGACTCCCTGGAAAAGATCCTGATGTTGGGAAAGATGGAGGGCACAAGGAGAAGGGGACGACAGAGGACGAGATGATTGGACAGTGTTGTTGAAGCTACCAGCATGAATTTGACCAAAGTGCGGGAGGCAGTGGAAGACAGGAGTGCCTGGCGTGCTCTGGTCCATGGGGTCACGAAGAGTCGGACACAACTAAACGACTAAATAACAACAGGTTCAGAGGCAGCATGGTGCAGGGCAATATGTCTTGTTTGTGGCCTTCTCAGTCCCCACCATGGGAAATGGGATGCTGGATGCAAAAAAACTCTTCCTATGTTCTTACAGACAAATCCATGGAGGGATAAAGCTAGTCATTATAGCTATGTGCTAACTCTGGTATCAGAGGCACCATGACTCAATGCCAGTTGTTGGGGCCATAAGAAGGAGGGTACCGTTGTGTTCATGTCCTGCTCGTGGGCTTCCCAAAGGCATCTGGCTGACCACTGTAGGAAACAGGATGTTGGATTAGATGAGTCTTTCGTTAGACCGAACCGGGTTCTTATGTAACTTGGAGCCAGGGCCTTGGAGGGAGGAGTTTAATAAATGTTTAGGAGACTGTCCTTTAGTTCTGCCAGACCCAGCGTGCTTAGGGTTTCAAAGGTCAACCCCAGGATTTTGAATTGGCCTTGGAACTGATCCTGTTACTGCAGATGTAAGTCTTAAGTATGCTTACTCCAAATACGTTCCACTGAAATCAATGAAATGTTTATTCTCAGGGGACATGTTTAGGAATTAATGCTACAGGAATCCTGTAACTGGTACATGGATAACAGCTGATTTGGTGCAATTAACTGGTGCTGCAATGACTTGTTGCCTCTCCATCTTGATGTACTTTTAGCCAGTCCACTTTACTGCAGGGATGTATATTTGCTGTTGAAACTCTGTTTTCAATTTTGAGCAAAACACTGATGAAGAAAAGGGCTGATTCTTCTTTTTTTAATATAAAAAATATGATAATAAATAACTTCTGATTCCAGTAAAAGAGGAAATTCAGTGAGTCAGTTCTCTGACATGAGCAGATGTCAACATATTATCTATCACTCATCATTTCCATTTGGGATCTGTTTTCCTTAGTGGGTATTTGGCCTAGGATTAATCTAGGGCAGGAGTAGCCAACTGGTGTCCTCCGGAAGTTGCTGGATTACAGCTAATGCCATCCCTGAGCTTTGGCTGGGACTCATGGGAGTTGTAGTCCCAACAACATCTGGGGAGTACCTTGTTGGCTATCCCTGAGCTAAGGAATAGATTGTATGTGCAGAGCTTTGCAGGTCTAGGGAGGGTCCTTGAAGGGCCAGATTCCTAATCTGGTTCCCTCTAGATGCTCTGGACTACAACTCCTATCCACTGCAGTCATAGGGGCCAACGATTAGGAATGATGGAAGTTGTAGTCTAAAACATCTGGAGGGAACTAGCTTCAGGAAACAAGCTTTTCAAAAAATGGCTTCAGGAAGAGAGATGGTTCCCCCTTTAAAGAAGAAAGAAGACCCTAGCTTGTTCTAGTTGCTAACTCGGTTAGTGAGATCCAGGACAGAAGCAAGCAAAAAAATAGAAGTGCGAGGATCTCTTTTGCAGTATAAATTCCTACTGGATCAGACTACAGAGGAGGTTCTCTGTGTGGGATGTAATCAACTGGGAGCAGTCATGTACAACATTCCTTGTAATGCTAGAGTGGACACGCGGGGGAATGTTTAGTCCAGCCAGTCGAAACTTCCTGTTCCTCCTGGCTGCAGTATCCTTCCTTTGCATGTGACTAAAGGTGGGTGTGATCTTACCTGTCCAGGTAACAAAAGGACGAGTCACGCAGCACACCTTTCCCCTTTTTGCTTCTTTCTTTGTTGGACCAACTTCTTAGCTTAGAGTGCCCTGCTAGCTTCTCAGCTAGCAGAAGCACTGGATTATGCCCCCATATGGGGTCCAACTGTGAACTGATGTGAGTAAACTTCTTTTATTGACTTTGAATCAGATTGTCGTGTCTTTATTCTTTTAAGAGGGATTAAAGGGAATTTACCAGGAATATACAATTCAATACTGAGAGGCTTACACAAGCCTGCAACCAGCTATCTGCTGTGCATGTATGAAAGGGGAATGTGAACTCTGCGACATAAAGAAACTTGCTAGTGCAAGTTAGGAAGGATATTAATAAAGAATACGTCCTCTCCTGCCACCCTGAACATTCCCACACTGTGGACCACCATTGGACCACCTAGCTCTACCTGGAGATACCAGGGATCAAACCTGGGAACTTTTTGCATGAAAGTAGCACTTGTGCTTCTGCCACTGAGCATCTCTTCTCTTCATAAGATACTGTTCAGATGTAGTTCTGAAAAAGTGAAGAATGTATCTTGGCAACTAATTATATCTATATGAACTTTGAAGGTACGTTAATTAAAGTCATAGTCCTGCCTTTCAACTTCGAAGAATTCAATTTGTCTGTGTGCTCACTTTTGCTTGCTGTAATATCCAATATTAATTTTGAAAGCGAGGAAGGAAATGAATATTATTCCAAGGATCATTTTATATGTGAATGGCCACAATGAACATTTCCCTTCCTCCCTCTCTCTTTAATTTTAAAGACCTTTCTGTTATGTTTGGCTTTTAAATTTTTACAGGAATAACTTAATTATTGAATAATTTAGTCAATATCATTAGTGATATGGAAGACTGGATCAAAGGCACATTTATTTAAGATAGCAGTGGTCTGGTACTAGGAAGATTTTAAGGTACTCCAAGTAAAATGAGGAGGGAAAGGGGGTAAAATGAAAACTAATCCCAGGAAATTGACAGTTATTGCAGAAATGCTTGGAAAACAATACAGTGGTACCTTGGTTCTCAAACAACTTGGTTCTCAAAAGCCAGAAGTAAGTGTTCCAGTTTTTGAACATTTTTCGGAAGCCAAACATCCAATGTGGCTGTCAGCTATTGTTTCCAGGGCGCCTGCAATAATCAGAAGCTGTGCCTTGGTTTTGAAGATTTCGGAAATCAAACGGACTTCCAGAATGGATTAAGTTTGGCACTTTTGTTTTTGCTACTTATTTTGGGTTTTTGTTTTTGAGGCTTTTTCGTTTTATTTGTTTTGTGTGGAACCCAGTTCAGCTACTGAGTGATGGATTGTGTGACTGCAGAAATGGATGAAAGCCCCCCCCATCCAAACAATGACTATCATCAATGCAGTAAGAAAAAAGTTTACTTTTATTTTTTATCATCTACAATACTGTCTTATTTGTTTTATAGTAAAGTACATTGATCATTGCTTTCATTTTATGGATCAATGGTCTTGTTAGATAGTAAAATTCATGTTAAATTGCTGTTTTGGGGGTTGTTGGTTCTGGAACACTTTGGTTTTGGAACAGACTTCTGGAATGGATTAAGTTTGAGAACCAAGGTACCAGTGGCGGAGCTTCAAGCTCCGGCACCGGGGGGCAGAGAGCAGGTGGGGGCATGGCTGGGGTGTGTGGCGCGTGTCCCGGGAGTGTGGCTGGGGGTGCAGCCGCAATGACACCCCACCGGGATTGTGCTGCCGGGGGTTGTCTGCTCCCCCCGCCCCCTCTTCCTCCGCCAGTGCAAGGTACCACTGTATACCAAAATAATTTGTGGATTTTTTTTAATTATAAAGGTACATAACCAAAGAACAAGCTTGCTGTATTGAAGGCTGTAGCTAACCATTCTTCTGTGTGATGCAGGAGCTTGGAAGGATCATTTTAAAAGGGAACTGGTTCAACATGTCCAAAAAAAAACTATTTCCAGTTCACATTCATCCTTTTACAAAATGAACAAGTTTGGTTCATATTAGGGCTGGGTGATATATCGAAATATCATCCGAAACTGGTTTGAAGTTCATATCGTGATGTTTGTTACATAATTTTTGATGTGGTGATATATCACAACTCATGGTGTGTGTGTGTGTGTGTGTGTGTGTGTGTGTTTGTGCTATGCAAAAGCCGTAATGTAGGGAAAACATTAGGAAGGACTTCCCAATAGAAAGGGCTGTTTGACTGTGGAACAGAATACCCTGGAAGGTGGAGGACTCTCCTTCTCCTTCACTGGAGGTTTTTAAGCAGAGCTTGAATGGCCATCTACCAGGGGTTCTTTAGCTGTAATTCCTTCACTTCAGGGGGTTGGTTTAGATGACCCGGGGTCCGTACAACTCTGTAACTGTGATTCTGTCTCTTCTTCCAGGGCAGGGGTGGGGAACAGGATGCAGTTAGCAGGCAGATTCTGACCTCCCCACCCCCAATGACCCTCTTTGACAGGGGAGTGGGACTTCCCCCTATCTGTCACCTGATGTTGCAATTATGCTGGGTGACTAAAAAGAAAAATCCTGGCTCAAGTCACACCTATAGATCCTTTGCATCACGGGCTTCAATTTTACTTGGAGGCTGTGGCGTTTGCCTCCTAGGCTGGGTCATAAGGAAAGAGTTAAAATAGGTTGTGATGTGATTGGCCAGTGAGAATGCAAGGGGGGAATAAAAGAGTGGGAGGTTTTGAAAGTCAGTTGAGTAGAGTTGAGGTTTGGGAGTTAGGGGTTGAGTTTTGGAGTTGAAGAATGAAGAGGGAGGTTTGGTGTGGGTTGGTAGAGTTGTATTGTGAGAGAGTGAGAGGAATTGTTAGGTGGAGTCAGATAGATAGTTGGAATAATCAGTTTGGAGTTGTTAGGAACTAAGAATAAGAAACTGACAAGAGAAAAATTAACTGTAACCATAAGCTTGTTCCTGCATTTAAAAATAAACTTGATTATTTGTTTATGTTAACAACTGACTGGACTCCGTGTGTCCCCGTGAGATACGGGGTGGTGGCAGCGGAAAAAGCAATCGCAGTGGCAGCACAGGGTCAATAGACCGTCAAACGTCCGGGGGCCCTGTGTGTGATTGCCACAGAGGCAGATCCCAGCTCCTGGGCACAAGCAGCAGTAACCTCTTTCCAGCTATTTCAGGTTGTTTTTATCCCCGTTGCTGGAAAATTTCTCCTAATGTGATCTCAGCTGCTTTAGGTTCAGCAGTATATGAGCCGATTTAAAATGCTGAGGAAGTGTGCAAGACATGGCCTTTCCGGGGTCTGTGTTCAGTTTTTTAAGCTGTGGTGGGAACTTCCATGTTCAAAATGCTCCACTAGGTAAGGAAGTGAGGGATTTAAATAATCGCCTCTCTTTGTCTCCAGTGTTGGCACCCGTCCATGCCTTGTGTCTGGGTGCTGGCACGGTGGCTTCGGTGTCTTGGCTGAGTGTCAGCTCCATTTCCCACATCTTGCCTTGCAGTCCTTTCCGCTTTTATGACTTCTGGACTTGCGTCCCTCGAACCGGCGAGCAGAAATGGTGCAGTGCCCAGAAGTGTTCTCTTTCTCAGATTCCCCCCCCCCAACCCACATGCATCTCGAACCCTTGCCAGGTGTGTGCCTCACATTTTGAAGAGAAGCGGCCACAGGGCATTTTCTGTAAGAGATCTGCTTTTCACGTCTGTGGGCCTTTGGCCCAGGATAGGCCTGGATGGCCGCTGGCATAATAAATCTTTATTAGTGGATGAGTCAAGTTCTCGGCAGACTGAAGTAAAGAAACATTTTGCGAGCGGGTTTTTGTTCTGTCACTCTCATGTTTGCTAGCAAAGTTTTGCTTTAGAGCAGGAGTGGGAAACCTTTCTTTTCTTTTGGCCCCCAAAGGCCACATTTCATTGTGGGCAACCCTTATGGGGCCACATGATGGGTGTGACTCTTTTGTACAGTAGGCTATATCCCAGCCATGCAAAAGTCACAGAGGTTTCTATGCCAGCCTGTTTCCAGGCACAATTCAAAGTGCTAGCTATGACCTAGACAACTTAGGCCCAGGCTGCTGGATTCTCCTATAGGAACCTGCCCGGGCTCTGAGTTCTTTGGGGAAAAGGCACTTCTTTCACCTTGCCATTCTCACAGGCACACTTGGTAGAGAAAGGAGAGAGGGCCTTCTTGGTGGTGGCTCCCAGACTTTGAAACTTCCTTCCTAGGGAGGCTAGTCTGGCTCCCTCCCTGTTGTCATTCCACTAGCAGATGAAGACCAGAATGTGGCAGCTAGACTGGTGATTGGGAGTGGCTGCCGAGACCATATAACACCCATTCTGAAAGACCTTCATTGGCTCCCAGTACGTTTCCGAGCACAATTCAAAGTGTTGGTGTTGACTTCTAAAGCCCTAAACCAGGCTTCCTCAATCTCAGCCCTCCAGATGTTTTGAGACTACAATTCCCACCATCCCTGACCACTGGTCCTGCTAGCTAAGAATCATGGGAGTTGTAGGCCAAAAACATCTGGAGGGCTGAGGTTGAGGAAGCCTGCCCTAAATGGCCTCGGCCCAGTATACCTGAAGGAGCGTCTCCACCCCCATCGTTTAGCCCGGACACTGAGGTCCAGCTCTGAGGGCCTTCTGGCGGTTCCCTCCATGGGAGAAGTGAGACTGCAGGGAACCAGGCAGAGGGCCTTCTTGGTAGTGGCACCCACCCTGCGAAATGCCCTCCCATCAGATGTCAAGGAAATAAACAACTACCTGACTTTTAGAAGACATCTGAAGGCAGCCCTGTTTAGGGAAGTTTTTAATGTCTGATGTTTTATTGTGTTTTTAATACTCTGTTGGGAGTGCCCAGAGTTGCTGGGGAGGCCTGGCCAGATGGGCGGGGTATAAGTAATAAATTGTTATTATTATATATTATAATTCCAACAGGCTTTGGGGAACTGACTGCTTTTAAGGAAAGGGCTCTTAAATAGCATGCTGTACTTGGTTGTTGTTTTGCTACCTGCATTTTAATTTCTTTGGGCTTTTTGCATTGTTTTAATTCTATAGTTTAACCATAACCATTTATATGTTTTTAGCTACGTGTGTTTGTTTTAATTTTTGTCAGCTGCCTCTAGTCCCTGTTCTGGGGGAAAGGCAGGATACAAGCCAACCATTCATACATGAATCTCTCGCATCTCTCCACCTTCCATCCCGGCATGACAAAGGCATTGTCACAGTGAAATGTTTAAGTCGGCAGCAGTTGTACTATTTTGATGCAGGGATACTGACCACATAGTAATATGAGTGAGCCCCCGCCCTGCCTTTACTTAATTTCTCTTCTGATGCACTGCAGCCTCAATTTGCTGTTACAATAAGGTTAGAGCAGGCGGTGAGCCCTCTGCCAATAGCAAGCTTTGATTTCCTGTTTTATATTATCATACTATTTTGGCTGTGTCTTGGCACCAGAAGGCTGCACAAGAGGTTCTCTGTGTATTTTGCTGAATTTTTGATGGCCCGGCTTGGGATGGGACAGTAATTAAATGGACTGCAGGTTGGGACACACAGCAGATTAGAGGAAAAGTGCTGAATAAACATATTTTAAAAATAAAATAAAAACCAAACCATACCGGTGTGTAATTAAATTGCTTGCTGATCTGTTGGACTTGGGTGACTGCAAATAAGATTATCTCCTAATATGCCTCTCAAGGCTCTGTCTCTCTCTCACACAATTTTTCCTTTTCCTTTTTGTGGTAAGGTGCTGCCTTACAAATGTTCTATATGCTGGTCACGTAGGTGCAGGTTTGGTTGGTTTTATCTTTTTTTAAAGTTTCAGCACTTAAATGGAGTATGTGCATGTTTAGCAAAACCTTTGATCAAACAGAGATGGCACCGGTGGAGGACTGTTCATTTGGCTAATGGGGTGCTGGCCCTTACCCACTGGCGGAAGAAGGGGGGTGCGGTGGATGCGGTCCACCCCAGGTGTCATCCCGGTGGGGGGGTGACATCGCCGCCCCGCCCCCCTGGGATGCTGGCCCCGCCCCTGCAGGTGGCTAGCCCCGCCCCCGGGTGCACAGCATGTGTGCCGCTCCGAGTGCCACAGCAGCTAGCTCTGCCTCTGCCCCCGCCAGTCTTTCTATGTACTTAGTCAGCCCAAAGAGTGGCCCTGCCTGACAGCTTTCTCCTGCTTAGTGTCAAATATTTGGAGCCTAAGTCATTTAGGGCTTTAAAAACTAATGTGCACAGCTTGTTAGATTTTTTGGGGAGTTGATATAAGGCCCATTTTTTAAAAAGTGAAGATTGCAAGCGGTTTTGAAATGCAGCTTTGGGCAAGATTCCAAGAGACTTTCCTTTGGCTGACGAAAAACCCTCAAAACTTCCTAGACCATCCATCTCTTTTGGACATGGGGTGTATTTTTAAAGTCCCTTTTCACTGGCTGGGATACTCAATGCAAAGAACTATAATTGCTGGTTAACTGGTCTGGTAAACAGAGCCCTGTGTAGACATGCAGTAATTGAGGCTGTGTGGGTCGCCCGGTTTAATTACTGTCTGAATACTTGGAATAGAAACTTTTCAGCAGCCACCATATCATAGAGCATCCGATTAAGTAAACAAATTGGTAGCTGCTGAACCACACGGCCAAGTGACGAGAGGATTCTCCAATCCTTCCCTCGAGGTCTTGGAGAAATTATGCCCAGGGTAGCCAGAGGCCTTGTGGGTATTTCTCCCACACATCTGGCAAAAGAGTGGCTTAATTGCACTCCCAGATGCAACCCATGCCAGATGATTCCCCCACCATCCCCCCAGCAACTTCTCTCTTGCTGACGGATGAAATTAGACTTGGCACGATGACCTCATGGTCCATTACAGACACACCTTATCCCGGACATACTGGCTCAGGGCAGATGTTATGACAGCTGCAGGGATGAGATTTAGAGGCAGGCAAATCATGTTATTGCCCAGGGTGCCAAACCTTTTTTTTTTTTTTTTTTTTGCAGTGGTGGGGGACAGTGGCACCAGGCTGGAGGTGCGACTGTTATGAACTACAGTCATACCTTGGAAGTCAAACGGAATCCACTCTGGAAGTCCTCTTGACTTCCAAAATGTTCAAAAACCAAAGCACTGCTTCTGATTGGAAGCTCCTGCAGCCAATCGGAAGCTGTGGAATCCCCATCAGACGTTCAGCTTCCAAAAATCGTTCAAAAACCGGAACACTTACTTACTTACACGGGTTTCGATCATCCGGGAGCCGATTTGTTTGGGAGCCAAGGCGTTCGAGATCCAAGGTGCGACTGTATCTACTCCAGGACTGGGGAATATTTTTCAGATGGGGGAACACATTTGCTTCTAGGCAAGCTTCCAGGGCCCCCACGTCAATGGTGGGCACAGCCAGAGGTGAAAGTGGCCGGAGTAATTAATGTTCATGTCATGTTTTATGCAGCAGGTAGTTTCTGCACACAATTGCACACCCTTCTCTACCCTCCAGCCAGGTTAGCAGGAATTCCAGGACACATTTCATCTGGGGAAGCCCCCCTCCCCCAAGAACAAACACTCAAGGTGGGTGCAGGGTACATTGGGTGAGGGGGGTGTGTTGCTTTGGAAGTTGGGTGGCCTGGGGGAAAGTCCTGAGGGTCTGATAGAGAAGTGTCAAGGGCCACATGTGGCCTCCCCGCAGGTCTGAGGTTATGTGCCGTGAAGAAACTGGCTATGCTGCACATGTCACAGAGTTATGGAGGAGAGGAGAAGGAGGGATCCTGAAATGGCTTTCGAAATACTTTTTTCCGTGGTGACAAAGGAACTCTAGAGATGCTTTTTCCTCTGAAAATCCAATTTTTACGTACTCGGGGTCTATATGCGTGTGTGTGTGTTTGTGGGTGGGGGGAAGCCCCAAAGTGAATGAAGAATACTTGGAATGCAGCCAGAACAATCTGGGCCCCTGCTTGTTTCTCACTCTCTCCCCTCCCCCCCCCCCACCCCTGGCCACTGTCTTCTATTTTTGATGCTGGTTACATGGTTTCCTGTTTGTTGCAAAATATGTGGGTTTCTGAATGTTGCACCTGCGGTGAATTCCATACATTACACCCTTCCTGTCTGCAAATGGGCGCCCACAACCGTTTCCCTCCCCACCCACCATAAGCGTTCACAGCAAGTCCTTTTGAACTAGATCTCTGCCTTCTTTCTAGGATGGAGGTTACTGAGTGGAGTTATAATGGGGAACCAGGACAAAAGAATCAAGTGTGCTCATCTGAATCAGAACCCGTGAACTTGCAGCCCCATTGGATATGGCTGAACTACAACCCCCTTAATCCCTGACCATTGGCCATGCCAGCTGGGGCTGATGGGAAATGGAGTCCAACAGCATCTGGAGGTCTATAGATCCCCCCATCTATGTATTATGTCATTTGTTTTATTTGCTATTCTATGCTGTGCATCCCATTTTTAGACCAGGACTGTGAAATTATTACTTTCCCCCCCTTTTGTGACTTTCTTTTCTTTGCAAACTCTGCTTTACTTTTGTAACACAACCATTAAAATTGCATATTTTAAATGAATTATTTGTTTTGCTCACATTAGATTCCTTTTTGTATTCCATTTTTGTTTATGTAACTATTATATCCAGAGCTAATTTCTCCAGCTGTTCTGTGCTCACTGGTTGCCACCATTTTTGTCCCTGACATGTCCTGGAATGACCCCATCAAGTGCATTCTGGGTAAGAAAATATGGCAGCCACCAACAATTGTCTTCGGAATGAACTCTGTTGCTGCTGATGGTATAGGAGACAGATAACTCCTCTGCCCACTCCCAAATACTATCATTAGGAGTCCTTTTGTTGTTGTTGTTTAAAGTCCTATCCAATTGATTTCTGAACTGTTAAAAACCTGAACCAAATGTATCCCATTTGTCCTAGTTGTTCTGAAAGCATGCATACCCTTAACGTCATCTTTCTTTAAATGGTTAATATGGTGATACTTGTTCTCAAGTTGCCAATGCTTGGTTTAATTCCAACAGCAAGCGGTAGCAGTGACTGCCAGCTACCAACAAGTTCTTCTGGTTGCTTTGGGAAGGTCAGGCTGGAGCTGCACAGCCGATTCTGTCCTTGAGAAAGATCTTTGTGGGCTCCCCAGTGTGTCACTGTGGGAAGTAGGAAGCTGAAGAGGCCTTTGGTCTGATGCAAAAATGCTCTTCCTATGTTCTGATAGAAAGATCCATGGAGGGGTAAAGCGATCAGTGGCTACCGGTCATTATGGGTATGTGCTCATTCCAGTATCAGAGGCAGCATAATAACTCTGTGTAGCAGTTGCTGGAGACCAGGACCAAGAAGGTGCTGCTGTAGTCAAATGCTGTTTGCCTGCTTCCCATAGGCATCTCGTTGGCCACTATGAGAACAGGACACTAGACTAGATGGGCCATTGGTGTAGTCAAAGAATCATAGAACTGTAGAGTTGGAAGGGACTCCTAGGATCATCTAGTCCAGCAGTTCTCAACCTGTAGGTCCCCAGATGTTGTTAGACTACAACTCCCATCATCCCTGAGCTCTGGCCTTGCTAGCTAGGGGTGATGGGAGTTGTAGTCCAACATCTGGGGACCCACAGGTTGAGAAAGGCTGATCTAGTCCCTTGAAATACAGGAATATGCATCTGTCTCATCCGGGGATTGAACCTGCAACCTTGGCATTGTCAGCACCACACTCTAACCAACTGAGCTATCCAGGTGCAGAAAGTGGTGTTTCCTGCAATGCAGCATCAAGTAATTAGAGAAGCAGGCAGGAAGCACTTCCTCTCCCCATGACAGCTAGTTTAGCGCTCGGCACAAGCGGCGGGGAACCTCAGACCTGGAGATGGCCTTCTAATTCTTTCTGTTTTGCCCTTGGGGATTTACTCACCAGCCTCCTCTGGTGTTTTTTGCCTGGCTGGAATATGTCCTTGAACTGTGATAATGTTTCTGGCTTGCCTGGGCGAAGAGATGTGAATGGAGGAGTGTGTGTTTAGAACCCTCTGATTTTTTGCTTGGCTGGAAAGTGCAAAGTCAGAGGTACGGCTCCACAGCTCCACCCACCTTTCGCCCATCACCAGCATGTGGCCCCTGGAAAGGTGCTCGTAAGGCAATGAGGCCTTTGGCCTGGAAAAAGCACCCCACTTCTGCCTTAAAGAGGTTTCCATGATTTTTGTGTGTGTGTTTCAACCCATACAATGTGGAACAGAGTGAATCAGTGGAAAACGGGTAGGTGGGGAAGAGACTAAGGCTGATTAACTGTTTCCCTCCTGTTGTAGTTCTTGGTGATTGAGGGGACAGATGTGGATTTTGTTACCGATGCAGTTACTTGTCGCAGATTGGCTGGTGGGTGAAAATTAGGCGATCCTCTTTTAACAGGGTTTATTGCAGTAATTGCTGACCAGGGTAATGGCGCAAAACGCAACATCACAAAACCTGTGATGCCAGCAGTGCAAACAATGAAACAGTTCGGCTAATTAATCAGCAAAGAGAATATATTGCCACTGAGACAATAAAAAAATGCCCCTTGTAATGAAATCACAATACACGGTCTCAAATTCTGCAGAATGGTTGTTGTTGTTTTTTTAAAAAATGATTATTCAATTTACATTGTTTTTAATGGATTCTGATTAATTGGCTACACTTTGTAGCCTTAATTGTAAGTGGTCTTTGATTCCTCTACAAATACTGTGTTTGATTCATGTGTTATCCCAAATGCAGATGTGGCTACTCCTTGGGGGGGGGGGCACTTTGACAGATAGGCAGGCTGCTCAGTCACTTGACATGAGGTGATCTAAAATTTGAAGTCTTCTGGTGGGGCGCTTTCAATAGCCCCTTGTAGCCCTGAGGTTCAGCTACCAAAGACTGGCCACTGTGCAAATCCTCCCCATTTCCAAAGTAGAACATCAGGTTTCCTCTGAGCTCAATCCATGTGCTCCCCAAATGCAGTACGCGCACACCCACAATTTGTCGCCTGAAGTCATGTGCAGCTGGACAAGCTCTGTCTGGAGCTGCGCAGTAGGAGATGCTAAGCCATCTTCATCGTCTAGCAGGAGAATAATTTGTAAGTCTTTTTAACTATTCGCCAACTGCTCCACGAGGCTCTCCCATTAATTGATGGAGTTAAAATAAGTCAACCGAACTGCGGCTCCCTTTCTCCTGGAAAGCAGCTTGGCTTTCTAATTCTTAAGGGGTTGAGGTTCTCTTCTGCTCCAAGAAGCATGGGAGAAACATGATTCTCAGCTGTCAGAACAGACCCGCACCCACACCCACAGGAATTGTCTGTTAACATTCTCCGGAGGATGAGTTCATGTTTTCCTCCAGAGAGATCCATTAGCCAGTGCTTCGGCTGGTTATACAACAGTTCCGTAAGACCTGTACAGAAATGTTCTTCTGCCTGCTGAAGGGCAGTCTGCGTCATGATTCTCCAACTGCTTTCCTCCTATAACCAAATTTCCGCATCACAACTCCAGTGTGGTTTCTTGTTTGTTGACTGTCGCTCTATTTTGGGAGCTGTGCCATTGGGACTTCTTAAGTCTAGGAAGCGCTTTCAGATACATTGGGTGGGGTGGTGGCGAGGGAAAGGTGTTGTAATTTTGTGGTTTAACAATAAATATATTTTTAGGACGATCTGTTTCCCGCCACCCTTCAAAAATTAAGCAAACATGTTGTTTTACCTGGCTTCCCCTCCCTTTTTTTGCATATAACATATATTTGAGTTTCAGTGGTTAGTTCGCAATTTATATCTCTGTGCAGCCATGACTGGCGTGAAGTGTAAAAACAGCCCTGATGGATGTCTCTGTAGACCCATCTACTCCAGTGTCCTGTTTTACACAAGCCATCTTCCATTTTGCTGGAGGCTGCTAAAATGGGTGGGTTGGGGTGCAGATGGAAGCCCCGCCCTTGGTGCCCTATAAGCTCCGCCTTCAACATCCCTACCAGCACATGGTTTTATCAGAGCTGTGCACATTGCCAGCACAACCAATTGGATCTGCAGGACTGGCATTGTTACACGTGTGCAGTTGGAAGGGACCCTGAGAACCATCACCAATCCAACCCCCTGCAATGTAGGAATTTGCAACTGTCCCATACCTGGGATCAAACCTGCAACCTTGGCATTATCAGCACCACGCTCTAACCAACTGAGCTACAGTATCCAGGCTTCATTCCACCCTTGTAAGAAAGTTCATCTTTTGGCGTGGTAAGAGGTGCATCCCGTCAATTTCATATCCGAATTCACAGAGACCAAATTCCATAAGCAACTACAGTGGTACCTCTGGTTACATATGCTTCAGGTTACATATGCTTCAGGTTGCAGACTTCGCTAACCCAGAAGTAGTACCTCGGGTTAAGAACTTTGCTTCAGGATGAGAACAGAAATCGTGCTCCAGTGGCGCGGCAGCAGCGGGAGGTCGCATTAGCGGCCTGAAGTGGTGCTTCAGGTTAAGAACAGTTTCAGGTTAAGAACAGACCTCCGGAACAAATTAAGTACATAACCTGAGGTACCACTGTATAGGTATAGATGCAGATTTAAAAATTACTACCATACTTCAAGTGTATCTTATCCTAAAAGGGAAGTTGTGACCTGTGTTGTGAAATGTTATTGGGGAACCCGAAATTAAGAATTAAGTACTTAACCCGAGGTACCGCTGTACTTTTGGGGAAGTTCTGCTCAATATGTAGTTGTCTTGCAGGGGGGGTGGGGGCAATAGGTTTGGTCCCTCCTAAGAACACATGGACGAGCTCTCCTGTAAAGGTCTCCACTTTCAGACTTGTTATCCTCCATCCAGGATTCCCTCGTCTCTTAAGATTTTTTTACAGTGGCTTAATATGGGGAAGCTATACCACCCAACATTTAAAATAAAAATGAAATAACTGCACTCTTCATGTATTCAGTTAAATTTTAATTGCATCATAGAGATGGTCGTTCTGCACTTTCTTCTGAAAATTGCACCCTTCTGGCTGCTTTTTGCTGCCCCCCTCCACCACATATGCTCTCTTAATGTGTTTCTGCATTTCCCGACCGTAAGCCTGTGGGCAGGGACTGTCTCATCTTATGTAAGACAGTCTGTGAGCCTTTTTGGCTGAAGAGTGGGGAACAAATGCTCCAATTACTTACTTACCTACCTAATCAATTCAAGGAGCAGGAGCATTTTCTGGGCTTGGGGCCCTATGGTTGCTTTTTCTCCAAAATTAAAGCAGCCAGGTTATGTGTATATATATTTTTAAAGCATGTGACTACTGGGATAGCTCAGTTGGTAGAGCATGAGACTCTTGACCTCAGGGTCGTTGGTTTGATCCCCGTGTCGGGTAAAAGATTCCTGCATTGCAGGAGGTTGCACCAGCTCACCCTTGTGGTCCCTTCCAGCTCTACAACTCTACATGCTACATGTACTCTCGTCTTTGGATCATGACATTCCTGATTCATGGCTGGAGTTGGCACAGCCAGAGGTGAGGAACCTCCAGTCAAGGCAGCCAAATGCAGCCCTCCAAGCCACTCTTATCTGGCCCTTGGGAACCTCAACAAGTCCTCCTCTGTGCCCTTCTTGAGTATTTTCACCTGACAACGCTGTGTTCTAAACCACTGAGCCTCTTGAGCAGGGGTCAGCAACCTTTTTCAGCTGTGGGCCGGTCCACTGTCCCTCAGACCATGTGGTGGGCCAGACTATATTTTGGGTAATAAATGAACGAATTCCTATGCCCCACAAATAACCGAGAGATGCATTTTAAATAAAAGGACACATTCTACTCATGTAAAAACATGCTGATTCCCGGACTGTCCGTGGGCCGGATTGAGAAGGCGATTGGGCCACATCCGAGCCCCGGGCCTTAGGTTTCCTACCCTTGCTCTTGAGCTTGCCAATTAGAAGGTTGGTGGTTCGAATCCCTGTGACACGGTGAGCTCCCGTTGCTCTGCCCCAACTCCTGCCAACCTAGCAGTTCGAAAGCATGCCAGTGCAAGTAGATAAATAAGTACCACTGTGATGGGAAGGTAGACAGCATTTCCATATGCTCTGGTTTCCGTCACAGTGTTCTGCGTGCCAGAAGCAGTTTAGTCACACTGGCCAAATGACCCAGAAAGCTGTCTGTGGACAAAGCCACATCCGGCCTGCCTAGGAGGTGGGGTTGCGGGCTTCACGCCCACCCCCACGTGAGCGGGGGCTGGTTTCAGCCCCCACGAGAACAGGGGAATCCCGGCCGCGTCTTCCCCGCCAGCCAGCCAATTGGCTGGCTGGCTGGGGGGGCGTGGCCTGCCCTATTTAGGGCCGGCGCAGAGGGGGCTCGCCCTCTTTTCGCCGGCTAGCCCCCACGTTTTCCCACCCTCCCTCCCTTTAGGTAGGCTTTAGGTAGGTCTCTGACTTTGCTATGGACTTCGGTCTGTCGCCGCAAGGGGCATAGTAGGAATTTTTCCCAATTGGCAATTTACAGCCATTTGGTTTTTCGCCTACCTCACAACTCCTCGGCATTGGCAGTTAGGCATTGGTAAGAAGGGGTTAAGAGGATGTGTGTGTGGGGGGGAGGAACGCCGTCACAGTGAATGAAGGGTGGTCCGATAAAGGACTCCGGGGGGGGGTGTGTCCCTGTCCGAAGCCTATGGAGGTGTGGGCCAAAGGCACGCCCCCGAGCGGTGACCCGGGGGAGCTCCTAGTTGACGTGCCTCAGCAGGAGACTCCCCCTCTATGGTGTTAACCCTTCCCGTGTCTCCAGCAAATGGGCTGGAGCTGGATAATCGATAGGACCAATGCCTAAGCCAAAGCCTCTCATTCCTGAATTCAATAAAGTTGTGGCCTAATTCACCCATTTAACCTTAAATTATGGTGTCTCGTGTTTTTTTTATCCTGGTGGGGGCCGGGAACTCGCCACGCAAACGCCAGCTCCCTCGACCTGAAAAGCGAGATGAGCACCGCAACCCCATAGTCACCTTTGAGTGGACTTAACTGTCCAGGGATCCTTTACTTTACCTTACCTGGCTGATGTTGTTGTTTAGTCGTTTAGTTGTGTCCGAATCTTCATGACCCCATGGACCAGAGCACGCCAGGCACTCCTGTCTTCCACTGCCTCCCGCACTTTCGTCAAACTCATGCTGGTAGCTTCAACAACACTGTCCAACCATCTCGTCCTCTGTCGTCCCCTTCTCCTTGTGCCCTCCATCTTTCCCAGCATCAGGGTCTTTTACAGGGAGTCTTCTCTTCTCATGAGGTGGCCAAAGTATTGGAGCCTCAGCTTCAGAAACTGTCCTTCCAGTGAGCACTCAGGGCTGATTTCCTTCAGAATGGATAGGTTTGATCTTCTTGCAGTCTGTGGGACTCTCAAGAGTCTCCTCCAGCACCATAATTAAAAAGCATCAATTCTTCGGCGATCAGCCTTCTTTATGGTCCAGCTCTCACTTCCATACATCACTACTGGGAAAACCATAGCTTTAACTATACGGACCTTTGTCAGCAAGGTGATGTCTCTGCTTTTTAAGATGCTATCTAGGTTTGTCATTGCTTTTCTCCCAAGAAGCAGGAGTCTTTTAATTTCGTGGCTGCTGTCACCATCCATATAGCCATCCTGATGAACCATCCCGGATAACTCTATCCTCCGTGAATTTGTCTGATCCCCTGTTAAATCCTTCTAAGCTAGAGATTATCACCATATTTTGTGACAATGAATCCCTTAAACTGGTCGGTTTTACTCCGTGTGAAGAAGCACTGCTTTTTGCCTGTTCTGAATATCCACCCAATCAGCTTCATTGGATGACCCAGAGTTCTAGAATTATGGGGGAGGGGGGAGGAGACTCTCAAGAGTCTCCTCCAGCACCATAATTCAAAAGCATCAATTCTTCGGCGATCAGCCTTCTTTATGGTCCAGCTCTCACTTCCATACATCACTACTGGGAAAACCATAGCTTTAACTATATGGACCTTTGTTGGCAAGGCGATGTCTCTGCTTTTTAAGATCTTTGAATTCTGATGATGCCTCTTCCTTGTAGATGGATGCTATAAAGAAGTGTATGTAAACTATCCTACTCTGTAAAGGTAAACTCCATTTCGATTGCAAGTAAATCTCAGGGAAGTCCTGGATGCTCAGATGACTGAGCTGCTGAGTTAGACTGACATATAGTGATACAGAAAATGGCAGTTCCCATCACCATTGACCTCTTTTCACTCCCAGTCTGGCACACCGAGGCTTTATTTCACAAAAAGTTGATAAGCGATATGATTTGGTAGATAAGCACAATCAGCCCCTTAACTGCTTGGCGAAACTTAAGTTTCTCATCCAAAAATTATATTCGGTAACCACCAAATCATTGCCTGGAGGCTAAGAGCTGACTGCCTCATTCATGGCCAAAGTTATAATTAGGACAGGAATAAGAAAATACATGATACTGAAACAGAGAACATCTTTGTGGGGTTTATTTCCCCCTTGCTGATGATGGATGCATTTTACACTTCAGTCAGCTTAACCTTCCTTAGCCCCCGCCGTGGTTGGTAGCAAACACTGCTAATAAAGGATCCTCAGAGAGGAAAAAACCTATCTTCAGTTCCCACAAGCAACAAATGAGGCTTTTAGCATCATCGCCATCATGGAGAGAAGAGATACACCATACATCCATATAAGATATATACCTGAGGGGATCCTTTACCTATTTCTGGCCTATTCAACCAATTTGTTCTGCAGAACAGGCAATGTTACAGGTGCTACAAAATACTCACTCTGCACTTGTAAGAAATTCTTCTTTTAGCATGGCAGCTTCTAACCTTTGGAACTCCTTGCCTCTTGACTTCAGGCAGAGCATCTTCACTGTACTTTTTGGCATCTGATAAAGACATTTTTTGTACAGGCAAGCCTATCCAAACATGTGGAAAGTTGAGTGCTTCAATCAGCTTTTAAAGCTTAATGGTTGGTTTGAATTAAGTGAACTCTTGATATTTTGATTTATTTAAAAATAGCTGTTTTTAACTTTGCCTTTTATTGGCAACCTTAATCTTTGTTTAATTTCCTCTTCTTAAAATCACACAGAGGTTCTATTAGTAAATGCGATATATAAATGCTAAGATAAAATAAGTATGATTCGGTACATGGAACATTATTGTAACAGATTATGTGAATAAATAGTGTCCTAGAAGCAGTGCTGGATTTACGTATAAGCTAAACAAGCTATAGCTTAGGGCCCCACTCTCTTGGAGCCCCCCCCCGAAAATCCCCCCCAACTAATATACTTCTTCTTAATTGTATTTCAATTCAACAACTACTTTGATAAAACACATATTTTGTTATGTGCAAATGGCTTTAGATACCTATTAGGTCCGTAAATGACCATATAGCATATATTCAACACAAAAACAGTGACAATTTGTTGTTGACAAAAGACAGCTGGACATATAAAGGGCCCCATTACCTTCAGTAGCTTAGGGCCTCATCAAACCTAAATCTGGCCCTGCGTGGAAGTTATCATTCTAAAATATATCAAACAAAGACTTTCATTCTAAAAATCCATTTCTTTGTTTGTTATTTGTTCTTCTATAGTATGCCAGATTGGTTTTTTTAAAAAATTAATCATCGATGGCTGCCAACTTGGATGACTTTGGAAGAGGATTAGAGAAATTCATGGAGGATAAGGCTACTGGTGTCTTTTAGACATGATGGCTCCTGCTCTGCCTCTACAGGCCTCTGAATATCAATTCCTGGAAACCACAGGAGGAAAGAGGGGTCTTGTGCTCAGGTCCTACTAGCCAGTTTCCCACAAGCATCTGTCGGCCAAGGTGCTAGACAAGATGGGCCATTGGCCTGATCCAGCAGGCTCTTCTTCAGGGGCCGGCAAACTTTTTCAGCAGGGAGCCGGTCCACCATCCCTCAGACCATGTGGTGGGCCAGACTATATTTTGAAGAAAAAAATATGACCGAATTCCTATGCCCCACAAATAACCCAGAGATGCATTTTAAAGAAAAGGACATATTCTACTCATGTAAAAACACGCTGATTCCCGGACCGTCTGTGGGCTGGATTTAGAAGGTGATTGGGCCGGATCTGGCCCCCGGGCTTTAGTTTGCCTACCCATGCTCTTCTTTAATAATAATAATAATAATAATTTTTTATTTATACCCCGCTCTTCCCGGTTCAAAAACCAGGCTCAGGACAGTTAACAACAAATTTAAAACACTTTAAAACACTTAATTATAAAAGCAGCATAAAACACAGTATAAAAACACGAATAACAATAAAATTCAAAAATCAAAAATCAATTAGATAATCCCCATGGCTAGCTGGCTGAATTGGTCCTACTTGGGCCAGTGAGGGGCCAGGGGAGAATTAGCTGTGGGAATCAGAGCGGGTAATCTTCATAAAAGGGGAGAGGGAGGGAAGAGAAGGGAAATAAAAGATCAGGCAGAATTCAAATTAAAGGCCAGGTGGAATAGCTCTGTCTTACAGGCCCAATGGAAAGAGGTTAAATCCTGCAGGGCTCTAGTCTGATGTTTTTATCAGCATCAACCAGAGTAACCAACGGTCAGGGTTGATGGGAATTGTGGTCCCGCAACATTCAGCAGGCTACATGTTCCCTACCCCTAAGTTAGGGTAGAAGGGAGACTTTGTTACAAGTTCTTGTCCAGCCACACAACTCACTGACTGTACATGGGCCTGCCACTGTCTCTTGAACTACCTACCTCACAGGATTGTTGTGAAGAGCAAAACAAGCAGAGGAAAATCCATATAGATCTCTGGGAAGAGACCCCAAAATGTAATGAATCAATGAAAGTTCCTTTTCAAGGCAATTTTTGAAGGATCCATTATTAAAGCAGTCAATAAAACCATATTAAAACTGCTATGATTGTTTTCCTGATTTGTTTTTCTTTATTTTTTTTGTACACGAGTTTTTATTGTAAGCCACCTCGGACAAATTACTGGAAGGGCAGCATGCTTGCTTGAAAGTGGATGCTTAAGTACAAATAAATAAAAGTGTTTTCTGCCCCAAGTCCAGTTGTTTGCAGAAGGAAAGTTTTGACAGCCAGTGTGTCAAGCTGCCTTCACAAGAGATGCATTTTTCTCCCGCGTGTTTGTGCAGTGACATCACCCAGGACCTCACTGGCGAACCCAGTTTTAAATGCTGACTTCCTTTGCCCACTCAGTGTTTGCAGACTTTGTGCATTTTAAAGCAGGAAAAGCCAGGCCTCTGAAATATTTATTATTTCAAGAATAATCCTGAAGTGATTTCACATCGAAAACATCATCAGTGAAAAACGAGGACGCAATTTCATATATGAAAACATCGTAATATATATATATATTGAAAATACCATCAAAACAGTGCGATGTGTAAAAGCACTGAAAAATAGTTTTATGAGTTCAAACCATGTATAGGTATAAATGCAGATTTAAAAATTACTGCCATACTTCAAGTGTAAGGTAAAGGCAAAGGGACCCCTGACCATTAGGTCCAGTCGTGGCCGACTCTGGGGTTGCGGCGCTCATCTCGCTTTATTGGCCGAGGGAGCCGGCGGACAGCTTCTGGGTCATGTGGGCAGCATGACTAAGCCGCTTCTGGCGAACCAGAGCAGCACACGGAAATGCCATTTACCTTCCCGCCAGAGCGGTACCTATTTATCTACTTGCACTTTGAGTGCTTTCGAACTGCTAGGTTGGCAGGAGCAGGGACCGAGCAACGGGAGCTCACCCCATCGCAGGGATTTGAACTGCCGGCCTTCTGACCAGCAAGTCCTAGGCTCTGTGATTTAACCCACAGCGCCACCCGCATCCCACTTCAAGTGTATCTTACCCTAAAAGGAAAGTTGTGACCTGTGTTGTTAACTGTTATTGTGGAACCTGAAAGCTATTGCTCTCCCTTCTTAGGGTTATTTCTTATTTTAAGCCAAACGTGGACCAGACAGCCCTTCAAACAGAGGACTGGCCTCTCTAAAGAAGACGGGTGGCCACCTTAGTCTGCACGCTGAGATAGGAAGTTTGCACAATTTGCAGACCCTCCCAGATGAGCGGTTTACTGAGCATTTACCATGTTTTGTTTGCAGGGAGATTGAGTGAACATTTGTTCTGATTTGTATGCGGGGAGGTTAGGCAAACATAGCATCAAAGCAAATGTTACCCCTCACTTTCTGGTGTGATTCCCCATCACTTTCCTTATTGCAAATAGTTCAGTCTTTGGGAAGGAGCAGGTTTGTTGCAGATGACTTCCAAATGAACTTTGATTGTGCAACCTGAATTTGTGATTGAATTCCCACCCAAAATAGTGACAGTCTGAAAACACCAAAATGGTCAGTAGAAATGTGGCTATTTTGTCATTTGAATGAAATAAAAAGAAAAGATGGTTTCCTGCTTTGGTCATATTCATAGTCTAGTGGGGGGGGGGAAGGTGTAAGACGCAAGGAAGTTGTTCTTAGCACAAAAGAAGCACCTTCTCCTTTTTCTCCTTCCTGTTAAGCTGCTCTTCATTCCAGGCACTTTGTTTTGTTTGCTCTTCATTTTTAAAAAATATTCATTTAAATCAGGTGTTGGGAACCTCCAGATGTAGGACATCTCCCATTATCCATGACCATTGGCCATGCTTGCTGAGGATGATGGGAGTTGTAGTTCAGCAACAATTGGAGGGCCAAAGATCCCCTACTCCAGATTTAGATAGGGATTTCTATTGCACACTTTGAGTGCTATTTACAACTCAGTTGGTCGGATTACCATTTAAAATCATAAGGTCAAACAATGCATTTAAAATGCAATGTTTAATTATTATTAATTTTTTAAAAATTATTATTTTTTGTCGAAGTGTCCAAACAAATAAAATACAAAAACAAACAGGAACAAACATAGTACACCAGCTTAAGCAAAACACACCCTGGGTGTCTGCCCACAAACTCTGGCATTACAACAAAAACAAGAAGGTTGGAAATCATTTTACATATTCAGAATGAAAATTAATAGCACTTTATAAGCCTCATGTACTGATTTTGCCTCAGCATCTTTAGCTTCAAGCACGTGTTGTCATCAATCTCTTAAATACTATTTAAAATGTTTCTTCCCCTTAGCTGCATATGCCCAGTGCAGGCGATCTACGTGCAAAAACCTGTATTTGTGCCCAGATTGTATTCTCTGGGACAGAGCGGAGGTGGTCTTTAAAAATGAGCAATATCAGTCACTACTCAGCTAGTTCCTTGTTTACCTCTCCCCTCCTTGTATTTTTTCACCTGTGCCAAATTTCAGATTGTAATTCTGCTGGGGCAGAGACCTGGATATAAAACAAAACAAATGATAATAGAATCACAGAATTGTAGATCTGGAAGGGACCACAAGGGTCATCTAATCCAACCCTCTGCAATGCAGTAATATTTTGTCCAATGTGGAACTTGAACCCATAACCCTGAGAATAAGAGTTTCATGCTCTACTGACTAAACTATCGCCATTCCCTCCATATTTTATTTTGTTTTATTTGACTGATGGATTGTAAATTGCTTCAAGACTTTTGTGGAAACGGGCTCATAAATGGATTACAACTGCTCACAAATAAATTTCCGAGGACCCTGTAGGACGAAGCGTTGTTAAATTTCTTACGTTAAACGCCCCGCTGAAAACTTTCCGGTTCTGTCAGGCAGATGCAGGCAGCTAAGAATACATCTTCCCACAATTTCTGATTTTAACTTTTTGATATGGTTGTTTATTGCATGGTTTCGTGCACAGTTGTGAACCACTTCCATATATTCTTTACGAATTAAAGGTAAAGATAAAGGTAAAGGGACCCCTGACCATTAGGTCCAGTCGCGGATGACTCTGGGATTGCGGCGCTCATCTCGCTTTATTGGCTGAGGGAGCCGGTGTACAGCTTCCGGGTCATGTGGTCACCATGACTAAGCTGCTTCTGGTGAACCAGAGCAGTGCACGGAAACGCCGTTTACCTTTCCGCCGGAGCGGTACCTATTTATCTACTTGCACTTTGACATGCTTTCGAACTGCTAGGTTGGCAGGAGCTGGGACCGAGCAACGGGAACTCAACCCGTCGCGGGGATTCGAACTGCCGACCTTCTGATCGGCAAGCCCTAGGCTCTGTGGTTTAACCCACAGCGCCACCCGCGTCCCTCTTTATGAATTAGCGGCATATAAATATATATATTTTTTGCAAACCTCCGTCTGCCCTTAGCTAACTCCCACCTGCCTGCCTGCCTTCTCACCATTATAAGTCCAGTAGAGAGGTTCCTGGTTGTCTGCTTCTCCTCCCTGGTCTCTGAGTTGCCATCTAGAACTCAGCAGGGGAAAGGATGGAGACAAAATTAGAATGAATCGGCTCTGCCTGTCGTGACTCTGGCCCCACTTAACTTTTCGCTTCCCTGCTTTCTGCCCCACCAGTCTCAACAGACCCCAGTGCAGAGCCCCTTCGGTGGACTCACATCTTCATATTTCTGAGCAACATGTACCTTTTTTTTCTATTTCAGAGTATCTGAATGTCAGATTTCTTTCAAGTGATGTCAGCTAAGAGATCACATTTTCTGAACTCCCCTCCCCACACGCAATGCCCATATCCTGTTGGGGTTTTCAGTGCCTCATTTGAAGTTAAATATTTCTTGCCAAAGTTATTTATAGCCCAGCACCTACTTGTGGTGAAATGCGTGGGCTGGAGCAAGCTCCTTGGGGAGCAGGAGCACCTGCTAATTTTAGGCAGGCTCAACTTCCTTTTCCTTTCCTCCCCTGACACGTCATCGAGCCAGCCCGATGCGGCTTGTTTTGCTTCCCCCCTGCCCTAAAATAGGACCCCCTTTTTGCTTTGCATCTGCACGTGTCAGGGCTCAAGAGTGGAAATGTAAATCTCTGTGCTTCACCTGCAATGCCCTGTGTTGCTGGATTGCATCAGAAAAAAATGACAGCTTTCTTTTTGGAACTTGGGCAGCCGGCAATACCTGATGTCACTTCCGCCCGTTGGACAATGATGTGCCCTAGAGCCTGAAATATAGAACTGGGGAAAAGAGACCCCTGGTTGAAATCTCTATTGGCTTCAGGGCAAGAGACCTCAGTGGGACATTGTATTCAATGGCATTGCTTGTTCACTTTCCCCTTTTTCCTCTCACCCCAGGCAAGCAGGAGAAGGACCTGCTGCTAAGCACTGGAGCCCCTCTGAGGAGAGGGCCTCAGGAGACGGCCAACAATCCCAACTCCTGGTGCCAGATCTATGTGAAATAGCATGTTCGCTTCTCAGTATGTTAATGACCAAAGTGCTTGGTCCTCATTGGTTTAAAAGTGGAGTCTCATCCAGCCTATTTGGTAGCACTTCACTGGCCAGAGGTTCTTATCTTCCAGTCCCAATCAACTGGGCTGATTTGAACCTATGAATTCTGTAACCCATGAGTAAAGGAAACTGCCTTATAACAGGTTAGAGAGTTGGTCCATCTAGCCCAGTGTTGTCTACACTGGCAGGCAATGGCTCCCCAGAGGACATTCCAAGACAGTGGAGGAAGGTTGAGGCATTTAAGCAGAGAGTTGGATGGGTATCTGTCAGGGATGCTGTGGCTCTATCTTGCAATGTAACAACAACAACTTTATTATTTTTACCCCACCCATCTGACTGCATTTCTCCAGCCACTCTGGGCAGCTTACAGCATATATAAAAACGTAGTAAAATATCAAGCATTAAAAATTTCCCGATACAGAGCTGCCTTCAGATGTCTCCTAAAAGTTGTGCAGTTCTTTATCTCCTTGACATCTGAAGGGACTGTGTTCCACAGGGAAGCACCACTACTGAGAAGGCCCTTTGCCTGGTTCCCTGTAACTTCCCTTCTTGCAGTGAGGGAACCAGCAGAAAACCCTCGGAGGAGGATTTCAGTGTCTAGGCTAAGCGATGGGGGTGGAGATGCTCCTTCAGGTATACCGGGCCAAGGCCATTTAGGGCTTTAAAGGTCAGCACTAACACTTTGAATTGTGCTTGGAAACATACTGGGAGCCAGTGAAAATCCTTTAGGACCAGTTATATGGTCCTGGCAGCCACTCCTGGTCACCAGTCTATCTGCCACATTCTGAATTAGTTGTAGTTTCCAAGTCACCTTCAATGGTAGCCCCACGTACAGCACATTGCAGTAGTCCAAGCAGAAGATAACCAGAGCATGTAGTACTCAGCCTGTGTACCAGATGGAGCTGGTAGACAGTTGCCATGGACACAGAATTGACGTGCACCTCCATGGACAGCTGTGAGTCCGAAATGACTCGCAGGCTGCTCACCTTGTCCTTCAGGGGCACAGTTACCCCATTCAGCACCACACCTGACCATCCCCTGTCCCCCAAACAGTACTTCTGTCTTGTCAGGATTCAGCCTCAATCTGTTAGCCACCATCTATCCTCCAACCGCCTCCAACTGATGTAGACTCTGCATTTAACATAGGAATGGGTGGATCTGTCAGTTTCGGTTTCTCATTTTTCCGTTCTTACGTTCAGTTCTGCACACTTCCAGACCAGTTTGCAATTTTTTTTTAATGTACTTATGAAGGTTGAACAACATTTTAGTGTGAATTTCTCCCAATGCATACATGTTTGTAAGCAATTTCTCCTAACATGCACCTTCTTGCAGTGACAAATTTCCCTACTACAGTGCATTTTTGTGGAAAACTTCTTAGGCAACTTCTCAGCTCTTGTGCAATCTTGATCATCTTCTAATTGACCCTGAACCCAGGCACCTTGGTCATTGTTCCTAGACTGGGCCTATTCCCAGCCATCTTTTTGCCTTATGAGAGCTCTGAGACTTGGATAGCTCTTTCCCTGCTTCTGAGTCTGCAGCATTACGCTGTCTCAATAAAGATCCTTTGTTTACTTACAAGTAAAAACATCTGCTGTTGTGTTTTGGAAATGGAGCCAGGACACAAAGCAATTTCCCCTTATATAATGCATTGTTTGCAATTTCCCTAATATAAGCACTACAAAATTCAGAGAAATTTCAAAGGCATGACGTTTTCCGGTTCTCACATAAGTGAGAAAGTGCAGGTTAGGTAGGTTAGCCTATAAATGAGGAACTGGATTTGATTTATGCCCCAAGCTGATGACAATAACTTAAACTAGATGACACCCAAACTCCTTCCCAGTTTTTTGATGCTATGGTTTTGTTTGCCATCAATCAACCAGTTTTTCATTGAGAGCATGGGGTAAACATTTTAAAAAACTGTTCTGCAAAGCAGCTGGCTTTGCAAGTGCATGTGTGAAGCTCCTTTAATGTTGGCTCCTTTCCTCTCACTGAAACTGTCATTGATTGCCGTCAAACTCCACAAACTACCCAGCAGCTGGGCTTGGGCGCCGGGTCTAATGAATGCTGATGGTGCAATGTGATGAATCTCACAAAACCTCATTTTGCATTATGAGCAAAGAAGCGCTTTTTGCCACTTGATGCAGCTGAACATTACTAGCTGGGGAAATTAATTCCCCATCCCCAGCAGCACCAAAAAGGGAGAGATAATTGTGAACTTTGGAAATGTTGCTCCCATTTCCTTAGTACCTCTTTGGTAGGGTTTTCTTAGAAGCACAGGATTTTCCAAAATCTCCTTTTATATTGGGCATTAGAGATTAGAGACCTTACCACTTTGCTTTGCTTATACAGGCATACCTTGGAGATCTTGTGGGTTCTGATCCAGACCACTGCAATAAAGCAATAATGCAAGACACTCCCCCCCAGTGCATATAAAAATTTTGTTTACACTATGCTGTCGTCTATTAAGCCAGGCCCCTCTGGCTGCAGGGGCAAGAGGGGGGAAAACCCTCCTCTGGAAGCAGCTGGGCTGCCTGTAGCTGCACTCACACCCTCGTAAGGCGCAATATCTGCAAAGCGCAATAAAGAGCGCAATAAAGAGAAGCACAATAAAACGAGGTGTGCCTGTAATCACTTGCCTCTTATCAGGAAAGATTTGCGGGGCCTCCAGTTGTTGCTGTCTCTAGACAGCACCTGGTGCAAAAATCAGAATAAAAGGTTGAGCCTCGATAATATGTTTGGTTTTTTCTCCCCCAATCCAATTTTAAAAGGCAACAAAGGTTTTTCTGCATAATGTGCCCCTATCCATCTGTAATATCACTGTGTCCGCTTCTGTTGGCCTCAAACATTAGTCCATAAAGACAAAGGAGCAGATCAATGGACTCGTACGCCCCAGCATTTTATCTTTGCAAACACTGGAAGGCTACAAAACCCCCTTGTTGTTTGCTCACTTCAGGCCATTCTGTCCACTTACAAGGATAAATGATCTGTCAAGGCTCCCAGAATATCATGCCATAATCTCGTATATGCTAACCGCCATCAAATAACTCGCCGTCAAGGCTGTTTGACAAGGCCTGTGCTCATTTGACTTTCAATTGCCTCTTGTTTCATCCTTCTGTGCTCACCTACCTTTCATCAGATTCCCCCCGCCCAGCTTCCAAACTCAGCTTGACCATGTGAACTCCTATAAAGCGGCGTCATGATTACCCCTTGGTATCATTTTAGGTACCCATCAACCAGTTATGCCAGCATATTTGTCCCTAAGCTAAGCCTCTTCTCGTTGATCTTAATCCAACTCAACTGCTTTGATCAGGAGCATGCCCGTGGCTTATGGATCTCGCTGTTCTTATTTAAAGGTCAATGACCTAATCCCAATTGATTGTGGTTCAAAAGCACTGTGAGCCTTTGGTCTTCTCATCTGTCAGCGATTTGCACACGGTGCTTAGGAAGGAAAGTGCAGCCATGGCTCTAAATATAGCCAGGTGCTCCCAGCTGGGGAAGGTGCTGTCATTCCTTGTGGCTCAGAAAGAGCCTGTCCTTACCCAGAGGCATAGAGTCTCCATTTATGATGCCCTTCAACAGCAAACTGGAAGTCAATGCAGGGGAGGGATGGCAGCTCAGTGGTAGAGCATTTGCGTTGCATGAGAATGTCCCAGGTTCAATCCCTGCAAACTTTTAAGTAGAGCTGATAGAAGATTGAACTGGATGGAGCCATGATCTGAACCAGCAAAAGGCAGCTTCCTAGATGGTTAGACTGCATGGAGGAGCACTGTAGCGCCATGACAGAACATCTGCCATTAGCTCAGCGGCAGAGAATTTGTCTTGCAAGCAGGAAGTCCCAGTTTTAATCCCCAGCATCTCCTTGTAGGGCTGGGAGAAATCCCTGCCTGGAGAAGCATTGCAAACTGTGCTGTGTTAGGTGGATCCAATGGTCTCAGACCAGGCATAGGCAAACTTGGCCCTCCAGATGTTTTGGGACTACAATTCCCATTATCCCCAACCACTGGTCCTGTTAGCTAGGGATGATGGGAGTTGTAGTCCCAAAACATCTGGAGGGCCAAGTTTGCCTATGCCTGGTCTCAGACGCTCCAAGTGTTCCTGTTTTCCAAGGACAGACCCAGGTTTACAGAAGCTACCCCCCTGCTGAAAAAGTTTGCTAGCCCCTGGCTGTAGTCAGTGCTGAGCTAGATGGATCAATGTTCTAACTCTGTATAATGTATATTCCTATGTTCCTGTTGGTTGGTTGGTTGTTAGTTTGTTGCTGCTGCTATCTGTTTGTTGTTATCTGCAGTTGGCTGTTCTTATTATGTGATTTCTTAAAATTTGCAAGTCTTTTTATTGTCAATCCCTTGAGGCTCTTTGGGCCAAAAGGCAGGGCACATGTTTTTAGAAAGAAATGTTGGCATTCAGAAGAATAAGAAGACAATGAAAGCACTAGTCTGGACGTACATTGTGATGTCAATTTAGTGTTGCCATATGTCCTCTTTTTCCAGGGCGCATCCTCTTTCTTCTTGGGTAGAGTCATCATAACCTATAGTTAAAAGTCGAAGTCAGCAAATGTGTCCTCTTTTTTACTCTTCAAAGTATGGCGACCCTACTGAACACCAAATCTATTTTTTGCCTCAGTCCTGGACACTGATCATCGATCAAATAGAGCTATGCAGAAAATTGGGTGCAGGAAAGTTCCTTGGTTTTACATATCCCCCAGGGCTAACAGCCGCTAAACAAATTCACGTTCTCGACAGACCTGGTATTTGTGATCTTTGGTAATGCCATGAATTTGCAGCTTGGGTGATGGTTTCGTAGAGTCAAGGACCTTTTGGCAAGTATGATGAAGACAAATGTGTTACATTAAGCAGAGAGAAACAAAATGCCATAAACCATGTCATTATGATTCTAGGATGAGTCTATTGTTATTATATTTGATGATGATGCTAATAATAATGATAATGATAATAATTCAAGTCTCCCCCCTGCTTTTTTGGTGGAGGAATAACAGCTGCCATTGGCCCATTTGTGATTGGAGCAAAGGGGTGGGGGAACTCACCTGCTGACATTGGGGGAGGAAAACGGGGTGCACTTATTGGAAACGGGCATATACTTCCAGCTTGCAAATAGAGAAATAGCCACCGAGGCAGCTCTTTCCGAGCACTTTTCCAAAATGCTTTATATGTAGCCAACACCGAGCTCCTCTTAAAATGATTCTGGGAACCCCGAGGTGGCTGTTACAGGAATTTGCAAAGTACGGTTGCCAGCAGTAGCAAATGCTGGCAGAACGAGTTTGGAAGCCTCCTGCTAGATGAAATGACAACTCCTAAGAGCCACCTGATGGTAGAGAGAGGAGCAGATGAGGCGAATGCCTCCTGGCAGAATCTCTTGTCTGCAGCAAAAGAACAAAGGGAGAAGGAGGCTTCATCCCACAGATGGAGAGGGGAGGGAGGTGGTTGGTTCTCCTACCTCCTCATTTAGTCCACTTCAAATCAGAAGCGAGGCTGTGAAGCAGGAGCAGGGCTGGTTGATGGCCTCGATGGGGCTCGACACCTTTGTTTTATTTTTCGATGGGATTTTATTTCATCCCACTTTTCAGACCGGTATTGTATCCTGAATTGGCTCATGCCATTACAACAGAAAAAAAAAGAAAAGAAAACCTGGATGGAAAGCCCTGAAGCTAAATGTTGGAAGATTTAGGACAGACAAAAGATAATACTTTTGTATGCAGCCCATAAACCAGGGAACTTGCTCCAACAGGAGGCAGCGACGGGCACCGACCTAGATTACTTTAAAAGAGAATGAGACACATTCATGGAGGAGAGGGATGATGAAGATTGCTACACATGTTGGCTATGTTCTGCCTCCACAGTTGGAGGCAGCAATTCTTCTGAATACCAATTGCTGAAAACCAGAGCAGGGCAGAGTGCAGTTGTGCTTAGGTCCTGTTTGTAGGCTTCACACAAGCATCTGGTTGGCCAGTGTGAGAATAGGTTGCTGGACTAGGTGAGCCATTGGTCTGATTCAGCAGCCTCTTCTTATGGTATCATTCTCATGATATAGGACCTGCCTTCGACCTTGTGAAAAAGGCAAGTGGAAGGAGGAAGGAGATGGCTCTGATAATCACTTTGACAGGAACAGGGCCTCATCCACACTTCCTATTGTTCTGCTGCTTTCGCCTGGAGAAAGCCACTCTTTAGTGCTCAACCAGAGCAAACAGCAACTCGGGTTTTCTCCGGATTGACATTTGCTCTGATTTAGCACTAAAGAGCAGGTTTTCCTTGGGAAAGGAATGGAGAAAGGAGAAGACCATTTGGACCCATCCCTAGAAAGCACAAGTCAAGCGGAAAACAGCTCGGGACCATGCTTTCTAGGCACGGGGCATGGGGAAGTTTGGACAAGCCACTGTTGGCTACTTCCCCCTTTCTTCCATGCATAATTATCTGTTCTAGGACCTTTCGTGGGGTCAACGTCAAGCTGACTGGTGGAGTGGGTGGAGTCAAAGGTAAGAGTGGGTGGGGCAACCAATGCGATTCTTGCTGCTGTCCAATGAGCCGCATCCTAGTCTGGGATGTCCAGTAAAAAAGGCCAGGTGGCAAGAGTGACTTCTGCCTGAGACACTGCCAGTCAGAATATGCAGTACTGGCCTAGAGGGACAAATAACCTGATTTAAGGCAACTTCTTCTATTCCATCCTTCGTCTTTTCTCTCCCCCACCACTCGCCCAGTGTTCACTTACGGATAAAAAGTGTGAAGTGGCCCTCATATTTCCCCTTTGCTTAAGTGGATGCATGGTTTTGTCACTGGTAACTTGAAAACCATTTGCAACCTCTTTGAAGAGCAACCATCTCATCCTGATGACTAATTTCAATTTAAATGATCATCCTGTTCCAACACCTCCTCAGTGTCTGACAATGTCTCATCTTTGCTGTCTACAAATTAAAACCCAGCAATTTAGATGAGCAGATAGAACAGGCTTTGTAGTCCTGATCTTGTCTGTCCTCATTGCAGGCCTTTGGCACAGGCCCTGAGTATTCCCCTTTCACAGATGATGCAAACAGTTGAGGTTGAGATGGCTCAAGAAGTTCCCCTTGCCATTACATTTACGTCTTGGTAGAGGAGCACAGTAGCATTCAGTTCCTTCCCACTCTCTCTCTCTCCCCCCTCCCCCGCTGCAATCCCTCCCCCATGTTGCTGATGCATATTGCCAAAACACTGCAGAAAATCAGCCCTGATGGCTTCCTCGTTTTCTGTCTTCACAGACCCAGCTTTATCACAAATGCAATATATATATATATATACTGTTTTGGTGCTGGTTAATAATCAGTAGTGCTGCTAAAGCTGGGCCTAGGGTCAGATGTCCAGGGCCCCTCAAACGGGGTGTCAATTTATATGAATTATTTTTTTTGGGGGGGGCAGGTAATAATCAGTCACAAGATGCACACACACACACACACACACACACACACACACACCATTTGAATAGCAATTGCCATCAACTTTGGGGGCCTCTAGTCCCCTCAAATATTTTATTGGGGGGGCAAAGGGACTGTGGCACCTTGGAATTGGCTCCTATGCCCCCAACCCAACCCAGCCCCACCCACCCATCAAGGACCACCCAGAAAGTGTTAGCCTCTGGGGGTAGTGGCACATAGACCTGGTTTCAGCACCTAGTATTGCAGATTAGGAACATAGGAAGCTGCCTTATACTGAGTTAGTCTCATAGATTGGAAGGGACCCCACGGATCACATAGTCCAACTCCCTGCAATGCAAGAATATGCAGCTGTTCCATACAGGGATCAAACCTGCAACCTTGGCTTTATCAGCAGCACGCTCTAACCAACTGAGCTAACACCATCTAGCTCATCATTGCCTACAGGGGCAACATCTCTTCAGGGCTTCCGGCAGGGTCTCTGCCAACCCTTCCTGGAGGTGTGTGGGGAATGGACCAGGGACCTTCTGCATGCAAGGCGGATGCTCTGCCACTAAGCTGCAGTCCTTCCCACTTTACATAAGCCACCATATGAGCATGTAAGGACCCGCTGGGGCTGATGTTGGTTGCTGCAGCATCCTCACTATTTTTCTATTTTATATAGAAAATATTTATCATTTGGAGGCAGCCAGCCATACATGGACATGGCAACAAAGGTCCATTTTATTATCTTTACTTTTAAATATATTATTATTTTATACAATGCAAAGGTACTTATTCCCAAATAAATGGGCCTTGCTTGAGAGAAGCCAAAGCAAACTCCTTTTGTATTCCCATAGTGATGATGGTGTTATCATGCTCATGCCTAGATACATACATATATATACTTGTCAGAAGTTGGCAAACTGAGGTTGTTGTTGTTTTGCTCAAGGGTAAAATAAATACACTGTGCCCATTAGAATTGAAGAATCATAGAAACAGTGGCGTAGCGTGGGGAGTGCAGGGGGGGCCGGCCGCACCGGGCGCAACATCTGGGGGTTAGGGTTAGGGGCGCAAATCCACGGGTTAGTGGGCGCAAATCTACAGGTTAGAGGGCGCAAATTACTTGCCTTGCCCTGGGTGCTGACAACCCACGCTACGCCACTGCATAGAAATGTAGAGCTGGAAGAGGCTATGAGGGTCATCTAGTCCAACTCCCTGCAATGCAGGAATCTTTCACCCAACATGGGACTCAAACCCACAACCCTGGGATTAAGAGTCTCATGCCCTACCGACTGAGCTATCCAGCCAGATGAGCTATGCAGCTATCCATTGCACAGTCTGACTGTGAGCAAAGTGTGCAAGATGATTTAAAGCTGGATGGGTGGACATGGAAAACTGGTTGGCACAGCTTCTCGGCTCTCATGCAGTCATGAACTTCTCGCAATTGACCTTGAACTCGTGCATCTTGGCCACTGTTCTTAAACCAGGCCCATCCCAGCTAACCTTTCACTCTGCAAGAGTTCTGGGACTGGAATAGCTCTTTTCCTGATTCTGCTGCTCAGCCTTAACAAAGATCCTTTCCTTACTTACAAGTAAAAGCATCTCCTTTCATGTTTTGGGACTGGAGCCAGGACACAAAGCATTTTCCTCTTATATAATGCCTTTTTGTATTTCCCCTAATATATGCATTTAGAAGGACACTTAGCCGCAGTATATGCATTTTTGACACATGGCTTCATTAGAGAAGTGCATTGCAAAATCTGAAGAAAAGCGAATGTCAAAGGACGACTGTTTTTCAGTTCTCATATGGTTTCAGGGGCGGGTTTAAAGGCAAACTGAATCAGATTTCTCCCCATCCCTACGCTGAGGTGTTTGGCAGCTGTACAAACATAACTAGTGAGAATCTGCTGGGCCAACGGAACTATCTGCAAAAATCCATGGTTCCTTCAGCGGGGGTTTGAGTGTGACATTCCTCATGGGGTTTTACACAACTTTGCTGGGAATGCTGGCATCAACATGTTAGATCTTATTTTGATTGCAAATTATCCTAAAAAGAGCCAACAGTTCTTAATTCCCAGAACGTGCTGTAACCCAAAATAAGTTGAAAATGTACAGTCTCATTCTCCCCGCAGTCTCGCTGAAATTTAATGTGGCTCAGTCAACTTTCTTGGGGTTTGGAAGGGAAGGCAATCATTCTCCCTCGTGTTCCATTTGTACTTACCTTTTATTCCTTGCGTGGAAAGGGTTGCCCTTGTTGAGTACATTTGCAAACACAGGCATTCCATTCCATTGTTGCTGTTCTAAATTATTGTTTTCTGCTAAGCAGCAATCAGTCCACATTTTCAGCCCACCAGGGCTTGCTGCTTGTCAAATTGCTTCATGCATATTTCTTACCCCCCCCCCCCATCTGCCATTTCTGCAACGAATCCTCAATTTGTGCACTGGTGCTACAGGATGCAATTCATGAGTGTGCAAAATGTTCCGTAATCAGTGTGGGATGCAAGCTGGCATTGTGTGTCCAAGCAGTCTTAGGCAGAAGCAGAAAAAACCCCCAAACTTCATAGTTGGAGACGGTAGGAGTTGCATAGAAAGAGTTAGCTGCTTTCATGTATACCATGTAATTTCACATTTTCTTAGTGGCTGAGTTTGATTGTTGTAGAAACAGCCAGGAGGGTGACTGACAGTCTGGTTTTGGAGAAAAAAATTATAAGCATTGAGGACGCCCAAGTAAAATTCTTCGTTCTATATTTTGCAAGGGGAACCTGCAACAAAATGTTGCAGTGTATTGTTTACATCTGTCTGTCTCGGGCTACAAGGGAAGAGTGCATACCCTCTAACATTTCTCCAAAGAAAATAGGGACGTCCCATTCCATAAACATAATTTTACTATTTATACTCCTTGCATCTTACTGGGTTGTCCTAGCCACTCTGGGCAGCTTCCAACATATATAAAAACACAATTAAACATTAAAAAAACCTTCCCTATACAGGATTGCCTTCAGACAGCTCGGGAGTCAGATAACTCCATACCCTCCAACATTTCTCCAATAAAAACAGGGACATCCTACCATACCATCCAACATTTCTCCAGTGAAAATAGGGACTTCCTAAGGAAAAGTGGGGCATTCTGGGATCAAATCAGAAACTGGGGCGGCTTCTCTCAATGTGGGATGTCCCTGGAAAATAGGGACACGGAGGATCTGAGAGTGTGCCTTTGGGGGTAAAGACAAACCATTGGGGAGTTACAGTGCCTGCTGTGGCTGTAGAGGCCAATATGGGAGAGACATGTTTTATTGCAGGTGGGGCAAATGAAGGTGCCTGGTTTTGCTGCCACAGGTGCATGGTTTTACATACATAATTTTATTTATATGCCACCTTTCCATAACTAAATCCGTGCTCAAGGGGGCGTATAACATGAAAAAAGTACATAATTTCAAACATAACAAAAGTAGCCATCAACAATAAATAAAACATCAGAAAGTACACAACTGTCAGGGACTGAACTGAGGAGGAGGGGGGGAGGACTGCTCCCCTTCTCCTGAACCTTCCCGGGAATGGGAGGACAGTATAGAATTAGAACAGTGGTTTGCAGAAGGGCATAGTTCAGAGGCTGCAGAGGGGAGAAGCTGAGAAATATTGGAGCAGCAGGAAGAAGCAGCACCAGGGGAGAGACAGCAGACAGATCAGTGTCTCTGGAAAGCATTCCTGTGTCGGGGAACCAGCCCACCAGGTGCGGAAGAAAATGACGAAGAGTCATGGGTGAAGGTTTAAGCAAGGAGTGAGCTCTCTCTCCCAGCAGCCTTGCATGTTTATTAGCCTTGCGCACATTACATCATGTTACATATACACGTGTAGCACTCGGGTGGAAAACAGCTAGGGTTTGCATTTCTTAGAATAACTATTCTCTACCAGGACATAACTCCAGACAGCATGACAGCCGCGTAAGCTTTGCGGTTAGGCAGCTTGTCAGTGACCCAGGCGAGTGAAGGGAACAAGTCAGCAGATGCTTCCTCTTGCACAATCTTGCACAAGGGTGTATTTTTCTATTGCATCCCCACATGCCCTCCTTTTTTATATTATTTAATCAGAGTCATAAATTTCATTCCGAGGCAGAAGCTCGCCAGGGTCGCACACAGCGCGCTGGTAACCAGGTAGGCCGTCCATCCAGGTCCACTGCCGCGTAGCCGCGTCCCCAGGAGATGAGTGGCACAGGACCATGCCATGTTGGATCAGGTAGCTGTCTGTAAGATACAAGAGGTCGAGCCAAAGGCTCTGCTTTTCGAAAATGAATCTCAGCCGGTGTATATTCCCTATTATGGGGATACAAAAGATGGTTAAGAGTGAATAAAACAGTATGCACAATTGAAGGAATCTCGGCAGAGGGGCATTTCGACCTCCAAGTTGTTTGGACAGCAGTGTCTTGAAGGTCAAGTGCGCCCTCTCCACAATCGCCTGTCCTGTTGAATTAAAAGGCAAACCATGGATTAATTTCACATTCCATAAATCACAAAAGGATGAAAACTGAGAGGAGATATAGGCTGAGCCATTATCCGTTTTAATGCTTTGTGGCTTACCCATCACAGCAAAACAGCGCAGGGTGTGCTGAATGACGTGACGAGCGGTCTCACCCTTCAATGGGGTGGCCCAGATAAATCCAGATGAGGTGTCCACTGTCAAGTGAACTTTTGAAAATGGGGCGAGCAGAGGGGTGTGAGTAACGTCCATCTGCCAAACCGCAAGAGGGGACGTACCCCTAGGGTTCACCGCATCAAAAGGAATCATGGTTCGAGCTTTAGAACAGGTAGAACATTGAGAGACAATGTCTCGTGCCTGTGCAATAGGGATTTTAAACATTTTTGCCAAAACTTTAGCAGGCTGGTGAAAGGTAGAATGAGAGAGAATAGGGTCAGAAAACAAGGAAAACACTTCAGATCGCAGTGCAGCGTCTGCCACGGCATTTCCCTGAGCCAAAAACCCTGGGTGATTGGTGTGGGAACGAAGGTGTGCAACAAAAAAGGATGACGGCGTTCTTGAATAAGATACTGCAAGGTAGAAAAAAGAACAAACAAATCAGCATCTAACGCAGGCGTGATATAAGAAACAGGCAGGGAAGACAGAAGGCGATACACATATTGTGTATCAACAAGCAAATTAAAAGGTTTATCAGGAAAGAGTTGAAAGGCAAGGATTACAGCAGCAAGTCCAGCCCGCTGGGCGGACCTCTGTTGCTCAGAAAATTCAGTTTTCCATTTTCCACCCTCCTCCCATGCCACCACCCCCCGCGTTTTTGACCCATCAGTGAAAAGGGTAAGGGCAGAGGGGATGGGGGTTGGAGAAAGAGCATTTTTTAAAGTATAGACAGTTTGAGAAAGAAAATACAAGCGTGGATCAGAGGGGGGATTATGCGTGATGGTTCCCAAAAAATCCACAAGTGCTACTTG